TTTGATAATTCTTAAGCATCTAAACAGATTTTATTAAAATTTTATACACATACGCACACACACATATATAAATATGATAATTGTTATCTTAGATCAAGAAATTTAAATTTAGTTGTATGTAAAAAATTAAATTTGGTTGTATATATATTTGTAACCTCAGAACTCTATCATTTATAAACTGGTTTGATTTTTTCTTATGTAAAAAAATATAATACACTCTCAGATTATTTTCATAGATATTTTATCAAAATCTGTTTAGTAGTTTAGTTTTTAAATCAAAGTAACAAATTTTAACATGATTCGAGGTGGAACAAAATCTTTTTATACATCGTCATATTCACGTGACAATATAACAAAAACATGTCGAGAAGTTTGATGCTTTTTGTTCCAATACATGTGTTTTGGAACAAATATTTATCCATCGTGGGAATTATTTATCTTTAGTAACGTTATTATCGACTCAACAAGAACACAACATATAATCAAACAATCGTTGTTTCTTTTATTACAGATAAGTGTTACTTTTAGATTATAAAGATAGAGCTTCGTGTATCAATAACGTGTCAATATTTAGTCACTTAAATTGACATTTGTTTGACTCAATTTGACATATTTTTTTTAATCAAGCCAATACGCGACGTTAACCAGTGTTGCAAGTAATTAGATTAAAATTTCCCCAAACAAAGTCGATTTCTTTAATTTAAATTGAGGAGTATTTTTTCTGATATTATATATGAATATACATATATTCACATTGGCTCCAAATTAATATACATTTATTAACTCAAATAACGGACATTTTTAGTCAAATATTACATTTATTTTTACAATATAATTTCTCCTATATACTGAGTAACAAATGTACATAATAGTAACCCTATTCACGCATGGATAAAAAATATGACCTGTTTAAGACATAAAAATACAGACTAAATATACATTTTAAAAGTTTTTGATATTGTTAAACAATGGTGTAAAAATTTAATTAGCATTTTATATTTTGGTGGGCATCAAAAAGAATGAAGATTCTTTACTTCATTGACTTGGTTTAGATACAATTTCATTACATTAGTAAGAAATAGGATATGGGACATCTTCGCTAATCCGGAACCAGGGCCGTAGCTAGACCCATGTTTAAGGTAGGGCAAAAGAACATTTTGCTAGGACAAAAGCAATTAAGCGACTTCGAAAAAGCAAATCTAATTTTATTGAGGCCTTTCATTTTAAGGTAGAGCATTGGGCCTTTTAAGGTAGGGCACTGCCCCTCATTGCCCCTTCCCCTTCCTAGATACCGCCATGTCCTGAACCGATATGTGATAAAATTTATACAATAAATCAACTTCCATATTGGTTCTATTATATTTTGATACAATTGAACTAGTTTCATTTATTTTTTCAATAGCGGTCAAACCTACAGTCAAACAATGACCATATTTGGGTTTTTTTTTTAATTTCCTCTGTATGTTTACACACAGTTTAGTCCACAAATATGTTGATACAGTAAAAATTGCTCTTTCTATTTTACAGTACTTGATACTGTTAGTGCCTGGAGCTGTCACGGTAGCTACCGTCCATACCTCGTCATACATCGAGATTGGCTAGTGATCGACACACCTAGTGGGCGCAACCTAATACTCCGTACGCATGGCTTTCAGGAGTAAGAAACCAAATGACGTAGATCATTTCTAGATAACGTATTAAGATAAAATATAAATCAGATTTTAAATTAAACCTTCAGAAGGACAATTGTGAAAATTAAATTTGGTGCAATAGTTATTTGCGTGATACCGAAACAAACAAATAGACAGATAGAGAACACTTCTTAGTAACACATTTACATTATTTTCGAAGGATAATGGAATGGTAACCCCGCCAGCTCTATCGCTATACGCTGGCGGGCCACCAGAGAGGGATAATAGGTAAGAAAGAAAGCAGATCAGTTAGCTCATCGTGGAAATTTAACTAGAATTAACCAAGATGGTTTTTTTTTCATGGGTGAAAATGGTATGGTAACCCCGCCTGCGCTAACGGGATACGCTGGCGGAGCACCAGTGAAGGGTGATCGATGAGAATGAAAACAGGCTAGCTAGCCCATCATGATGAATTCGTCAGGAATTAACCATGATAGTTTCCAGGGAGAACCACGAGGAGATCGACCTGGTTGAGTATATTGCTAGCAATGGGATTCTCAGTCTCCATTACTAACAATCCCTTTCCTGGGGGGAACCAAAATGGTTTCCAGGGGAACCGCGTGGAGGTCGACCTATATTGCTAGCAATCACCAATCATAGTTCTTCATATCATAGTTTATTTGAAAGATTAAGTTTATTCTCGGCTCTTATAACCCGAATACTAGCACTACTTAGTTTGGAACTAGTTAGATGGCGCTGTAGCACATTTTCAGTCGCTTTAGACTTCACCAAGTGATACCAAATAATAATAATACAAGTATTTCTTTTCTAATAATATATTGAATACTTTACTACCTTGAGTTTATATTGCACACATACTTATGGTGCAATATTTTCGAATTGCAAATAACTTGAAATGCATTTCAATATTGCATACTATTGCAGAGTTATGAATAATGCACTTAGTAGGTAATATTTGTTAGAAAATATAAATAAGAAACCAACGTTTTCTCATTTCTGTTGACAATTTAGTTTTAAATATATCTTGTAATTGTAAATATTTTATATACGACAGCTATTTTCATAGTTACATTTGTAATATACATACATACATATCTGTCACGCCTATTTCCCATTGGGGTAGACAGAAACAATGAAACGCCAAATGCTTCAATTAAAAAAAAACTTCTTTCGCTTCCACATTCATCAATCTTTTCATACACTTACTTATTTTTAATTTGGCCCTTCTTCAGCACCAGAGGGATACTGTACAAAAGTCGATTGGATACCTCTGTCCCATTCGTGTTTCTACCGTGAAACAGTTGTGTTTGCATGACTGTATTTCGGTCTGAAGGTTGGGGTATCGCAGTAAATTTACAGAGCACATAGGAATAACACCTGAATCCTCAGGAATGGCAACGCATGGGAGGTATCATGGCAAAATAGTATACTCTGTTGTACTACTGCTCATATCTATAGACGACGGTTACCACTTTCCATCAGGTGGACCGTCAGCTTTTTTGCTATTCTTAGTTGCTTAAAAAAATAGACATTTTTCTTTTTTATTTTTATTTCATTACGATTTTAAATTGAAAAATACATACAAATTCAAATTTTCACGCTTTTTCGATCAACTCCTGTTTTTTAATTGTGATTTTTATATGCTGCAATAGAGTTGCAAGATGGCAATCGAATATAATAATTGTAGTACGATAAATTTTCATGTATAGTTCTCCAAATAATGTATGTATATGATAAAACAACGTTTGTCGAGTCCGCTAGTATTAAATAAATTGATTCTTTTTTTGTGTTTTTGTTCTATGTATGTTCATAAGTGTTCATATCAATGGTGAACAGTTAAAAGCTGATATGATGATGATGATGATGATTTAGGTGGTGCAATTAAGAATAAATAAATAAATAAACTCTAATCTTTTGTCACTGACGTTACACATTTAATTATAAAATCAAACGGAATGACTTCACGCATAATATTTTTTATGGTGTTTATTATCTAACACGTGGTCACTTTCGTCACACATTTTTTTTTTTATATAATCGATTCGTAATATCGATTCTCGCGAGTAAATCACAAACGGAAATGATTATCGAGATTTGACGTTTTATCGAATAAATCAAAATTATTTAAAAATGGCAAAGTCTGGCGTACACTTCGAAAATCGTTCTTATTCTTTATATGATTAGGTTACTTTTAAATAGTTACATAATTTTAAAATATACTGACATTAAATGAAAACCGTAATTAAAGATAATTTAAATAAACAACATACTATTTTATGGGCAAATGTTACAGAGTCGCGTAACTATTTGTTTCGTTTACAATTAAAACTAAACTATAAACGCTCACACTGTATTACGATTAAAGTTAAATTTTAATTGAGCTACCGATGGTTATTAAAACAATTATAACTCAGTCACTGCGATTTGTATCATTAAAATTTCAACTTTCACGATTTATTGTTATGGTTCTTAAAGATTCCCATACTTGATGAGCGGCCCTTTAATTCAAATAGCCGTGAAGAATCTATGAACCAGTTACCTACTGTACTTATGCAAAGCACAGTACTGTACTATCCCCACTGACCGATTAAAGTTATCCTACTTTCGATAAAATGATAGCTATTAAAGTCACCAGTCAGCGCGAAGACCTCAAGAAAGAGTAAGAGTTTAAGTGCACAGAGGCCTACTTAAACTGGTAGATTGACAAATAGTAGAAATCTATATTATCTGCAGGTAATCTCAATATTGTTATAAGTTTCTGCTCCAACGAAAGTATGCCGTGTTGAAATCAAAAGTACAGAATCATCAAGCGTGCGGAAATTTCCAAATTTTGCAATGTCATTCCTATTTGTAATTATCAGGGCAATTTCAAGGTGTGATTTTAGAACTTTTGTTTTATCAGTGGTGTAACTGTTATTTAATCTCTGGCATAGAACAAATAATCTAAAGACAGATACTATCCTTAATCTATGTAATAATCACTATGTTTTTTAGGAGTCGGCACTGCCTCTATATTAACGGAAGTGAATATGAATCTATGCAACCGCCTAGAACTGTCAACACAAAAAAATAAATGAATATTTACAATATTATATTATATAATTATTTATAATATGAGTCTCTGCATGATATATTGCACATATATCGTTATTTATCATAAAATACCTAGCTACTGAATAAACTGATTACCTAGATAGATATATCATAGTGATTATCATAATTTTAATTTATGATTTTTTTGTACTAAATAGTAAAATAACCAAAAGTTTTGGTAAATTACAAACTAGCGTGCTTGTCTCTTATCTACTAAACATTTGTTTAGTATAAACAAATCTCATTTTGTTGCAGTGAACTGACGCTTCTGGAAGGCATGGCCAACTCCGGTGGATGGAGCGATGAGCCTGTATCAAAGGTACTTAACAAATTATTATTATTATTTAAAACATAATATATTGGGTACTATTGCTAAATCAATAATACGGCTAGTAAGCCGTAAATAATTTACTAATGTATTAATTTACAAAAATGTCAAAACAATACCTAAGTATAAAAAAAAAATTATAACTGTAAGTAACTTCAGATTCTAATATTCAACAGGACAAAAACAAAAAAGAGCATTAGATTTGTTTCATAAATTGGAGTTATTTTTTTTTTTAGGTATGTAATGTAACGTATATACGTTTATTTATTTTGATACTTAACTGCCATTCGTCGACAGTGGGCAATATATAGATATAAAATATGTAAAAGCCCGATTTTGATAAATACAAAATATTCTAGTAAAAAAGCTTTATATTTTAAACTCATCATCACATCGCTTTTACATATGTTTATGATACAAAAATAACGCAATGTCATTTCTTAATAGAAACCACACTTTTATGTCTCTGTACAGATATGTTTCAACAAAAAATAAATTAATAGTTACTACTTAACAATGTACGTATAAAGTTCACATATCATTTATTTTATTAGACATTTTAGACATTAATTGAAACAGCGTGTCGAAAGACGCAAAAACTTATTGAAAACGAGAGCGTGAGAACTGCTAATACACATAAATGTAATTGTAATAACCGTAACGTTATTAACGTTACGTTTTTAATTAGAACTGTTACCTAATAACCGTTAATTGGTTATTGTTGAGCATAGACTATAGTTATGCCCTTTAATATAGATCTAACGTTTCGCGCCATTTTACGCGCATTAACTACGCGCACAGATTCAGCTGTGCGCGTAGTTGTCATTTGTTTTTTTTTAATCTCTCACGTATTAAGACAAGAGTGCAAACTTTATTCAGCCCACAATATAATAGCTCCTGAAATGATTTTGTAATTGAAATATTTAGAAACAGATTCAAATGTTTCTATACTAATAGCTTGTATGTAATTACTAATAGGTGTATTTTATATAAAAACTGGTAAATTTATTAATTTCTTTTCATATTAAAGTAATTGCTATGTAGGTAAGTACCATATATATATAATTTTTACAGATTGTGTCCCACAAAAAAAGAAACCTTTCTATTTAAAAACTAAACTACTGAACTGATTTTCACAAAATTTCTATGGAATAATCAGTAAGAATATCTATCCTTCCAGATAAAAATTTTCCAAATCGGTTATTTTTAAAAAATCCACAACATTTACGTCTGTAGATACTTAAACTACAAGTATGAGCATTAACGACTTGATGGAACATAGATAATAGTTCACAATTATATCAAATTAAAAGCTAATTTTGCAAAATCGCCCCATAGGGGGAGGCCCATGTCCAGCAATGGACAGTTAATAACTGGTATGACAACAATCATGAAAAGAAAGAATAAATTAATAGTTTAATATCAATCAGTGTTATGGAAGTGGAAAAAGGATGCTAATTCAGCGAATAGTTAATGCAGCAACAGCAATTCTGTTTTTCTATTAGCATTATTACATAATTATAAAAAATAAAACTAAAGATAAAATACAAAAATATGTTTTCGCCATATGTGTCGCAGTGACCCAAATAGGCCACAGCTCAGTGATAGTTTTGCTTAAAAACAAAGCACTGATTTACACGGTCCATCAGGATCAAATGTCTTTACTTTTGTTTCTCGGCACTAGATCGTCAATTTCGTCAATAACGGCTTACCCAGTATCTCTAAAGTGGCCTAAGCCTATGTAAGCAAATAGGTACATTTCACTTTCTTAAAGTAGTGAAACTTAGTATTATGTTTTTCCAACAGTACAATTACCCTATAAGCATACACTTTAATCACACCGCACTTCAAGTTTATCGTACTTTCACTATAAATCATAAACCATAAAAATCTAGATTAATAAGCCTAGATCATTTATGGCATCCATTTTACACGTTTACTAACAAATATTAGATAGATAGATAAATACTTTATTTGCAACACTTTATAGATAACCCACTTGCCAAGAATGGTAGCTTGTGATAAACTCTCCCCAAATGGAGTCCTATGTTCAGCAGTGGACAGTTAAAGGCTGATATGATGATGATTATCATTTCTTTATTTTTTTATCAAACATCTTTTTCATTTTTTGTAAATTCGTACTGGTTACGGTTATTAAATGTTTTTATTTTTTCTAAATTTCAAACTAAATTTATTTACAATAAGTACAAACAATAAGCATCTACTAAGTTATAAATGTCGTAACGCCATTTAAAAAACACGAGCATGAACATAATAACACATAACTGTATGTTGTCGCTTCTCAGGGCTCGGAACGCAAGGTTTTAATTTAAAAAAAAAAAGTGCTTCCATTGTTGGAGTAATGCGCGCCATTACACTCATAACTGGACAATTAGGTCTACAATTAATTATAATATATTTAATTATGCGAATGTGGAAACAGTTTGACAGATATGCAGTGGTTTTTTTTTTTTTTAACTACATATTATATTTATACTGCTTACACGTCTACTTATTTTTTTTAATGCCAGACAACAAGATCTATTTTGTTAGTAGTAGACCGCCTGCGCTAACAGTGATATTCATTGCTATGCAGACGACAGTACAGGAGATGTATTATACACCGGTCATGCAAAGATCTCGCGGGCACATACCGATGAGTGCCGGAACAGACTTGTGTCTGAAATCGAAACATCACTCCATCAAGTTTCAATCTGGAGTGAACAAAATCTTGTTCAATTTAACCCTAAGAAGACACAAGTCTACGCGTTCAACGCAAAAAAGACGCCGTTTGTCGTATCTCCTCACTTTCAGGGCACTTCCCTTGATAAAAAGTCGAGTCTAGGAATTCTGGGCTTTGATATATCTTGCGACGTCCAGTTTTGCGGTCATCTGGAGGAGAAGGCTAATATAGCTTCCAAAAAGTTAGGAGTGCTCAATAGGTCGAGACGGTATTTCATGCCGGAACACCGCCTGAAATTATATAAAGCTCAAGTCAGGCCGCTATGGAATACTTTTCTCACCTATGGGCAGGAGCGCCACAATACCAACTCGTTCCGTTAGACCGCATTCAAAGTCGGGCGGCTCGAATTATTGATAGTCAACGCCTGTCCGACTTGACTCACTGAAACTGCGCAGAGATGTTACATCTCTGTGCATCTTCTACCGAATTTATCATGGGGAGTGTTCTGAGGAATTGTTCGGATTGATACCTGCTGCTGATTTTCACCATCGTACAACCCGCCACAAACTAAATTTTCATCCCAATCATCTGGACGAGTGGCGGTCTTCCACCGTGCGATTCTCAAGGCACTTCCTTCCACGCACAACCATTCTTTGGAATCAACTTCCAGCAGCAGTATTTCCGAACTGATACGACAGCATAAACTTCAAGAAAAGAGTATATTCCTTTTTAAAAGGCCGGCAGCACACCTGCAATGCCGCTGGTGTTGTGGGTAATGATCACCGGGTGGCGGTAGTCACTTACTATCAGGTGAGCCGCATGCTCGTTTGCCCCCTGTGTTGTAAAAAAAAAACGGCTAATTATGGGGTAATATTAGTAAATATTACATACTTGTAACCCTATTTACGCACTCATAGATAAAAAGTTGACGTGTATTTGCAAAAGTATTAGTAGACTTACTCTGTCTATAAAATCGAAGGAAACAAGCAAATCGAACACACGCCCTCTTTCGGTAAACGCTTAAAATTATATGAGAAAAAAAAAAGTAATATTGCAATAGTGTTATAACACGCCCATAAACTATCATCATGTAATACGGTCCACATATTAATCTCGTTGTAATTAAACTAAGACAAATTATCAAAACAGAGGGAGACGATAACAATCGCCTTTCTCTTTTGCGAACCAACACAATCTGGGTAGAAATTCATACGCTGTTATTATGAATGTGTAATTAACGATTCAAGTATTCGGGTGTTTCCACAAAAAAAAACACCTCCGCTGTTACATCAAGTTCAACAAGTGATACAATCTAAATGAAATAAAAATTACACTATTTTGTTCGTAATATAAAATATGGAGTGTGCTAGAGTCCAATTCATGAGCGCCAGCGGGTAAATAATTTATTTACAACGCTGAATTTTTGATTCATTTTATTAAATAATACATTAATTAATCAATGGATGCTAGTTCACGTAGTGTTTGAGTATTATAGTATAATCTGTGTGATTTAACCAAATATTTGGTATTAATATTTTTGCAGTTATTATAGATTGACTTCTATACAAATTTTTTGCGGTAAAAACTATCAACATATAAATGTATTATGTCTGAGTCGTGGAAATTCATCCTTGCATTTTCTTCATTTAAATATTTACTTACAATCACTAACATTACTATCTAGTATTCGTCACCAAAAAAGTAAATAGCGACAGAGTAGAAGAAAGAAGAAGAATGCTAAAATATATAAATATGTAATTTTATCACTTAGACCAAAATCTAAAGGAGATTTCACACTAGACGTGCCAGTCCGTCACGCGGTAGTCACCGTTCCGTTCATTGACCTAGGAAAATATAACGCTGCTTTCTACCAACGTTGGTTAATTCGATGATAATTGACGTGCATATATACGAGATACGTGTTATAAAAATTCGCTTTTATTACTTTTGTTTTATATAACAGTTCCAATTCCAAACGTTATTAAGTACAAAATGAGTTGAAAATTATATTGTCATTTATTAACTGATTACTAGATTTACTCTCAGCCAGCGGCACAATGTGCCAGTTGCTAAAACGAAACCCTTGATTTCATCATGCCCCTCCGTCTGCTTATTTAACAGTCTCTCTGTACGTTTTCTATTTCAAATGTCAAACAAGCGAACCGCCCTCTGAACTAAAAGCAGTGCTTGCTATATATATATATATATATATCTCTATATATCATGAACGTCACTAAAATTATTGTATCATCCTTATAACGTGAACAGTAAGAACTGCTTGTTTAATATCTGTAAGTACCAACTAATGTATTATAGCTTTGCAAAGAAAGAGTTCATCTCTTGCTTCTTTACTTGAAAGGTAGAATGACTTTAAAAGGACAAAGAACTTAGAATAAAATTAGATTAGTCAAGAGCTAGAATATAGACTTTTGTAAATTTAGACTGAAAGCACGACTACAAAGCAAACAGTGAAACAATCTTCAGTTTTCGAGTATGTTCTACTGTCTTCTTCTACGCTTTGTTCTGTTAATTCACTGACTCTTGTTATTTTATTGTTTAAGACACAGTTGACACAGGTCGACGTTATGCTAACTGCTATGTCAAGCAAAAGCATTTAAATCACAAGGAATGTGAGCATCTTCTGCAAAAGTCCAAGCTAGTATTCTTAGAACATCCTACAAAATTGTTCGTGGAAGGAAACATTGCTCTTAACACGTTTGAACTAAATAAAGTCAGAAAAATGGAGAAAGAATAGAATCATTCGTTTGATGCAATAGATACCTAATTCGATTACGCCTTTATCAAATATACGCAACTTCTAGAGACTTAACTTTTAAATTGGACAATATTAAACCATTTATCTAAATACATAATCTTAAAACTGAAGCAATAAATGCAAACTTGAATGTTGATGATCATGAATACAGAAAAGGAAATTGTGACTTTCACTCAGAGCCCAACTTCCAACAATCATCGCACTACTCCTACAAGTCATCACAAAATATGTAGTAGCACTGATTAAATGATTTCTCCACGGTGTTGTCATAACGAGCCCATTGTTACAGCATGACGGATGATCGCGTGGATGCTAAAATATAATAACATTCTCTACTAATGATATAGTACGACCCTGGTGTTAGCAGTTATTATATATTTCTTTGCAGGGCTCCGCTGATAGATAATATCACTTTCTTAAAATACTTTAATCCTTACCAATAAGATGTTATAAACGTGAAAGTAAGTTTCTTTGTTACCTTTTTACACTTCAACATCTTAACCAGCCACTATGAAATCAGTTTTGCATGTAGTATATGGTATGGAAATAGACATAGGCTACCTTTTATCCCGATTATGAAAGATCCGGAATCGAGATGCGATTACGCGGACAAAGTTGCGGGTAAAAGCTAGATCTTTTAAAAAAACTTTAATTTTAACATCATGTGTAAGGAAGATCTACGCCTAGACTAAACCATCATGAATAGATTATGTATATGTACTATCTGAAAAAGCATTCTAGTCTTTAGAACTGCCATGTATGGATAAGCCTCTCTTATTATGTAAGCGAAGAAAGTGAGAAAGAAAAGCTTAAGGTACTCAGTTATATCACATAAGAGATTAGGACCTAGTGAATAAAGTAATATGATCTTCAAAGTAAACTCCATCGGCGAAGATGTAAAATAATAAAACCACAAAAATTTTAAAATAAACATGTATATTGAGTTTTATTCAATTAAATACCAAGAATAAATTCTTTTAATACGCTCTAAAATAATAAAGCATGACAAGCAGTGATTTTACACATAATTTTTCTAAAATCTAAAGCATAACGTTTTTTTTTTAGGACAAACAACGTCCTCCTATTTACAATCCTGAAGACTACGCGACCTCCTTGAAGAAATGGGGGAAGAAGAGTGGCGGTGGGAGTCTTTACGACGCAGAGAGCGCACAAGACGCTAACAAATCCAGGACATTGCCCAGCCAAAGCAGTAAAGACTTCAGGTAAATAATTTATAACTCAATCATTATCATCTCAAAGGCTTTTTCTTTTTCTGGAGTAGCTAATTCATAATCTAGATTCAGTCTTGCATATGTTATTGTCTTATGGTCTATGTTAGTTAACCATTTTTTTTCTGACAGGAAATACATAACCTCTTACTCAAAAATTTCGGAAGCTTACCCATCAAGAGTGATATCGTATAATTGGCTACTTATTTATATGCTGTTTTTTATGTCAGAAATAATAGCATAATTTCGTTTAATAATACATATAAATAGAACTTAATGCTAATTATAGTCATGGTACCCATACACATGTAAAATTATCTTATACATAATAATCAAAAGAGAAACTGTTGAGTTTCTTTCGGATTCTTCTAATCAAATAACAACATTCGGAATCCAGAAGTAGAATTATAAAAAAATAACGATTTAAAAGAGCTTATAAACAAGTCTTATTTCAGTAAAGATTATTACTATTAATAGGCTTCTTTCAGTTTGAAATTTGTTCTCTCTACCTCGGTGGGGTTTTAAAATGGTTTAAAATCAGAAGAATAATTTTATTTATTTTAAACTTACGACGTATTATGTTTTCCTATTTTATTCTCATTCAAATTCATCTCTGCATTCACTTCTTTTTGGGTATATAATTTTTCACACAGTTTTTAGTCCAAATTATCTACTACTGTTCTTAAACTTGCTCACAAGAGTAAATTGTGATATATTTATTCTAGAAACCCATGTTTGGGCGTCGGTGAAGAGATGACCCTGCGCCAATTTGGAACACCAAGCGAACTGCTCACCAAACTAAGGGCAGATCTCAGACTCTCATTTCCAAGGTAAGAATGTGAGCAGAGAAATATGACGTTCATACCAATATATATACGAAGATATTTATCGATGTAGAGGGTGCAAAATTATGTGTTTGCATAGAAGTATAGTAAATCGTGTGGTCCAGGTGTAGAATGGGCTACCCCTTCCTTTCCCGTGGGTGTTGTAAGAGGCGACTAAGGGAACTTAATGGTCAAGGAACGGGCAGCAGCATCCCTCTTAAAACATGACCAAAGCCTAACTGGGGTTGTCAACCCACCCGCCAAACATGGCAACTATTGGCAAACCCCCCCTTATGGGGGAGGCCTATATACACCAGTGAGCAGCGAACAGCTGAAAAGGGATGACATTATATAGAGTTAATTATTGAGTCATTAGGAATGGCAACGCATGAGGCGTACCATAGGTGTTACCGTGTACTCGAAGATATTTATAGGTGACGTTTACAATTTTCCATTAGATGGGTCGTAAGCTTGTTTGCCATTCTGAGTTGCATAAAATAGTAAGATTGTGTCAAAGGCTTTAAAGTGGAATAAAATCAATAAAATTACTGAGTTTTTTTTTATACAACTTAGAATGGCAAACAAGCTGACGGTCCACCTGATGGAAAGTGGTAACCGTCGCTTATACACATGAACAGTACCATGGACATAACAGAGTATACTGTTTCGTCCATGATACCCCCATGCGTTGCCATTCCTGAGGACTCAAGTATTATTCCTCTGTACCCAGTAAATTCACGCCATATCCCACCCTTCAAACCGAAACACAGCCGTGCAAACACAACTGCTTCACGGTTGAAACACGAATGGGACAGAGGTACCCAAGCAATCGACTTTTATACAAAGTCTCTCCTCTGGTATCACCCTCTTTTCCTCCATCCTCATTTCATAAAAGTGGCGACTGATGTCTCTTGTACGATGAGTCAGGTGTTCATAGGCTACCATGATCACTTACCTTTAAAAGAACCACAAAAATGATTTATGATTCTTAATTAAGGTGAAAAGGGAGTAGGCTACTTTTATCCCGGTCAATGAACCAATCCCAGTCACGTGGACGAAGTCGCGTGTAAAAGCTAGTGTTTATATAACATGCGACATCAAGTGAGCAGTCATGTCACTATATAAAGTGTAATCTCGAGTTTCAAAACAAAACTTGAGCAATCTTAATGGAAATTAGTAAAACTTGATAATATGTGAAAACATAGGCAAATACATTTTTTTTTATTTATAAAATGGATATTTATTCTAAGTACTTGCTTGGTTCGTAAAAGGCTCACCGCTATTATTAAATTGAGTACATTTTTAAGATTATGTCCTATTCTATGCTGTTGTTATGTTCATATTGTTATTAATAAGCACTAAACTATTTTAATAGTTACAAGGCTCATAAAACTTGCATTAAAATTATCAGAAAAAGTAAAAATATAATTTTATTAGTAAGCGCTTCGCTATTGCGAAGACTTAGGTTTATTTATTAGGAGTAAGTTACAAGCGTAAGCGGAAAATTTAAAAAATTAAAAGTAAACGTTATTTTAAATCAATCTTTTTTAATGACACATTAAATATTTTTATTTTTATCTTTTTTTTTTTAATATTTTCTACAAATATTTTACAAAATGAGATATTTTTTTTATATTGATTAATGTCTGCAATATTGTTATAACGCAATTGAAATTTAGAACTTCTTTAGATTTATGTGTACTCTGTATTCCTTATTTGTATATTTTCATCTATTTTTGAAGCCACAACTCATTTTAACTGTGCATTTAAAATTAAACAACCAAAAAACTTTTAATGTCTATGAGACAAGATATATAAAGTTTTTATTGGCTGCTACCAAGTTTTACGAGTGCACGGTAGCATTATGCTAGCATGCATGGGTTTATGATCGTTATTTAATTTGCGAGAAAAAGGAACATAATGGACCGTGCATCGTTTAATCGGCCATTATCAAGTCATAAAGTTGTTAAGTTATAAGGTTAAGGGAATCATCTTATGGTTTATCTTCATTAACTTCGTTGTATAAAGTCTGGAGCGCCGCGGCTTAGTGTTTACTAACTTTATTTATAATTCTAGACATCCTTGTTTCAAATATGGCCGACACCACTTAATTTTATGTCTTCATTTAAATGTGCATGTGTCGGTATACATTTTTTGATAATGGAAAACATAGTTAAAAAAAATACAAAATAGTAATAGATTCATTGGATTGTTGGATCGAAAATTATTCACAGCGAATTACGGCTAAATCGAATCCAACACAACAGCAACAGTTGACCACTTCATCTGAGATTACAGTTTCAAGCATATTATGAAACACTATAATAATCCATAATCCAGTGATAACATGATTATATAATTCGTCTATATTTTCATATTAAATACTCGTAATATTTAAATTATAATAGGTAACTCGTGAAAATATAGGATTGAAATAAATAACAAAAAAAAAAAAGAATTTCAATGCTAATTATTATCTATAATCTATACTGCGATAAATAATGTTGACTCTTCTGCATTAATTATTCAAATATGACCCCTTTCTGCGAATCTACGCATAACAAAATGTTATGAATATTAATTTATGTAACAGTATAATCACTGTTATTATTTTGTTTACACTACATAAGTATTTCAAATTTTAATAAAAACGAATAAGTATATTTAATATTTAATATTTAATATGTATATTATATTTAATACTTTATTTGCACATAGTCAAATAAAATATGAAATCTTGCTAGCATTTCACGTAGCATTTCGAATTCCAGAGAAATGTTGACTAGTTAAACGCTGCCGCTTTTACATTGCGCAACGAGAAAGAGATTTTTTTTTTTTTTTCAATTATATGACATCTCTAGTGAGTTCGCTGTGCCCGCTGTCTGTGACCGCAATTATTGTTTATGCCCATAAATTATACAGTGTCCAGGACTCCACATTCCGATTGAATGGAATATTTTCTTTTAATATTCGTCTGGCGCCATCGTTGTAAATAAATTTTTATTACTCGACGAAAACTTTTAATGTCGCATTAAGGTGTTTTTGGTGTCGTATTATAGTTATAAATGATATCTCAGACTCATCACGTCAAGATGCGACCATGACAGCTAGGATTGTAGTGATGGACTAATTTTAAGCATGCCAAATTGCTATGATCGAGTCATTCGTGTCAATGGTGGAAACATAGATTATTAATATTTTATCATTACAATAAAATAAAACCTCTTTTGCCGTTTAAGTGACCACAATAACTTAGATTGATTTCCTATAATTTGCAAAAATTTCAATTTTTCTCAATTTATACAAAGTACAAAGTATATAATATTATATTTTTTATTTTTCATTGATTGTTTAGTTGATTTCATTGATTAGTTGTTAATTTAAATACAGGAATTAAATATTAATTGGATGACTATTTGTTGTTAACTGTACTTGATCCATAAGAATAAGTGTACTTGAAGCATAGGAACGTTTGATGTGTGTATATCTGCCGGCGTCCAACAGGTGTAACTTTTCAGTTTTCCATACGAATTTTTGCAAACATTTTCTTTTATACAAACCATAATTATTTATAATTATAAATATAATTAAAATTAATTAGCCAAATCGGTACAGCATTTCTATAGTGATGTGCTTGCATACATTCGGCAATTGATATAAATCTCTTTATATATATGTAAATATATATACATATATACAAAGAGATTTATAAAAAAAAAAATTAATTGGCTCAACGGATTCAAATAAAATTTTAATATTACGTTATAGACAAAACATTGTACTTTAAGTCCTAATTCAACCGTACATTTAAAATTACATCTTATTAATATCAGTATTATTTTAATTCTTATAATTATTTCTTTATAATTTTATAATATCGATTTCAGTTTCGTGCAAGAGTTCGCGTGCGAACCACTAGATGGCGTTACACTGCTGCTCGAACTCCTGCGCAACGTACAATTGAGCCAGTCCGGAGAAGGGGCCAAGGGTCCACCTGCTGTTAGGCGGAGACCGCTCCTGGATGAGCTGGCCTGTTTGTAAGTATTATTGTCATAATAATATTCAATTCATTAACGACCTACTTCTGGGTATGGATAATTCTTCATCAAACCTCTGCAAAAGTAATACATATTAAACTATCTTACTGTTATTATGCTGTACCTGAAATATTATTGCCTCTTCTTTCCCGTGGGTGTCGTAAGAAGCGACTAAAGAAACTTTTACACTGCATTTGTACGAGATCGTACCAGAATTAGCTACTCTGCACCAGTTCACGAAAAAAATCTTAATTTCCAGACAATGCCTTTGGAGCTGTTGTACCCGGTACCCTGACTGCGTGAGGAGATTGGTTGCTGGCTCAAACTGCGTCTATACCTTGACCGTTTGCATCATGTCCACAGTTAACAAGTCTCGAGTTTTGGCATTGCAGGTAGTACTACACTCATTACTACATTTATTAATATATCTACATAAAGCTATTTATCATTGACAATCTTAAAAGACAAATACCTCTAACGACCTCTTTAAAGATTATATTCATAAGTACATAGAAACATTATAAAAGAAACAAAAAAAAAATACTACAAAATTTAGTAAATAATTTATATAAGAAATGCTACAAGAAACTGTAATTAAAAAAAATTAATAGGTAGTATTTACTTTTTTCTATTCTAATTTTTAAGACTCCCAATTTCCTTTTAAAAAAAATTAACTTCACAAAAATATAGGTCCATATTACTCTTTATGGGCATTGCTAATAGAAAAATAAGGTAATCATGAAGATTAAAGGACATAAAAATAAATTTTCAAATTCAATAAATGCATCTAGAACTACTAATTCCTTCTTATCTTCCAGCTGCTGACAAAAGCATGCTTCCCACCAGTTAATGGTCACAGCATGATATCAGAAGCACTGTCAACGTTGCGCCTTCGTTACGGGGAGCCAGTTCGCTTCAGGTTCCTGGTGGGAATGCTACAAAGTACTGGTGGTTCAGGGGAGCTGCAGGCCGCAGGCTTGGCCTTTATCAATGCCCTACTCATAAGCGCACCAACTCCCCAGCGAAAGTTGTATATACAAGCTGAATTGGAACAGGCCAGCTTCGATATTGTTACTTTGAAGAAGGTAAGTGAATATTTTATTTCTTTCACATAAACAGAATCGCATTTACAAATAATAAGTCTAACAAGACGATAATTGCAATTTTTTAAAGACCTTTGGGAAGAATAATATTATCATCATCTCAAAAAAAAAATAACTGTTCCTTTACTGAACACGGATCCTTCCCATCACAACAGAATAAGAGCCTACTGTAACCTTGCTGGTGAGATGGTTTGTTATGGATTTTAATTTAGTAGTTTATTTGTGGGTTCTCTTAGTCGATTCTTTGCAACATCCCCAAGATAAAAAGGGATGGTGATACTTTCAATCTTTTCTGGTCATAATTGCTTCAACTGTTGATCAACTTAGCTGTGTTTTTATATGACGGGAGATAGAAAACAAAAGTGGTACTCCGTGATGCTTTTAATATCACTCATGCATACTTCAGCACCAAGTGTCATGTTCCTTGCCCACTAATTTCACTGCTTTATTTTTTTAAACTAAACACAGCCATCCAAGCACATTTACTTGTTCGTATCATTTGTTTTAGTTATCTATTTGTACTTGAATTTGTATTTATTTCATTTCAGATGATTAGTAAATTGCCTAACGCAAATGAACAAGTGGCAAAAGAAATAGAACATTATGAAAAACAACTAATTGATATAGACACGTTGAGTGAAAAAGCTAACGAAGCACTGAAAGAGAAAGATGATCTCCGTAACAAATTAGATCTACTAGAAAAGAGAGTTAAGGTATTCAATAACAATTTTATAAGAAACTACCTGCAAACATAATGCTGTACAGGCTAGAGATAAAAAGTTGTATTCTTATACTGTGATCAAATAATCAAAAATGTATCAAAATCAAATAATCTAACAACAGGCGCAATAAATAATTTCTAAATTTTGATTTCTTATCTTTCATCGCTAATCCTATGAATTTGACAGTATATCTGTAAACTAAATTTCATTCAAATCTATTCAACAATCAACATGTAGCCGAGTATCAAACAGCCAAAAATATTCAAAAACACTACATAAAATCCAGTTTAAATATCATATTTTTATACGTTGCAGATACTTCAAGAAGAGAAAGGAATATTATTATCTTTAGAGAAATGTTTGAAGGAAAAATGCTGCGAACTACAGGAGGAAGTATCCTCACTTAGATCTGAACATGGCAATAGCAATAGGAAGAAGACGTTCGTCATTAAGAAAAAAAATTCTGCTCATAAGAATCGAGGTAAGATTAAATCTAAATATACACATAATCACCTTACAGAGATGTCACGAATATAATAAATATCAATCTGTTTTAATTTCAGACGAATCTTCACCACCTGAAGATGAAGGCATCAGTTCATCAGAAAGATCTCTCAGTCCTGATGGCGACCCTCAAAGAGACTCCGTGGTTTATGAAGTTTTCAACGTCAAGAATGAAACTTATGATTTGATGCGAAACAAACGTAATCTTCATAAAAAGTTCGAATCAACGAAAAAAACTGATAATAAGAAATCATCTGATGAAGAAGAAGAAACAACCATAGATGAAGTTATTCAAGAACTCAGAAATATAGTTAATCATGCCGAATCAGAGCAATACAAGAAAACGCCAGATGGATATATGGATAATCGATCATCTAGATGTAACCAAACATCTGAAATCAACGTATCTGTAAAAACATTAGAGTGTCAAAAACACAGAGAAGACGATAAAGAAGATTCAGTCACAAGTACCAGACACAGTATTCAGATAACAAACAGCAGCAATGAATACCTAAACGATAATAATGAAGAAGAAGACGATGAAGTTAAAATAATACCCAGCAAAATTTTTCCACATCCACCAAGGAAAGCCAAAAGCTTGATACATTTATTCATCCCACCGTCTGACCAAGGATTAATTTTCAAGCGACCTGATTTATACGACGACACTTTTTACTCGAGCGATGAAGGATCTGATTCTTTATTAAGTGCTTCACATTGCCAAGATCAAGTAACTAAAAATATATCAGGGTCAAGTTTCGATTTTCAAGAATGTCGAGCATTATTCAACTCTTTGTCTGAAAAAGAGAAAATAGACAATAGAGTGAAACGCTCCAGAACTTGTTCTAGAGAAGAACCGAAAAGAACTTCTATCAAACGAAGCGAGTCTTTTCAAACTTCAGAAAAAGGTTCGCGCCAACGAGAATATATTGATAGTATGTTTTACAACGATTCGAATACCTCTATAAGCAAGTCCAATTTACAAAGATCCAATTCCAAATGCAGCCGTGTAGATGAAATAGTAAATTTGATAGAATCAAAAAAGCTGACGAAAAGTTTAGACAGAATTGATGAGGGATTGAATTCGATGGTTGATATAGTGATGTTGGCGGAACCTAAGAAACCTTCCTGGCCCTATGAAAGGAGGCAAAGGTCATGTTCGAGAACAAACAGCGACGCCGGTAAAGAATCTCCAGTAGTACCAGTGACTAGATCAAACAGTAAACTGAATAGTTTCCACCAGAGATTCGACTTGCGTTCTAATAAAACCAGAGACGAGGGGAATAAAATTGAATCACAGAAATTCTATTTGCCTCAACCTAAACGAAGTACTGGGTCTTACGATAACCATACTCCATCCTACACCAGTCCATCGTTTCTCGTGAAGCGTGGTCATAGTAATGCGGGATTCTATTCTGGAACACACATGTTAAGGGATGCGCCCGCTAGTATGACGAGTCTCGTCATGACTGGAACTCACAGCCACGCCGATTTAAAAAGAACTTTGTCGCCGATGGGGACATCTAGTAACTTCGGAATTCATAAAGTAACAGATATGCCTTCAGGATTGTATTAATAGTCGCCTTTTCATCGATATTTATGTAATCAAACCAACGATTAATTTAAGATATTTCGTACCTAATTACTTCGACTAGTGCAATATTATAACCTCTAAGGAATGGTAGTGTCAACGTAGAAATACGTTGATTTAGGAATGGATATTCGTTAGTTGGTTACTGTTAAAAAATATTGCTAATTGTTAACTAAAATTAGGATAATCAAGTTTAAAAAAAATTGGTGCATCAAGTATTTCCTCTTTAATTTAAATGTTTTTTTTAGATTCTTCGAGTATTTTGAACAGAATCTTGGTAATTTTGTATGTGAGCAAAATTGGCTTAAGATCACAATTTAGTTTTGATTGCTGCCAGTTTTTGTTTTGGTTTTTTTTTTTTTTGTTATAATTATTTTTTTTTGTACCTACTTCTTTCCTCTTGTTTGCTAATTTTGGAGAAAAATATTCTTATTGATTTCTTACGATATTAGTTCAAATTGTGTTTTTTATCTATCAAACCTACTCGTGTCATGGCTGTTATTTTTAAATGTTATCGTATTTGAAAACATTCAACAGATATTGTTTAGCTTTTTCGACATTTTTTTAAAAATAGAATGATGTTGATCATACCAAAGTCAAACTTCTTAAATTCACGACTAAATATGAATACGATGTAGGTACGAGAGATTTTATTCATAAGGACAATATACAATACATACAGACTGAATTGTAACGAAGTGGATTATTTTTATTTCAACTAAAATAATTCATTCTATTCACATAATCCTTTATTGAATAGCATGCTAAGTTTTCCTTCTTTGTAACTTTATACTGTAAATATTAAATTTTTCTTAGCAGCGTAGACATGTATAATGTGATTGTTTTTAAACATTAATTATAAAGCAATTCTTACTTACTTTGCCTTTTATTTGTGATAAAAACACTTTGCCTGACTAATGAAATAAAAATATTGGAGGATAGTAATTCATTTGAAAAAGAATTACGAACGCAAGTTCGCGATTATATTATGAATATAGGTAGATAGATAAATAATTTATTTGCATTACTTACAGCACACAAACAGCAACAGAGACAAATGCAAAGTAAAAAAAGATTTAAAAAAGATACATGTACAAAAAATAAAAATAAAAAACAAAATCATTCTGCATAAAATTTGTAAAAATTTTTTTTTTCTTCATGCGTGCGCCACAGTAATACAAAATACAAAAATATATTTAGAAGAAAACAAGTGTTCCATGAATCTGTGCAACCAAATTTGAAAATTTAATACTTTAAATTAAATTTTTAATTTTTTTTTAATTTTTTAATAGTATCTAATAGTAGTAGTTTACTACTAGATAGGTATTTTAAGATACGTAATTTCACATTCATACGTAATACCTTTTTTATACGACTTAGAATGGCAAACAAGCTGACGGCCCACCTGATGGAAAGTGGTAACTGTCGCCTATAGACATGAGCAGTACCACTGACATAACAGAGTATACTATTTCGCCCATAATACCCCCCATACGTTGCCATTCCTGAGGACTCAGGTGTTATTCCTCTGTACCCTGTAAATTCACGTCATATCCCACCCTTCAAACCGAAACACAGCCATGCAAACAACTGCTTCACGGTTGAAACACAAATGGGACAGAGATACACAAGCAATCGACTTTTGTACAGTCTTCCTCTGGTGGTCCCTCTTTCTTATCACATTCTCTTCTCTTCGGATCGTATTTACACTATTTATAGTAATTCACTTCAGATTGAGTGGTGTCATCCCAAACCATTGCACAAAGATACCTTTGACATTCTCTATCTACGCATTTGGCGTCAATCAAGAAATGAAATTCCAAATTTTCGGTCTTAATTTTGTGTTTTTGTTCATACCAAAATCGATTCAGTAAATGAAGTTTAACATTTATATCCTACCATAAAAGACCAAAGGAACGATATTTTAGCATTTATAAACGGTATGTATTATGTAATTTTAACATGAAATGGCGTGTTTCATTCGGTCTCGTAATTTTGAAAAACATTACATATAAGCCCTCAGATACAATCACAGACATAGTACAAAACTACAGAGATAATTACCGAAATCTTTAAGATAATCCTTTTTTAATCTTCATGTTTCTTTTTTAATCTGTCAAATATGAAATTCGTAGATTACGGTTCTGATTCCGTGATTATTGATGTAAAAATAGATATCACACAAATTACTATAAAAAAACATGTCTGTATTATTTAGATGGATTCACGGAGGAGATAAGATAAAACGGCAGACAAATAAGTTTAGAGATTTATATCTAGCTAACTAATAAGAAATACTTACGTAAGCCTAAATAAAACTAAAATATTTTGTACAAAAGTCGATTGCTTGGGTATCTCTGTCCCATTCCTGTTTCAACCGTGAAGCAGTTGTGTTTGCATGGCTGTGTTTCGGTTTGAAGGGTGGGATATGACGTGAATTTACTGGGTACACAGGAATAACAGCTGAGTCCTCAGGAATGGCAACGCATGCGGAGTAACATGGGCGAAACAGTATACTCTGTTATGTCCATGGTACTGCTAATGTCTATAGGCGACGGTTACCACTTTCCATCAGGTAGGCCGTCAGCTTGTTTGCCATTCTAAGTTGTATAAAAAAAAAAGTTAGTAATTGTAGATTGTGACGAAAAGTATAAACTTAGTTTGTCAGCGATTGCGTGAGATAGAAGCAGTTGAAGAAGATCCTTGTCCAGCAGTAAGACACAATAGGCTATAATTGGTTGATCGAGTACAGTTTACATGCTTAGTCTTAGTGACCATTTTTACTTAGCATTCGCTTCAGCTTCTCTCATAAGTTGGATTAGCTTATTATAAACTTGCACCTTTGCATCAGTTGCCCAAAGGTAGTCTCGATGTGAAAAAGTCGATCTCTGTATTAAGTGCATACCGGCTACATTGGGCAGCCTTTCAGCTAAATGCAATACATCTCTGTAGTCAGTAGTTACATCACCAAAAGAATAATGCAGGTAGACTGGGGCTGTAACTTGTGAGAGATTGTATAACGGTGCCACAGGGCGATCGTATGTTTCAATGTTGAGGATGGGCCGGTGATGATCATATCTTCTGAATTCTTTTATGTTTACGCATTGAGCGTAATGATTCACTTGTCGTATAGACGATCCCGCTGGCATGTGACCGAGAAACACTGGCGATAGTGTCTGCAGAAAAAAAAAATAACCAATTGGCATAGACCACAGAAGTGAATTCTTTTTTTTATCATGTTTAGGGTGATACTAAGTTCTAGCTTTTAAAAAAATGCTATTTCAATCACGGGGAAATTCATTTTTTTTCTTTTTTTTTTATACCACAAAAGTGGCAAACGTGCTTACAGTCCGTCTGATTGTAAACGGTCACTGTAGACTATGCCTGCAGCAACAGTAGTGTCACGTGCACGTTGCGACCCTAAAGAAACCTTAATATACCCTTTTTGAAAGAACTTTTTTTTTATTATTAAAAACTTATCGAATTTACTTAGCAATAAACTTAGATATTATTTATTTATCTTACTAATGTAATAAAATTGTAACTAGACCATGTCTATTTTAAACTTTTGCGTTGATTACACATATTTTAAATACTTAATCGGGTTTTTTCATCACGTCATATATAGGAGATGTTTAAGAAAATTTAATAAGATTAACAGAGGCCATTCATCATTAATAACCATTAATAAATTTGTCTGTCTATATGTTTATTCCGGTATCACGTAAACTACTGCACTAGAGATGTGATTTTCCGAATTGTATTTCTGAAGGTCTAACTTAAACTGTGTGATCTTGATACACCACCATCTAAAAATGGTCTCGGTACTTAATTTTTTTTTTTTTTTTTTTTTTTTTTTTGCTTTTAAAACTACTTAACTTATAAATAATGTGTTTTCTTGTTTGTTTATTTTCTCTTGGCACATCAACAGCTCAGACAATCGTAGAAAAAAAATTATACGTACTATTGGAAATGTGGATACCATAAGAGGCGACTAAGGAAACTTAACAGCCGAGGGATGGGCAGCAACATCCTTCTTAAAATATCACAAAACCTTAACTGTGGTTATTAATCTACCCGCCAAACGTGGCAACTACTGGCAAAACTTCTTCTTTAGGCTTATATTTAGCAGTGGACGTTTACCATTAAACCATTAGATGGGTGTGTGCTTGTTTGCCACATTCATGTTATAAAAAATCCTATCTTTATTAGTTTTGGCTTTCTCTTTGTATGGATAGTAAAGTATATCCTTTTAGTTAAAAAATAAATTCTCAAAATCGATTTATAAATGACGGAGTTACGAGATAACAAAAATAATAAAAAAAAGATACAACGGAAATGAGATCCTTCATTTTTTGAAAAAAAAAATTTGAAAAAAAAGTACACATTTACCGTATTAAAATAGTCAATGTCACCGTCCATCAATAGGTAGACACAGAGATCGTGGAATATGTCGCCCTCCTTACAATATCTTGTAGCAAACCAAGTAAATGCAGCCCTATTTCCCAATATTTCACTAAATCCCAATTTCTCACTAGCAAGCTGCAACAATAGAAAATATTTAAATAAGATAACTTAAAACTAATATAAATAATCTGAGAATACTTTGAGACTTGATATGGATTTGTAATTGGTTATTGATATAACATTATGGTAAATCCCCCTATATGGGGTACGCTATGTTAAGCAATGACTACCAGAATAAAGGTACTATTAAGAAAATATAATATCACCTGTGATTTGGATCTAGAAGGTGCATTATATTATCTGTGATGGTGCTATGCAATATATTCAAGCGTGTTTATTTCATTTTTATCATTTATATTTATATTATTATTATTTATTCACATTTTTATTTATAATAACCATATTAGAAAAGTACATCACAAAAATTGCAATGAAAAAATTTCATACCTGCGTAACCGCTTCATACGGTGATATAACTTTATTAAACGGCACTTCGTTATAAACGAAAAATGCGGCAGGTGCCAGCCCTTGAAATGAAATGAACTTCTCATTGTACTCAGGCCTTAAAGAGTTGAGAACGAAAAACGATGTACAACCCTGCGAGTGGCCGATGTAATGTAACTTCGAATGGCCAGTCAGTTCTAAGATATAGTCGACAATGGTAGGTATATCAATATTTCCGATTTCATCCCAGCTGAACCTCCAAAAATCTTGATTACGCCGGTCATCTGGGTCTAAATACAAATTTGCTCTGGAATAGTAGTTTCCACGGGCATTGGCCAACCATACGTCATATCCGGACTCTGCGAGTATATAACCTGTCGAATAATGTCTTGCTTGCAATATTCTATTTAGATAAAACACTTGACTCAACTTTCTCAACAAAATGGCAAAAATAAAAACAGATTCATCCATATTTTATCTTATATAGGAAAATTGTTACTAGACAGTGTTTATTCCAGTATCATGCAAAAACTACTGTACCAAATTATATGCACTGTACAAAAATATGTTTTTGAAGGTGTAACTTAAAATTTGGTGTATGTTTTATCTTAATACATCGTCTATTTCACTGAAATGATCTATTTCACTGATCATCCTACTTCTGAAATCCACACGTAGTAAGTAATAAGCAAAAGGCTAATCTACAATAATATTTATTCAATTTATTTGTATAAATAGTTTTCAAATCATCCTCACCTAAACTTACGTTTGGTCCTTGTGTGATAAAATCAGCAGATGAAGATATAAGGCCGTGCATGGCTAACACAACAGGCCTGGTAGGGTCCGATTCATTATTCTGATCTCTGCCATGAGGGATTCTGTGAATTTCCAAAATGTAATAATCGGGTGTAATCAATTTGTGAATCTCAACCGGATAGCCATATTTCTCGATCAAACTAGGCTGAAAACAAGATGCAAAATATAAGTGATTTAATTAATGCATCTACGTTTTGTGTTGCAACAGAAGATCATTCTCAGCAAATCACATATATTCTTAATGCAATTTAGCAAATAAATAACTTAATGGATCACCTGCTAGAAAAAGTTAACCGTCTCCTATAGACATAAACAGTAGCAGGTAAGAACATCACAGAATATAATATGCCATCTATGATACTCATATATGTTTCCAATTTTAAAGATCTTTTGCTTCCATTCTTCAAACTGAAACACAGCCATACAAATTCCTATACATGGCTTACACCTAAATGATGCGTATGCAGATGTCTTCTGTATAAGGGCTCTGTTTGGGACGTTATAATTATTACCAATCAAATAAATGATACTCATGATGCCCTGCATCAGGTTTATCATATCATCATGGCAATATATAAAATGCCATGATGATGCATGGCAACTATTGGCAACCCCCCTTATAGAGGGATGCCTAAGTTCAGCAGTGGACAATAAAGGCTAATACAGGGTGGCCCATAAGTCCTTAGTAATGAAAAAAATTAATTAAAATAAAACTAATTACACTATGAATAATATTTTTATTTGTAAATATAGCTAGAAAAACGGAAATTATTTTTTTTGTAAATAACGTCGTCCAAATGTAATCCGTTTAATTCAAATTTTACTTTTCTAAGGACTTTTTGGCTACCCTGTATAATAATGTACTTATTATTAAGTTTATTTATATTTTGTAATCTTGTTTCTGTAACGCCACCAATACTTTGCACTACCCATTGTTGGCATCTAAAAAATTATGGGATTATGTCCGTCATATGTACAACTTGTCAATTGTGTACATTAAGGTAAATAAATAAATTTATATAATTTTAATGTAATTAGCTTCTTTGAAAATTTAAGTTTCTACTACGATAAAATTTCAAACAAGTCATATTACATATACATATATAAGGCGATTATCTCTGTCTGAAAAACAATTGACAATATCATATTCATCAACAAATATTTTGCAATAATGACTATTACTAATTGTAGTAACTTTCCATTAATGCCTAAACAATTATTATTAATCTAATTGATGAATGGGCAATGACTATTATAACGGGAATCTAATGCCTAACTAACTTATTATCGCTACTTCGTACTATTATAAGACATAAGTAACTACTGCCTGATGATTTAATCAATAAGCGACTATCCTACTTATTTTTATGTCATCATCATCATATCAGGCTATTAGCTGTCCACTGCTGAACATAGGCCACGAGGAGGATTTTGCTTATAGTTGCCACGCTTGTTAGACGAGTTTGTAGCCTGTTTTGGCTTTTGGTAGTATTTTAAGAAGGACGCTGCCGTCCATCTCTCTACGCATCTATAAGCTCCTTTAGTCGCTTCTTACGACACTCGCGGGAGAGGAGTGGGTGGCCTATCTTGTGCAGAGATTTACACGGCAGGGCACGGTTTCAGTGATTTAGCAGTCGAATAAGAAAATTAGAAATTACTAAATTATTCTAATAACAAAATCATTAATTAATAATATACTACCAAGAACGAAAATGAACCAGATTTTTTTTGGGGTTTAATGCATAATCCGTCACCATCGTCATATTCGCCTTTGGCTCCACAGTATTGGCCACAAGTCTTCAACTAAAAGAGAGTTTTGACGGTAGTTGCCTCGCTTGGCAGGTGGATTGGCAACTGCAGTTAGGCTTTGGATATGTTTTAAGAGAAACGCTGCTGCCCGTCCCTTGCCAATCCCTTTGTCGCCTCTTACGTGTAATATATTTTTATGTATCTTATACTACGATCTGTCTCCTTGCTGGGACAATAAATGGTATGTTTGACGTATACTTTAATGGCGTGCTCAGTATGCGACCTGAGTCGCATCCTACTTTATTTTATTGAATCATGTCTTGGGGCATTTTGCGTATCAGCCTGCGAGTTATGTGATTTACATCCATAAGATCTCCTGCCAGTCTAGTATTGTATTTTGTAATCCTCTCCTTGTAATAATATTGTAATATCTTTTGTCAAACAGTTCCAATATTTAGATCATGATGCAATTGCTCGTTTGTGATAAACCAAGGAGCACTGGTTATTATTCTCAGCATTTTCTTTTGGAATCTTTATAAAATCTGGATATTGGAGTGAGACGCTGTTCCCCAGAGCTGGATTCCATAGGTCCAGATAGGTTTTAGTACCGTCTTGTACAGAATGAGTTTATTACTCAGAGACAATTGTGACTGGTGACCTAATAACCAGTAAAGCTTTCGCATTTGTAAACCCAATTGTTTGCGTTTGGTCATTATATGTTTTTGCCAGGTAAGTCTTCTATCCAGGTACATACCTACATATCTTACATAGTCTGCTTGTGAGATTTCTAAATTGTTAAGCTTCACTGGGGGCCAATACCTTTTTGCAGTGTAAAAGTAACATTGACAGAGGAATAACATCTGAGTCCTCAGGAATGGCAACGCATGGGGGGTACCATGGGCAAAACAGTATACTCTGTTATGTCCATAGTACTACTCATGTGTATAGGCGACGGTTACCACTTTCCATCAGGTGGACCGTCAGCTTGTTTGCTATTCTAAGTTGTATAAAAAAAAAAATTTAGATTCATTATCTCTGATTCTCCACTTTTTTCACCAGGACGAAATGTTATCTAAAGCCATTTGCAGGATCTGCGTTGAAAGCCTATTTCTATGTTCCTTATTATCACGGTGGGCTAACAGACCTGCCTTTTATCCTCATCTATCATCCCTCACCATCACTTAGGGGGCACTACCCCGCTATCGTAGACCATTAGCGCAGGCAAAGTTTCCATTCCATTATCAACCATTAGAAAAACACTTACAGCATCAAGAAGTGCATCTTCGATTATATTCGACGAATATCTATTGTTGCCATCCTCCTTCAACCAGTTCTCGACGTAATCAGCACCGGGCGACCGTCTCGCTGCCACTGCCGTCGCCAAAAATACAAACAATAACATATTGTACATTTTGCAAATTCAAAATGTATAACCAATTCCACACGCAAATGCCACTTAATAACTACGAAAATTATAAAAGTTTTTAACCCTTTTATGTCGTTATCTGTGTCTGATATATCATATTTAAAAAAAAAAGATAATTAATGTATTAACAAGATAAATAGGTACCTAATAATAAAATTCTAATTTTTAGATTTATTGTACGAGTAGGCATAGGTAATATCAAATAGGCGATATGAAATAATACCGAGAATGTATTTCGTTATTATATATTCCGATATATACATATAGCCTTTCCGGTTTAATATCTAAACATTAGATTTCTCAGAATTTTAATAACGAAAACCAAAAAAAGATCATTTTGATATCACCCTTCCGGTCGTATGTCTGTGTATATATTATAATAGATTCCTCTAATGTCAACAAAAATTTGGACTCTTTAAAGGTGTCATTACACCTTTAAAGGGTCCAAATTTTTGTGAACATATTTTGGCCATATTTTATAGTTAAGCACATTTAAAACTGAACTAGATGAGAGCCAATCTTCAAGTCAAATGAAATACATTTTAAATTATATAAAATTCATGCGCAAGTTTGCGTACTGTTTATGCGCAGGCGCTTAGTCTTATACACACCTAATGTCTGTTTTAAACATTGTTACAAAAAAAAATTTCCAAGATCTTCCTCTTTTGCACTAAATTCTTAGTTTAAAATAAAGTATCAAAATACTTCAATAATTAAAGAGACGAATAAAGAAGGTTACATTACTACTGCGTCAGCGTTTACATTGCCTACTGGTCACAGAGTAATAAGGACAAGTGGAACTGCCCGATAATTTCAATTAAAAGCTTATCTGTGCTTCGAGATGGCTTCGAAAATGTCTTTAGTTTTTCTACTTTCTTAGATATAGTAAAAATATATCTAAATGTTTACAACTGAAACTAGCCATACTCATTTCATAGAAGCGTTTAATAACTGATACGAACTTTGCTAGCTTCCTTTTTTAATACCAATTGGTAAAATTATTTATTTAAGGACTAATAAATTGGAGTACAAAGAAGTTATAATATATAAATATATTCACAAGTATAATTCCCAATGATCCTATATCATCACCGGCGCTTTTTCACTATTGCCGTCAATCATAATTCGACCATACAGAAAAACTGTTACCCTCTTTTTCATGAAGACATTAAAACTCTCATTAACTTATTTTAGCTATAGAAGTGTTATATCCTATTCTTTTGCTCTAAATTCTCAATTTAAAAAACAATCTTATAATTCAATTAGATTTGTAGAACGTTTTAGTTTTAATGAATAAGGTGTTAAAATTATTACGGCAAGATATGATCAAATAACCCGTGTTAACTAAACACCGGAGAGTGTAGTCAAGTCTCCAGAACTAGCATGTTACAAATGTGAAGCAATAGACCCTCACCATCATCATATCAGCTGTTAGATGCCCACTGCTACGTCACCACACTTAGCAAAGGAATTGACAAACGCAGTTAGACTTCGGTGATGTTTTAAGAGGGACGGTGCTGCTCATCCTTTGACCATTAAAGAAGCAGGAGATGTATGTAAGGATTTACAATAGAGTCTCTAAATCGATTCTCTTCGCACAGAAATACGGCTCGAAGATAGATAAAAGTAAATACATATATATTTTAAAATACCATTAGATTTATTCAAACATAATTAACATACAATGAGTCTTAGAATTAATTTTTATTTGTTGCTTCAGCCTTCTTCATAAAAGTGATCAACTTATCATACACTTGTTCTTTTGCATCAATCGCCCAAGCATAATCCAGATGAGTGAAACTTGGTCTTTCTACTTGATACAAACTAACTACATTTGGCAATCTATCGGCTAAATATAAAATATCTCTATAGTCCGCAACTGTATCACCCAGAGAGTAATAAAGATATACCGGTGTGGTGATTTGGGAAAGATCGTAGGAGGGTGGTACTGGGCGGCCATATTTAGCTATATTGGTGATCGGTAGATGGTTGTATCTCCTGAATTCTTTGCTATTGGCGCACTGGCCGTAGTGAATAACTTGTCGTATAGAGACGCCGACTGGAGTGTGGCCGAAATATATTGGCGATAACGTCTGCAAATGTAAATAATGACACTACTTGTAATAAATATAATAATAATAAATGGACAAAGTTACAAAAATCCTGAATCTAAAATGAATTTTATAAAAATATTTGTTCTCAGAAAGATGAACATATGAAAAATTACAATGGTTACCATGAATTCTGACTAACCACCTGATGTAAAGTAACTGTCGTCTGTAGACATAAACAGGACTGTAGAAATTACAGAATATATTCTGATGCCTATGCATGCATAGAGGGAGATGGATTTTTAGTTATGGGGATCTAACAGCTCCATTGCTACCAATATCGACCTACCCGCGGTTTCCCCTGACAAACATCTTGGTTAATTATTTATGACTTTACTATGGGTCAATTGACTTGTTTCATCCTCACCTATTATGTTTTCTCGTTGTGATTATTTCTTGTAATTGTTTGTATCTAAAGTAATCTTTTGAAGGTAACAAAAAAGAGTATCTATCTATACTCTTCTACTGCATGCTAGTGTCTCGCCAGCATAGGCCAATGACGTAGGCGAGGTTGTCATTCCATTATCACCCATTAAAAGAAAAAGCGTTACCATTCGTAAGGACAATTATCTTACGCCTGTGTACTCTGTTACTTCACCGCCATTTTCGACCGAGTGGATCAGAGCTACTAAATTTATCCATTTTTTTATGCAACTTAGAATGGCAAACAAGCTGACGACCCACCTGATGGAAAGTGGTAAGTCGCCTATAAACGTAAGCAGTACCATGGACGTAACAGAATATACTGTTTCGCCCATGATACCCCCCATGTGTTGCCATTCCTGAGGACTCAGGTATGTATGGTGTACTCTTACACACTTACCGTATTGAAAAAAGTCGTATCACCTCCTATCGCGAGTATGCTGCACAGACGGTGAAGTACGCTGCCCTCAATGCAATGATTTACAGCAAACCACATAAAGAGCTCTCTATTACCTAATATCTCACCTATACCTAACTTGCTGGCAATATCCTGAAAAAGCAATAAATTTATTTGTTTTAAATCGTACCAACTAAATCATTAATCATTTATGATGTTTATAACACATAACATGTGGATTATGCATTTTGTAAAAATATAAATATTGTCATAAAAGTAAAAAAATCTTATTGTTAAAATTTTCGTAAGTAAACATTATTTTTTAATGTCAGAACTACTGGTTTAACTTGCGTGTAATTTAGTTGAGAACTAGTTTCAGGGCCCTCAATCTTAAGTGGCTGTGACACAAGCGCAGCCTAACTGCGCGCCTAGCTTAGATTAAAGGCAAAATTAAAGGTCCCGAATGGTTTCGAAACTAGTCGAGCTTTCTCAACCCGATTATACGTAAGTTAAACCGCTAGTTATTACATTAAAGGAAATCTTGTCAAAGATAACAGCAAAGTGATTACCTCAAGGGATGCTTCATATGGTGGAACTATGTCCAAAAAGGCATTTTCATTGTATACGAAAAATGCAGCCGGGGCTATGCCTTGGAATGAAATGATCTTCTCATTGTACTCGGGTCTCAAAGACGCGAGGACGAGAAATGCCGTACAGCCCTGGGAGTATCCGATATAATGCAATTTTGACTGGCCAGTCACTTTTAAGATATAATCTATGAAAGCTGGTAAATCAATATTGCCGATTTCATCCCAGCTGAATCTCCAAAAGTCCAGATTACGCCGGTCATCTGGGTCTAAGTATAAATTTTCCCTGGAGTAATAATTTCCTCGAGCATTGCCCAACCATACGTCGTATCCAGCCTCTGCGAGGATATAAGCTGAGAAAAAGAAAAAATTTGCCGTGAGAAATTAAATGTCAAATCTACTTAATATATATATAGACATGAGCAGTACCATGGACATAACAGAGTATACTGTTTCATCCATGATACCCCCATGCGTTGCCATTCCTGAGGACTCGGATGTTATTCCCCCGTACCCAGTAAATTCACGCCATATCCTACCCTTCAAACCGAAACACAGCCATGCAAACACAACTGCTTCACGGTTGAAACACGAAATGAAATGATCTATAAGAGAACTTGACTTTTTGCAAGTAAGACTTAATATTTATTATATATAATATGATTATTCGACTAACAGCAAGCACGTTTTGAACCTCGAATGCTTTTTAATATGGTTGTTAAGGTATACCATCAACTGAGAGAAGAATCAGTTTTGAAAACAATTTTCAAAGCATTCTTACCCAAAGCACTGGCCGGTCCCACAGCAACGAACTCAACCGACGAAGATGAAAGACCGTGCATGAGTAACACAACAGGCCTGTTAGTGTCCGACTCATTATTCTGATCTCTGCCATGGGGTATTCTGTGAGCTTCCAAAACGTAATAGTCAGATGTAATTACTTTGTGAATTTCAAGTGGATAACCATATTTTTCGATTAAGTCAGGCTAAAAGTAGATAAATAATTTCATTTACAGATTTTATTGTTTTTAACGGAAATATCAATAGAATTATCGTCAAGTATATTTTATATCTATAAGATTTCTTCTTATTGCGTGAGAGGAAGTAAAATTTTGAATAGAATTATTCCCAGTAATTTATTAAACATCTACTAATATGATAGTACCGCATTCGAGTACTCTGACACTTCCCTATGGTTGACTGGGAGAGAATGCTTTTAGCATTAAGTCCGCCATGTACACATATTTGTACTAATGAATAAATAAATAAATAAAAATGATCTTTAAAACCCAAAAGCAGATAGTATTATAGAAGTCATCATCACGATATCAGCCGTTATATGTCCACTGCTGAACATAGGCCTCCCCCATAGACTGCCATAGGGAACGATCCTTGGCCACCTGCATTCTTTGACTTCCTGTTTTAAAAATGTTAAATATGGGATGTCCTCTCTATTAATCTGTCCGATTGTGGAGTAAGGGCATACGGGTACGCAACCCCGGCCTCCATAGCTACTACAGTTACAAAACCTATGTCCTCTCCGTAGCTGTAGTATCCCCCATTTTTCCTATAGTTCCTTTCCACTTATCACCTCCTTTTCTTATAACCTATTCCTTTCCCAATGTAACCTATTTCCTTTCCCTATCCGATGTTAAGAAGAGCAGTTCTTTTTCAAAATGATAAGAGAAATTAAAACGCAACTACCCCAGGAGGGTACCGGCACTGCCGGAGAATCCGTCCCTGAGTGCAACTCAGGCAGTCCCATCGTATCTGGGGGGGACAAATTTCTCATCGACGGCGATGCGTTATGCCACGGGTCACGTCATGTCTCCCCTGTTTCCCCAAATGGCAAAAAGAGGGCAAAGGAATGCCAAATTGCAACGATGAATGTTTGTGGAGGTATGGATAGTAAAATAGACGAAGTATGTGAGATGATGAGTGAAAGAAGAATTGATGTATTAGGAGTAAGTGAAACAAAAAAGAAAGGCTGCTCTATTACTACTTATGACCGATATACTGGGTACTGGTCTGGAGTTAATGACTCTGAAAGAAGCAGCCAAGGAGTGGGAGTTATTTTGTCAGAGAGAATGAATGCATCTGTTAAAGAATTTGAATTTGTAAGTCCTAGACTCCTCTGGATACGACTGAAAGTTGGTTTGACCCGTATTTTTCTCCTTTGCGCTTATGCCCCGGATATGTCCAAGCCACCAAAGGTCAGAGAGGATTTCTGGGATAGTGTAAGAGAGATTATGACTAAATGTAAGGAGAATGAAAGAATTATTTTGATAGGTGATTTTAATGGCTGGGTGGGAATCCGTCGCGATGGATATGAAAGGAATTTAGGAATGTTTGGAGATAAAAGAGTGAATGAAAATGGTGAAAGTTTATTAGAAGTATGCCTGGAGAGAAATCTGGTGGTGACTAATACTTTGTTTAGTCACAAACTGATTCATATGTATACATGGCAAAGGCAAACTGAGAGAAGTATGATTGATTTTGTAATTGTGGATGAACGATTGAGAGCGAAAGTGAAGGATACAAGAGTCTATCGTGGTACGAATGTCGGAACCGATCACTTTTTGGTGATATCGAGAATAGGTGGCTTATTCAATAAATGGCGACATCGTCCACGTGTTCGTATGTCAGAAATAGAAAGAGTAAGAGTAGAGAGACTGACAGAAGAACAGGTTCGAAATCAGTATCAAGAAAGATTGAATGAAAGATTTAGAGAGCTACTGAAGAAAGATAACTATGAGATAGAAGAATTTTGGAAGGAATTTAAATGCGGAATCTTTGATATAGCTACTCAAGTTTGTGGTGTAAGTAAGAGGAAGGATGTTAAGATGAGAATGAATGTATGGTGGGATGGCGAAGTGAAAGAAATGGTGGCTCTAAAGAAAAAGGCATGGATGGATTTGTTAGCTACCAGAGCTAATAAGAGAATGCAAGGTAATGTAAGTGACATTGAAAAAATTGCAAAAGAGAAGTATGATGTAATGAAAAAGAAAGTTAAAGAATTAGTAAACAAAAAGAAAGAGGAATGTAAGGATGAGTATGAAAGGAAATTCTCTAGAAATTTTCGAGCTAATCAAAAGCTTTTCTGGCATTTAGTTCGAACAGCTAGAGGTAAAAAGAGAGATCCGAAAATGGGCGTGATAAGGGATATGGATGGTAATGTTATCACGGAACAAAAGGAAGTCTTAGATCATTGGAAGAGATATTTTGAAAGTTTATTTGAACGTGGAAGTGAAAGAAAGAATGTTGAAAATGAAATAATGGACGAAGAAGTTGACAGTGAAAGTGATATAAGTATGGATGAAGTAATGAATGCAATGAAGATTATGAAATTTGGTAAAGCAGCGGGATTCGATAGAATATCTGCCGAAATGCTTAAAGAAGGTGGAGAAATCATTGTAGACCTGCTGTGTCTGCTGTTCAATAAATGTTGGCGGTTCGGTTGTGTTCCAGGTGACTGGAGCAAAGCTGTTATTGTGCCACTATATAAAGGCAGCGGGTCACAGCAGGAGTGCAAAAATTTCCGCGGAATAAGCCTTCTTAGTGTTGTAGGCAAATTGTATGCTAGGATTTTGATTAAAAGAGTGATGAATGAGACGGAAAGTAAAATTTAGGATGTGCAAGCAGGGTTTCGAAAGGGTATGGGATGTACGGATCAAGTCTTTTCCTTAAGGTGCATAACAGAGAAAACCTTAGCTCAACATCAGAAGGTTTTCTGCGCCTTCATTGACCTTGAAAAGGCTTATGATAGAGTGGAGAGGAATGAACTGTGGTCAACACTGGCAATGTATGGGGTGAGCAGCCATTTGATACGGGCATTCAAATCTTTATATAAGGATTCAAATGCCTGTGTCAGAATAAATGGAGTCTATACAGACTGGTTTGGCATTGAACGCGGTGTTAGACAGGGCTGTGTAGCGTCTCCTTGGCTGTTCAACCTATTTATGGACAGTTGCTTGACCGATTTGAAAGGATCTAATTGTGGATTCAGGATGAATGAGTCTCTGTTTAAGACTCTTTTATACGCCGACGACCAAGTACTTTTTGCATCGTCGGAGTATGAATTACAACAAATGGTGACTATAATAAATGAAGCGTATGCAAGAAAAGGTATGAAAATAAATGCGAAGAAGACGAAGGTAATGGTTTTTGAGAGGAATGAAAGTTTAACGGCATGCCAGATTATGATAGGAGATGAAAAAGTAGAGCAAGTGAGTGAGTTTCTATATTTAGGTTCTTTGTTTACGAGGGATGGGAAGTGTGACAGAGATATTGAGAGGAGAGTAAAAGCGGGAAACAGTGTTAACGGTGCACTGCTCTCGATTATGTCAAGTAAAAATGTATCGAGCAAAGCTCGCCTTGCTATAATTCAAGGAGTACTGACACCAACACTCATGTATGGAAGCGAATCGTGGGTATGGCAGAAGAAGCATGAAAGTAAGATAAATGCTGTACAGATGAGAGCTTTGAGAAGTATGTGTGGTATTACTTTAAAAGATAGAGTAAGAAACAGTGTGGTTAGAGAGAAGTGTGGACTGAAAGACGATGTAGTGACAAAAATTGAAAAAGGAATGTTGCGTTGGTTTGGTCATTTGGAGAGGATGGATGAAAGAAGAATTACGAAAGAGATTTATCGAGCAAGAATGAATGGAGATGTCGGTAGGGGCCGCCCTAGACGGACGTATGTCGACCAAATAGGCGACGTGCTGAAGAAGGGCCAAATTAAAAGTACCCGTAACCGACGAGCGTGTATGACAAGATTGATGAATGTGGAAGAAGCGAAAGAGGTTTGTTTGAATCGAAGCATTTGGCGTTCCATTGTTTCTGCCTACCCTAATGGGAGACAGGCGTGACAGATATGTTAAATTTATCTCATGCAGTGCCATACCTGAGGAATATGGTCTTGTTTATGTTTCCTGCAATTTCACAGCCATTACTGTCATATTAAGTGTACAATCGCCAATGTATTTTTTTTTGTAAAAAAAACAGTCAATACAATAGTAAAGTAAATTAAAAAATCAATAAGATTTTTATATTATGAAAAATAATTTATATATTTAAAATAAATAATTTATATATTTATATATTTAATTATTTTAAAACTAATTTTAAAAAGAAGTTAAGTTCTTAATTCGGTCGATTCATTTGTGTTTGTTACCTTATAACTCTGTCAGTTATAAACCGATTTGGACAATTCTTTTTATCTGAAAAGATGTACCAACAGATTAGCATTGTAGAAATTTTATCAAAATCGATATAATAGTTTGGTTTTGAAATTAAAATAATTGATTTTGCTACAATTGAGATATTTTTTTTTAATTACAATCTTAATTATTTATGTTAATCAAAATAAAAAGTTGTGCCATGATTGAAGAGGATTTCTTTTGTGGAACACGATCTTAAAATTGTCCATTTTATTTTTAACACACATATACCATTCCATTTTCACCCATTAAAAAAAAACACTTACAACATCAAGAAGTGCATCTTCGATAACGTCTGATGAGTACCTATTATTACCATCTTGCTTCAACCAATTCTCGACGTAATCAGCACCGGGTGACCGTCTTGCCGCCACCGCCGTCACTAATGTTACGAACAGTAACGGTAACATATTAGTAAACCAAAATGTAACGTCCTGTACTACCTAGCAATTATAACTTACTGATTACAATAAATAATTATTTTGCCTTGTAATTAATCTATCTAGATATTATGTCTACGCTGTTAATTGATATTATCATTAATTATATATATCAAACAAAATAGTATACACATTAATAGCACTCTTCCTCTCACTTTAAACATACACACACTCACACTGTTCACCTTCTCACACACCACACACTGAACGTTACAGATTAAAAAAATTAATTAACTGTAGTCTTCTAGATAAACAATAATTTCTTTATTATTGTTTATCTGTAATTTCTTATTTATCATCATGTTCATCATCATATATATATATATATATATATATATATTTATTGTAGTTACAATACCTATATTCTGGTCCGAATATGTGAAAAAGTATGTTATCCAAAAAATTATAATGGATAACAGACTTTTGACATATTCGAAAATAAATATGATATGGGCGATATTGAAATAGATGAGGACCTTTTTTCCGCATCAATTTCCAGAGAATCTCAATAAATAGATATTGGATCGGTATTCACTTTACCCACGCTTAGTTTGAACACGGTAATCAATTTCATTTATTTATTTGTTAGCTAATAACCTTTTTATTAGCCTGTGGTCATATTAAGATATTAACATCACAGGCGAAGCTGTAGAATATAGCTACTAGCACAGTGGTATATATTTTCAATTACAAAAATCATTTAAAGGGATATCTCAGCCCTAAGGGAGGGATGGATTGTTAGTAATGGGGATGTTAGACTTCATTAATAAGACTTTACACACTGTTCACCTTCTCACACACCACACACTGAACGTTACAGATTAAAAAATTTAATTAACTGTAATCTTATAGTTAAACAATAATTTATTTTTTTTCCCCTTATTTATCATCATGTTTGTTATGTTTGTAGCTTAATATTGTTAGTTCTGCATGTACAAATACAAAGTACTAGTTCTTGTGTGTTGGAAGGAACTGGCTTACAAGGCACAGGTTACCCTAATTTGTAAGCTAGGGCAAAAAACATGTAACTGTGTAACCCTGTATTTGTTAATAAAGTTTATTATTATTATATCAAAAGATATTTTTATACGAATATAACTTAGAATGGTATGCTTTTGGACGGCTCATTTGAAGGAAATAGGATAACGGTTTAACTTTTTTATTCAACTAAGAATGGCAAACAAGCTGACGGCCCACCTGATGGTAAGTGGTAACCGTCGCCTATAGACATGAGCAGTACTATGGACATTTTTTTTATACAACTTAGAATGGCAAACAAGATGACGGCCCACCTGATGGAAAATGGTAACCGTCGCCTATAGACATGAGCAGTACCATGGACATAACAGAGTATACTGTTTCGCCCATGATACCCCCCATGCGTTGTCATTCCATTTTTACATTATTCCGGGCATTTTTCTAATTCTTTCTTTACAAAAACCTTTCATAGATTTTAACAATAATAAAAAACAATGCTGGATTAATAATCCCGTTGCTAAGAATACACCCTATCAGGTATACCTCAGCACCGTTCCTCTTTTATACCAACATGATCATTTGAAACTAGTAAAGATGGGCTAACTGACCTGCTTTTATCTTCATCTACGTACACTGGCCACTGAATACTGATAACCTAATAATATTCCATTATCACGCATTAAAAAAAACAATGCCTATCGTGTAAGTAGGCCTTATTTATCATAAAGCGATGTACCTTATCAATTTAGATATTACACTCGTCTTATGGGACCTAAGACTAAGATTTGGACCATGATTGCTTTATCTTATCACAGGGTACATAGATTGTATGTAATACGTATTTAAAAAACGAACAGAGTTTCGTGTCTTCAGTCTATAATTACACTTCTCCATCCAAAGGTTGCCTGGAAGAGATCGCTCTTAGCGATAAGGCCGCCCATTGTTTTCTCAGTATCTAATTTATTCTTGTAATTGTTTGTATTAATAATAAGTTTCACTATTGTAATCTATTGGAGGAAACGATTTATATTTAAGCTTTGTTTGTTCTCACTTATAGAGGTGGCACTCCCAGCTGAAAAACCTGTAACAGTAGTTTACCATCTCGCTCTACAGAGAAATAATCTCAAAAACTGAGATTATTATGTTATCTAACCTCGGAAAGGAATACAATTTAAACGACGTTACTGTCACTAAATAAATAAATCCTTAGCTATAATCCACAGCGCCATCTATGTATGATCGTTTATAGGAGTTAATAGCTAATAGCTTTATACAATTTTTATATACTATATATTCTATGTTTTAAGTTGAAATATAACTTATCTTTTTACCAAATTTCATTTAAATCAGTTCAGTATTTCTTGCGTGAAATGAAACAAACAATCCGTTATTATCAACTTCCATATATATTATATTAATAAGATTTATAAAACCTGCACTTAAATAAATGTGAGGGGTTTTTTTTTTAATAGATGATAATGGAATGGTAACCCCGCCTGCGCTATCGGTATACACCGGTGGAGCACCAGTGAAGGATGATAGGTGAGGATGAAGTAGGTCAGTTAGCCCATCGTGACGAATTCAACAAGAATTGTTCACGATGGTTTCTAGGGAGAACCACGTGGAGGTCGACCTAATAAAGCATATTGCTAGCAATGAATGTGAGGGGTTAGGGTAAATAACAGAAAAACCAAAAAAAAAATCCAAAATAATTGTAATACAATTAAGTAACATTGTAAAACAATCAGACATAATTCAAACACAGATACATATAATCAACCTATATGAAATAAATCTATACAATTTATATATCTTTTTTTATATTTGGAAATAGCTAATGGCAGTACAAAACGTCAAAGCCAAATAAGGAAAAAAATACCACTTAGTTTAAGAGACCTAAAGTAAGCCATATTATAAACCTCTGTGACTGAAAAATTAATTTCTTACTGACTTTCTGGTAATAAAAACACAACTAACAATCCGCGTGATAGTTACAGACTTGTCCTCAACTATATTGAAAACCAATAAGTCGACAAAGTACCAAATCAACAACAAACGATAACAATAAATGTAATAATTTTTTTTTTTTACTTTATTAAAAATTAAGTAAATAAAGCAGAATCGCTGTTTACATCTATCACTTTATCCCCTTCATCAGCGTCATCATCATCATCTCAGAAGTTATATGTATTTATAGGGGATAAAAATACTTCTTTTAAATTATACAACAGATTTTAATATAATTTTCACGATTATTTACATATTGTTTTACAGGACTTCTATATTTACAAATTGCACCTGTGCAAAGTCAATACAGGTACTAACTTACACATAATAGTATATATGTATGCAAATTAGTAAGTATTAACACTAAAATAGTAACATCATTTTTTTAATCACAACTTTTGTATCTACCTACATATATAGTATCCTAACCAGATCAAATAAAAAAAATATCAATATTATGATAAATATTTTTTTTTTATTATTTTAAATTATAATTTTACTACATTCAAATGCTTCATTCTCATTGTTTATTCCCATCTAGTTCTTGTAGAATACCGACGATAGTATCATACACTTGCTCCCTAGCATCTACGCCCCAGACAAAGTCGAAATGATTGAAACTCGGTCTTTTCACTTCATACATACCAACCAGATTGGGTAATTTGCTAGCTAGATGATAGGTGTCCTTATATCCTGTCACGATGTCTCCCAATCCATAATGGATGTATACAGGCGTGGTGATTTGGGAGAGGTCGTAGGAAGGCGGTACTGGGCGACCGTAACGCTCAATATTCTTGATTGGTAGATGGTTATATCTTCTGAAATCTTTGCTGTTGTAGCATTGGCTGAAGTGTCCGAGCTGGAGCAGTGATGATCCGGCTGGTGCATGTCCGAGGATTAAAGGTGTTAAAGTCTGCAAATAAAATTGTTATATCAATGATACCCATACCCATAGGCGTATTTGAGGTGAGGTCGTGTGGATCCTGCTCATCCCAGAATTGACAAGTGCCCATCCCGGGATCTTGTAACAATTTCCAGTTATACGCAAAAATATACCTGAGGATAGGCATCCCATGCAAAATAATCTTTAATATGTCAAAGAAGATATCAGTCAGTTTACATCTACACTAATACAATAAAGATGAAGAGATTGCTGGTCTGTTTGAACTAGGGGTGGGTATAGCATATATATATATATATATATATATATATATATATATATATATATATATATATATATATATATATATATATATATATATTGTAGTTACAATACCTATATTCTGGTCCGAATATGTGAAAAAGTATGTTATCCAAAAAATTATAATGGATAACAGACTTTTGACATATTCGAAAATAGATATCCGACTGATATGGGCGATATTGTAATGGATGAGGACCTTTTTTCCGCATCAATTTCCAGAGAATCTCAATATATAGATATTGGATCGGTATTCACTTTACCCACGCTTAGTTTGAACACGGTAATCAATTTCATTTATTTATTTGTTAGCTAATAACCTTTTTATTAGCCTGTGGTCATATTAAGATATTAACATCACAGGCGAAGCTGTAGAATATAGCTCCTAGCACAGTGGTATGTATTTTCAATTACAAAAATAATTTGAAGGGATATCTCAGCCCTAAGGGAGGGATAAATTGTTAGTAATGATGATGTTAGACTTCATTAATAAGACTATACTTTAACAGGTTGACCTCCTGGCAGTTCTCTTTGGAAACTATCGTGTTTGGGTTAACTGACCTAACTTTTTGTTATCGTCTCATAATCCACTTTAGCTTTTTTATATTCATTTATAAAAAAAAATCTGAATCCAATTTGTGTTCCTTTTGCCAAACATCTGTGCTTGTTTAAAAAAGGAAGTGGAACTACGAATAGAAGGTATGGAGGTAACAAACTTTAATCTTCAAGAATAGGGTAAGCGGACCTGTATTGAAATTAATATAACATGTGTCTTACTTACAGAATTTATATAAGGCTCATTATCTCCTTTGATTCTAGTGGTACAATAGTCGTGAAACGGGGTGCCTTCCCGGCATAAATGTACAATAATCCATGTTGTAACTTCATTTTTACCTAATACCTCGCCAACTTTCAATACCCCATAAGTAATATCCTGCAAACAAATAGAATACAGTTGCAAAATAGTATTATTAATTTTTTAAAGTCAATTTAAAGAAAAAATATTACACTCTGACAGGTAATTATAATTGTATGCAATTTCAACACGAAGTTGTCGTGGTCTATTAGTATCTGAAAGTCATTTCGATGAATCAATTGATCTCACTTTATCCTCACCTATCAGTATCATGGTAATGTAAATCCACAGTAAATAAAAAAATCTGCTTAACAAATTGCTCATTCCAATTTAATTTAATGTAGCAGTTTTTGTTTATGTTAATCCCAACACACAAAGACAGATTTAAAAAATATATATTTATGATGACTCTATATGTATGTATTTTTTCTTATATATGTATTAAGTATAAACATTGTCATGTTAGGATTTATTATATGGCATTATATAAATATACATTCGTACCTTAACAGGTGCCTCGTATGGTCCCAAATTTCGGAGTAGATCCATCTCATTATATATGAAGAATGCAGCAGGCGCCATAGCTTGAAACGATAGGAACTTCTCGTTGTATTCAGGTCTTAAAGAGTTGAGGACAAGGAAGGCGGTGCAGCCTTGCGAGTGCCCGATGTAATGCAATTTAGATTTGCCAGTCACCTCCAGAACATAGTCAATGAAGGTAGGTAAATCAATATTACCGATCTCGTCCCAACTGAATCTCCAGAAGTCGGCGTTACGCCGATCGTTCGGGCTCATAACAAGATTTTCCCTAGAGTAATAGTTGCCACGGGCGTTTCCCATCCATACATCGTAGCCAGCCTCAGCGAGAATATAAGCTGCAAGCAAAAAACTAATTAATTTTCTATCCATCTCATAACTAGAAGAAAACTTTCAAAGCCCATATTACTGGTTGTTTGAATAGAACTACTTTGTTTAATTCCGCTAACATGTGTGTGACTGCCAACACTCGAAAATTGACTACCACAAAACTAACTAACACTAGGCTCCGAGAAGCAATCTCATAATCTGCCTGGAGATGCCTCGTTTAGAAGTGAAACATGTATCGCAAAAGACGCGTGAATAAAATGGCATTTAGAGATTTATATGAAAGAGAAGGTTGTGGAGCTTCTGATGATAATAATGGTGGTCATTCTTCAAGTGTTGGCAGTCACACACATACTAATGTTAGCGGAATAAAACAAAATAATTCTAATGAAATAACTTAGAGAAGAAAACCCACCGATCTTTCATTACTGAGTGAATCTCCATTATAAACCAATTATATACGAATGTAGCTTTATTATTCTAAAAGTATGAATGAATGAAAAACTCTTTATTTCTCCCTTCAAATAATTATACAGATTATTAATATAAATAATATGCACACAAACAAAATGAATACTGAATTACATAAAGTTAATTATACAACAAAGCAAGATAAAGAGGCAACAATGGGTGGCCTTATCGCTAAATAGCGATCTCTTTTAGGCAAGCCTAGAATAGAGAGGAACGTTTAAAATTGTTTCTGGTGAAGGCGTAACAAAAAAATAATAAGACTAACGGGAGAAAAGAAGAATTCAGAAGAATTAGACACGATTTTCAAGCCGCGTGGAGATCGATCTGATGATGATGAGAGTTAGTTTGGCAAAATTATAGTTAACATATGAAGCAAACGAGCATGCAGTTCATTTGATGGTAAGTAACTATCTTCACTTCGTACGTTTTAGGTTTGACTAATATCATAGTTTATTATTAGGATGATAATCTTTAAAGAATCTCACCTAAAGCTCTCCTAGGTCCCAGAACAACGAACTCAGCTGACGAAGACAAAAGACCGTGCATGATGAAGACAACCGGTTTATTGGGGTCGGGCTGGTTGTTCTTGTCTCTGCCGTGAGGGATTCTATGTAGTTCCAGAACATATTTATCCTTTGTAACCAGTTTGTGTACTTCCACTGGATAGCGGTACTTGGTAATTAGGTCAGGCTGGAAAAGAAATAGGAAATTTTAAATTAATATATGGATATTTTTATTAGTATAGCCGTGTGATCCTGGCGTAGAATGAGCCACTTCTTCCTTTTCAGTGGGTGTCGTAAGAAGCAACTAAGGGAACTTAATGGTCGAGGGATGAGCAGCTGCGTCCCATTTAAAACATTACCAAGACAACTGCGGTTGCCAACCCGCCAGCCAAGCGTGGCAACTACTGGCAAAAACTCCACATGAGGTCTATGTTAAGCAGGAGACAATTAACGGCTGATGTGGTATTGTGGTGGTAGTAAAATTACCAGAGGGAGACTTTGTACAAAAGTCGATTGCTTAGGTACCTCTGTCCCGTTCCTTGTTCCGTGTTCCGTGAAGCAGTTGTGTTTGCATGGCTATGTTTCGGTTTGAAAGGTGGGACATGGCGTGAATTTGCAGGCTACAGAGGAATAACACCTGTGTCCTCAGGAATGGCAACGCATGAGGAGTACCATGGGCGAAATAATATACTCTGTTATGTCCATGGTACTGTTCATGTGTATAGACGACGGTTACCACTTTCTATCAGGTGGGCCGTCAGCTTGATTACCATTCTAAGTTGTATAAAATCCTTTAATCTAATGGATATTATATTCTTACATTATAATCAGTATTAATTTTTTACGACACTTAAAATGACAAATAAACTGACGGTCTACCAGTTGGAAAGTGGTAACCGTCGCCTATAGACATGAACATAGACGTTACAAAATACACTATTATGCCCATGATACTCCTCATGCGTTGCCATTTCTGAAAGCTAAGATGTTATGCCTCTGTACTTTGTAATTTCACTGCCATATCCCACCCTTCAAACCCAAACACAGCCATGCAACCGCAGGTACAGAGCAGAAATACGTGTGAGAAAGAGATACCCATGCTAAGGACTTTTGTACAAAGTCTCTCTCTGGTATCATATCTCTATGTATACATACTATCTACACATGTCAAATAATTTACAACTATCTATTCTAAATAATCGATCTATACACCGGAAATATTAACATATTTATAAATATTTATATACGCATACATTTGTTTCATTGTGTTATTATCTAAATCCTCATTTGTTATTTATATTAATACATATAATTGATAAGTACGTCAATTCCACACATTCAAGGTTTCAAATGTACGTTGTATTCATAGGGTCCAATTGGGCATTTTATCTGTAAGATCCCAGTATAGAATGGGCCATCTCTTCTTTTCCCATAGGTATCGTAAAAGGCGAGGGATGGGCAGCAGCGTCTCTCTTAATACATAACTAAAGTCTAACTTCGGGTGCTAATCTGCCTGCGAAGCGTGGAAACTGTTAGCAAAACCCTTCAATCTATGGAAGAGGCCCTTATACAGAAGTAGACAGATAACGGTTTATATGATAGATACAATACGAACTTCACGATATCGTACGATTTTACCGTCACGATACAATATATGCAAGATAAATAAAAGTTTATAACAATAAATGATAGCGTCAACATTAAATACAATAGAAATCCACGATCTAATCGAATCTACGATTTCGTGGAGTCGAATTTTATTGTATAACTATACACTGCTTAACGTAGGTGTTGCCAGTGGCTGTCACGCTTGGCAAGCAGGTTAGGGGTTTTTTTTAATGGGTGAAAATGGTATGGTAACCCCGCCTGCGCTAACGGGATACGCTGGTGGAGCACCAGCGAAGGGTGATAAATGAGAATGAAAACAGATCAGTTAGCCCATCATGATGAATTCATCAGGAATTAACCATGATAGTTTCCGGGGAGAACCTCGAGGAGGTCGACCTGGTTGGGTATATTGCTAGCAATGGGATTCTCAGTCTCCATTACTAACAATCCCTTTCCCCCCGGCAGATTAGGGGTTAGGCTTTTAGCGATGTTTTAAGAGGAACGCTGTTGCCCATCTCTCGAGTTCCCTTAGTCTTCTTTTACGACATCCACGAGATAGGTAGTAATAAGTCCCATAGTCCTATGATGAGATGCCACATGCCACATTACTATGTAACGTCAGTCTATAGCCCTGTCTTGGTACTTATAAACATCCACTTTATTAATGTATATCTCAGAATCTTCATAAAATTTCTGTGTTAAATATTTTATATAAAATATTTTTGAATACGTCTTCTCTTCTTTAAATCGCTGCATGAAGGTGTTCCTTTCTTCGTGCAGCGATTTCTTCAAGAGAGAATTCACTTTATTTATTCGAAGTGTTTAATCCCTAGTTACCTCAATACAGTAGTTATATGCCACTAACAAATAACTCATATTTGTTATCGTTTAACCAAAGTCAAAATATTGCCCTACCGAATATTATATTTTGTTATGTATATACAATAACAAAAGATGTCCTACTACATTGTAATTCCTAATTGTCATTTTATATTTTCAATCGACTTCAAAAAAAAGTTCTCACTTTGGTTTTATTTTTTAACATCGGAGGACACCTCATAACTCCATCATTTGTAAATTGATTTAGAAAATTCTTGTTTATCTGAAAGGATATACTTACAGATCGGTCTCGCAGAAATTTTACCAAAATCGGTTTAGTATTTCAGTTTTGAAATAAAAATAACCGATTTCTTTACAATTGACTTCTCATTTTTGTGGAACATGATCTTAAATTGTATATATATAAGGTGCAATATAAAGTTAAAAATGAAGGTATAAAGTACATTATTTACTAGAATATAAACAAAATCTTCTATTGAATTTACTCTTTCCTTTATTACCAGAGGGAGACTTTGTACAAAAGTCGTTTGCTTGGACACCTCTGTGTCATAGCTTAGAATTTACAAGGTACGGAGGAATGACACCTTAGTCCTTAGAAATGGCAACGCATGTCCATGGTACTACTCATGTCTATAGGCGACGGCTGCCACTTTCCATCAGGTGGGCCGTCAGCTTGTTTTCCATTCTAAATTGCATAAAGAAATACAAATATTAGCTTCAGAATAAGATCAACTTTCTCTCTACATCTTCATCTTTCTTTCTCTTATATATTTATTTATATATATATATAACTATGTATGTATCTATTTTTATATTATAATGCGTCATTTATCCTATCTTTAACCTTATCTTTGTCTTCTAATGTCCTCTATCCAAAGGTTGTCTGGTATTGCTTAGCGATAAACCGCCTATCGTATCATTCTGTATACCTAAATTATTTTTACCTTTTTATTGAGTTGCGAAGCGCAACAGTGCAAATATTATAAAAAAATAAGACGTAAGACAATTCATTTCAAGGCCATGATTCTAATGATAAAAAATGGTGACTTTTATAGTCATAGAAGAATTTTTTTTTTCAAAATATAGTTTTAATATTGTGTTTTTTTAATGGTTCTAGGTCGTGTAAATAACTGTGCGTTCTGTCCTTGCTATAGGAGACCGGCTACAGGTCAACTCGAATTAAAGGAGATAGCGTCAAAAATGAAAATAGAACGAAGAAAATGGTCAAAAGAGAGTCTTAACATTGTCTATTAAGTTTATTATGGACAATTCACCACGAAAAATAATATTTATAATAATATAAACGTGGATAGATGTAAAAGAAGGAAACAACCGAAAAAATGGATAGATATAAGAAGGATGATATGGTTCAAGGTGAAGTGAGTCCAGATTTGGTAACTGATAAAAATCTGTGGAGGGGAAAGGAAATGCTTGATCACTTTTCATCTACCTTTAAGTTTATAGATACTTTGGATAGGAGGAGAGAGATTGTTAATAATGGGAGCTTTAATTCCCCTTGCTAGCAATATACTCTGTCAGGTCAAATTTCATCGCAGTTCTTCCTGGAAACCACTGTGATTAATTCTTGTTGAATCCATTGCAATGGATTACCTAACCAGGTTTCATTCTTACCTATGGCACTCATTGGAGCTTCGTCAGCTTATAGGTAACGATAGCGCAGGCGGGGTTACCGTTCCATTATCATTCTCTAAGACCGTAACTTGGGGGGAAAGGGATTGTTAGTAATGGAAACTGAGAATTCCATTGCTAGCAATATACCCAACCAGGTCGACCTCCTCGCGGAACCTCGCGGTTTCCCCTGGAAACTATCATGATTTATTCCTGATGAATTCATCATGATGGGCTAACTGGCCTGTTTTCATTCTCATCTATCACCCTTCACAGGTGCTCCGCCAGCGTATACCGTTAGCGCAGGCGGGGTTACCATACCATTTTCACCCATCAAAAAAAAGACCGTAACTTTGGATATTTACATTTCCCTTTCAATATCAGACTATTAGACGAGATAAGATTTTTCATCCATATGCCATAGATATGCCAAGGGGTAAAACTCTCTCTCTATTTATTTTTTTCCAGCCACATATAATCTATATATATTTTTTATACAACTAAGAATGGCAAACAAGCTGCCGGTCCTCCTGATGGAAAGTGATAACCGTCGCCTATAGACATGAGCAGTACCATGGACATGACAGAGTATACTGTTTCGCCCATGATACCACCCCATGCGTTGCCATTCCTGAGGACTCAGGAGTTATTCCTCTGCATTCTGTAAATTCACTACCATATCCCACCCTTCAAACTGAAGCACAGCTATGAAAACACAACTGCTTTACGGTTGAAACACGAATGGGACAGAGGTATCCAAGCAATCGACTTTTGTACAAAGTCTCCCTCTAGTAAAATATTAATTTAAGGCAAATATAAATAGTCATATTCATGGATCCGCAAGCTCCATCTTTAAACCACATTATCACTTCCCATCAGTATCGCGATCAGTCGCGGGTTTTTAAAAGTGAAAAATAAATTGCACCAAAAAAAATGAGACAATACAGAGAGTATACAGGAAACATGTGATAATAAACAGACATACAGACAAAAATTATAAAAATCAATATTTTGAGTTCTATTGCTTTCATAAAGTCCCCCTATAATAGATTTTCTTATATATCTTCCATATATAGACAGTGATTTTATTATATATATTATATATATATAATAAAATCACTGTCTATATATGGAAGATATATACATATACATATATATATATATACATATATATATATATATATATATATATATATATATGTATATAGAATAGTTTTACTGAACTAGGCGTTATCTCACGGAAGTCCATATTACTGGTTGTCCGATTAGAATTATTTAGTTTAATTCCGCTATCGTTTCGTTTCCTAGAATAGATTGAGCCTGTACTGTAGGAAACAGGATTCGCACTGTCATGTTTTATTTTATCTTCAACCGTTAGAGTCAATTATTTTCTTTTAAAGGTGCACCATTTGTAGATATTTCCAGTTGTTCAGATATTTAATATTACCCGAGGGAGACTTTGTATAAAAGTCGATTGCTTGAGTACCTCTGTTCCATTCGTGTTTCAACTGTGAAGCAGTTGTGTTTGCATGGCTGTGTTTCGGTTTATGGTTTGAAGGGTGGGATATGGCGTGAATTTACTGGGTATAGAGGAATAACACCTGAGTCCCCAGGAATGGCAACGCATGGGGGGTACCACTTTACATCAGGTGGGCCGTCAGCTTGTGTGCCATTCAAAGTTGTATAAAAAAATATACCTACTATTGTTTTGCTATTCAACCTTTTAGTTTTTGACATTCCAAGTTCTAAAAGCAAATAAAATAATTATAATATAAATATATAAAAAAAAAATAGTTCTGAAATATGGGGCTATGCGCTAAAGTAAGATTAAATAGATTAATAACACATATCGTAAACGTCTTTATTTGTGAGAGACTATGTACACTGATCTCCATAAATGGCCTGACGTAAGTCGGTGGCATGTATTTATGTATCAATCTTTGAACGGACTTGGGTTGAAATTTTCAGAGCAGGATTAATAGCTATCACGAAGCAGTCTGCGTTAACGTAGAACCTATACAGTGATAGGGATCGAAGGTAGAGGCAATTCCAAATGTCCTCATTTAAAAAATAACTCATTTAGGATTGTCTGCCATGTGGTCCTGACATAGAATAAGCTAACATGCTCTTGGGAATCGCAGTGATGAATTCACTGTGATTTCCAAGCAATTGTTGTTTTCTTTGTTGGTTACGTGGTTATCACAGAATGCTGTGCTAACCATGGTGCTGTAAATATAAATATACGTCAGTTACTACTTTCTATCAAGTGGACCGTCAGCTTGAATGCAATTCTACGTATTATAAAAAAAATATAGAATAAAAACAGCACAAAAATGACCAAGACTTACGACATCGAGAAGTGCATCTTCAATCACGTCGGTCGAGTATCTGCCTCCGTATTTTTGGAAGTACTTCTCCGCGAAGTCGGCATTGGGCGACCGCCGCGCTACTGCCGCTGTCACCAGCACCGCAAAGATTAGAAACTTGAACATTTTGCCCTCGCCTACCACTGCCACAGCCACCACTGACCACAACAAACACATGTAACTCGCTTTTCAATAATTCATTATCAAGATTATCTTGATAGTTGTTTTTAGAAACGACCAATCAATCATGTTAATTACAAAGATAAATTCTACTTAAACATTTGGTTGGTTTGAAAATAAATAAATAAATAAAAAGTACACACATGAAATCATTAAAAAAATTTAATGTTCACAATATGAACTCATTACAATCATCTTTTATATTTGATTTATTTGTTTATATATTATTTACATTTTATATATTTATCTATATTAGCCAGTATTTTTCAATATTTTACATGGCGCGACTACATTTACGACCCTCTACTAGGGTGGGTCAAAAAAACACTTTTTTTGCATTATGTATTCTAATAGCCATAATATGTTGTCATTTGGGATTAGTATGACGTATATAAAATATAATTGAAATCGGTATAGTATAACTGCCTCCGGATTAGGTTCAAAGTTTCGGTATTTTCAATGAATTGAAACTGATTTATCAAAGTAACCTGAATAATAAATGTACACCATTTATACTTTGATAAATGCTTATGTTTACGTACAACGTCTATTATTACAAACGGCACCAAAAACGTACACACAACGATTGTGGGTACGAGTATAAATATTTTATTAAACTAACAACCGCAAAGAGTATAATTTAGTCGTATAGTTGCGCTGCATTTTGTTAGAACAAAGGTGTGTTACTGTGATTTTTTAAAATGAATCGTACTTGAAATGCTAGAAGCTTTTATAATGTTCATAATATTCGGTGATACAAGTGACTTGAAAGATAATATGGTTCCGACTTATGAAGAAGTAATGAAGTGCTATGAGTGACGAGATTTGAATTTTTTTTTTATACAACTTAGAATGACAAACAAGCTGACGGCCCACCTGATGGAAAATGTTAACCGTTAAAGTATACTGTTTTGCCCGTGATACTCCCATGCGATGCCATTCCTGAGAACTCAGGTGTTATTCCTCTATACCCTGTAAATTCACGCCATATCCAAAAATACAAAAAAGAATCAAATTTTCAAGAATTTACAAATATTGTCACCGTAAAAATAGAAAACATATGGCAGAAAGGGTTTAAGGGTGCAACAAATGCTTAAAACTAAACCTCAAATTAAAAAATATTTTAAAAAATCATCCTAAAATAATTAAAAAGCGTTTAGAAGACTTTCTCGCACCCAGCAAAGTTTTATTTGATATTTCTTCTTGCAAATGCTTAGATTTTACCACCTGTACTTACCCTAAAGAAAATAAATTTCCTCATAGTATTTCTATGATAATAGGAAACACAAATGTTTGCGTGCAACAACAAGGAAAAACAAAAAAACGTATAAAAAAAAACCAAAGAGGAAATGTCAAAAAAAAAAACTCGCACACAAACGAGTACCGAAGCCGAAACTAACACTACTCCTATAATCAATAGTTCACCATCTTCTGTGTGTAATACATTCAGCGAAAGCGAAGATTTTCAACCCACAAAATTAAGAAACCCGAAAATAGAATTTTCTGTTTCTATGAACTTTATTACATTGTACCAAACCTGCGATCGGTACGGAGTATCAGATAGAGCAGCTGTAGCTATAGCCTGCGTTATTCTACATGAAACCAACAAGCCTATCCGGTAATACAACGCAACAGTTACTGGAAATCTACTGCTAGCAATGTTATCAGACCCTGAAAATCATATAAGAGAATTGGCTCTGCGTCGTATTCTGAAATCACGCGGTGAATAATCTCAAGAATTGAGGCTATTTCAGGTTCCAGATGTAAACATGGACGCAAAAGTTTATAATGATCTCATTGACTGGCAGAATCATGTTACAGAATCACCTTTCCTGAAGCAAATCTCTAGCGACGTACTGAATTCTCTCATTGCTTGAGAAGAGGACAACAAAATAGAGTTTTTGTGCGTTTTACCTTGTCACACTCAAGCCGTGGAGAGGTCAGTGAAAATTGTAACTGAAGCTTCAGAAAGGTTGCGTATCAAATCAGCCAGTAAGGGTTTCATCAAAGCCAAGATTGAGTCTCGTAAACTTATGCTAAAATTTGATTGTAGAAAAGATTTTTATGTAGAGTAAAATACTTCATAACTAAAAAAACTTATTTTAATAGTTATAACTTTACAATTAATTAAAATATAATATTCTAATATAAAGTTATATTAATTACATTTATCCTACAACAAAACAATAATCAGTAAAAAAAATTAAGAAACATGATTTTTATTTAATTTTTCGAAATTTCAAGGTCAATCCGGAGGCAATAGTTAATGTACTATATACTGCAGCGGCCAGCAACTGAGGCATTGACGGACGAACGTCTAAATGTGGGCTGAGGCGTAGCCGAGGCACGCATACGTGAGTCCATCAATGCCTAGTTGTGGCCAAGGCTTGTATAGTACTTTTCTCAAACAATGTTCGGAAATCAAAAACACAATTTTACTTTTTAAGTTCAATGACGAATAACGAACAATAATAATTTTTCACGCGTAATGTTTGTAATGTTCATAATGTTCCTTTGTTTTTTTTTTTCAATAAACAGCTTTCTATTTACAAGTCAGTTCCAACTTAGAAAATTTAAATAAAACCTTTTATTAGTTACCTCCTTGGTAGCCATGTTTCGAAGTAAAAGGTCATTCCATTTTTAAATTACAGGACAGATATGAGTTTATATAGTAATTTATCTGGCCGCAAAACACGACAGATATGGATTTTCATACAACTTTTGCCGGCCGCTGCCCGCATGTATCTGGCCAGTACGGCAATTTTGATTTATCTCTAAGAAGATTGTCAAAATAATGCTCACATTTCCAAGCATGTTTGAGAAAAAGATATTATCCGATTGTCTTAAAATTTTCTGAGTTAGTTCTTATAATAGTAAGACACATTTTTATTGCTATTACAAGTAAAAAAAAAACTTTTTTTTTTCTCCATACTGAGAGAAAAAAAGAGCTTGTACGTATTTAGTTAAGTATCTGTTAATAAATTTTTAGTCCCCAAAATACAGGTCTGGCCTAGTTTAGGCACTGATGGTAATGCAGAGTTTTTCTCTCTCTATCTAATAGTTTTTGACATATATGTAAATGTTCAAATGTTCAATTTCATTCAACACTTTTACCACTGTGAACAACTGAAACTTGTCGGGTTGTCAGCGGGTGTCAGTTCTCTTTAGTCTAACTTGAATCGTATCTGTTAACGAGATCGATGTAAAATTGGAGCAATGATTTGAACGTTTAATATGTAATATTATTAATTAATTGATGAAATGTTCTTGCAAAAATAATCTTATTATTTGTTATTTAATAAATGTACATAATTTGTACTTAAAACAAACATCGATTGCATTGCGATTGCATTTTTATTAGCCTACCTACATATTTTTCATACAACTTAGAATGACAAACAAGCTGACGGCCCACATGATGGAAAGTTGTAACCATCGCCTATAGACATGAGCAGTACCATGGACATAACAGAGTATACTGTTTCGTCCATGATACTTCTCATGCGTCGCCATTCCTGTATTTGCACATTCTGTATAAATACTCCTTGTGTACATCTCTATTGTGCGCAATAAAGAGTTTATTCTTATTCCTGAGTACTCAGATATTATTCCTCTGTATCCTGTAAATTCACTCTCATATCCTTGTAAATCTACTGCCAATCCGCCTACCTACTGAAATCTAAGAAGATTCGGTATCTGATGTCCTTTCGTTTTTTTTTTTTATTTGATAACAAATAAGACGTCCTGTCTGTCTGCAAATAATCCGATAATATTGATAATGCATTAAATTAATCACACGGTTTTAAATTTAAATTAAATATCTAACTAGGAAATAATGCATAGTAACCTATGAGGTTACGTGTCTAATTTTTATTACAAAACCAGCTCATTGTATCAAGAACAAGTATTTATAAATCCCTACTTACCGTGTTGTTCCAGCGTAAAATAAGCCACCCCTTCCTTTCTCGTGGGTGTCGTAAAAGACGAGTAAGGGAGGGCGAGGGATAGACAGCAACGTGCTTCTTAAGACTCCAACACTAAACTACGGTTGCCAATCTGCTTGCCAAGCGAGGTAACTCACCAAGGGGGAGGCTTATGTTTATTAATGGTAAGTTAAAGGCTGATATGATGATAAATCTCTAGTACCATTATGTGGGCTTTTTTTTGATGGGTGAAAATGGTATGGTAACCCCGCCTGCGCTAACGGGATACGCTGGCGGAGCACCAGTGAAGGGTGAAAGATGAGAATGAAAACAGGCCAGTTAGCCCATCATAATGAATTCATCAGGAATTAACCATGATAGTTTCCAGGGAGAACCGCGAGGAGGTCGACCTGGTTGGGTATATTGCTAGCAATGGGATTCTCAGTCTCCATTGCTAACAATCCCTTTCCATATGGGAGGAAAGGGATTGTTAATAAATATGATTTCGATATGATATCGATCTTGCGGAATCTATTTTTTTCTGATGGTAAAAATATATTTGAGTGTAGTAAAAAAAAGTTATCTATCGTTGGTTGGATTGGTAACGGCAGTCAGGCTTTGCAGGTATTTTAAGAGGGATGCTGCTGCCCATCCCTCGCCCTCTCTTAGTCGCCTCTCACGACACTCACAGGAAAAGAAGGGGTGGCCTATTCTTTGCCGGGACCATATGGGATATTGAATACAATTATTCAGCAAAAATTTGCATTAATATTAGTATAACTATTCAAAAACTCCTCACATGAATGGGTGTGCGATATCCATACAAAAGTAGTAGCAGTGTATGACAGGATGTGATTATTTTACGTATAATATACGATAATATAATATGTAAGAGATAACAGAGTCAATCAATTCAATCATACGTAGATAATTGTACAAACAAATCGTTTTATAATCTTCTATGATTGATTATTAATCGATGGTACATAGTAAAGATAACATGTGAAAAAAATAGTACAATAATAGAAAATAAATAATAAAGCGATCAACACATAGAGTGGTTTTTTTTATGCACCTTAGAATGGCAAACAAGCTGACGGCCCACCTGGTGGAAAGCGGTAACCGTCGCCTATAGACATGAGCAGTGCCATGGACATAACAGAGTATACTGTTTCGCCCATGATACCCCCCATGCGTTGCCATTCCTGAGGACTCAGGTGTAAATTCACGCCATATCCCACTCTTTAAACCGAAACGCAGCCATGCAACCACAACTGCTTTACATTTTGGATTTCAACTAAATATTACTCACTTTAACATACTTAATGTTAAGCTTATAATGTTTTTGACCATTCTGAACCGATTTTTATATACATATGTACGTACATATTTGTCACGCCTGTCTCCCATTAAGGTAGGCAGAAACAATGGAACTAAAATCGATTATTAATCAGATTATAAGAACAGCAGGTGTTTAATCTAATAATTTTGTTTTTATTTCTGTTTTTATAATGCGCGATAGTCAAATGATTGAGATAGTAGGATATGATATGAATATAAATAATTATAAAATACAGAAAATATTAAATAACTATATAATACTAATAACAATTACGATATGAATAGATACACACCGATACTTAAATAATGAATAATAAATAATAAGAAAATACGTACCTATCGTGATACAATTTCAATGACTGGATAATATTGTAACAGATCCTTAAACTATTCGTATTTCTAAAGTAAAAAAAGTGTTGTCCTACCCTCTCCTACTTGCTGTGCCCAACAGGGTCCATAATTGAAATGTTATCTACAAATTATATTATGGAATGCAATAAGAAATAAATAAAAAATAAATAAATATCTTATTTATAATACTTGTAATCTTAATTGTTTGTATAATAGTGCCAACACCGTAGGGTGAGGACCTGGTGATCTGTAACACAGGTTTATCCTACTTCAGACACCAATTCTTCACAATACATTAAATTGTGTAACCTAGAAAAATAAATCTCTTGTAATAAATTATATTTATCAGAGGGAGATGTTGTACAAAAGTTGTTTGTTTCGGCACCTCTGTCTCATTAGTTTTTTTCCCGTGATGCAGTTGTGTTTCGATATGAAGGGTGGAATATGGCACTGAATTTACAGAGTACAGAGGAATAACACTTGAGTCATCAGGAATGGCAACGCATGGGGGGTATCAATGGCGAAACAGTATACTCTGTTATGTCCATGGCACTTACTGCTCATGTCTATAGGCGACGATTACCACTCTCCATAAGGTCCATAAGGTCGTCAGCTTTCGTGTCATTCTAAGTTGCATAAACAAATTGAGTATAGTCTATTAGTTTCACTAGGTACTACTGGTATTCTGAAGAAAATAAACTACTTATTATTGCTAATCTTTACTAATATTATAAATATAAAGTGAGTCTGGTTCTTTGTTTCTCTTGGCGCCTTATCGGCTCAACCAATCGTCATAAAATTTTGAATACACGTATTATTTGGGATAAAAAAAGATAAAGGCGTTATCGGTGTCCTTTTTTGTAAATCTGTCCGATTCTAGAATAAGAGCATACGGGTATGTGACCCCGGCTTCCCGAGCCACTGCAGTGTCCCAGTCCTTTCCGCAACTGCACTGTCCGCCCCTTACCTTTCCCACATACATCCCTTATTCCTCTCATTCACCATTTTCCTTTACGCATTTCTAACGTTCTCTGCCTTTTTTCCTCAATCCTTTCCTCCATACCGTAGTTAGAGGAAACCACCAACAAATGCATTCTCAAGGAGGGTTGAGGTCAGCCAGGCGGCCGGTCGTAAAACTATAACCCAAATGATTTTGTAATATGGATAAAAACATATTACGCCGACCACAAATAATAATTGGAATAAGGGTAGGAAGATGATGATGAAATAAGGATAAAGGCTAATACTATTCCTGTGATGCGGACGAAGTCGTAGGTAACAACTAACACTAACTGACGCTTGATACACATACAGTAATACCTACAAATATAACAACATTTTTATTTAATTTGAACGTTGCTATACGAGGTTTGTCCGGAAAGTACGTATAAAAGTTTTTTAAAAATTTTATTTTACAATTATTCAGGTAAATCAATTTTATCCCCTTCAAAGTACTCCCCCTGTGACATAATGCACTTGTGCCAACGCCGTTTCCACTGTGAGAAGGCTAGTTGAAAGTCCTCTGGTTGTAGGTTTCTCAGCTGCCCCGTCGTAGCTTTTTTTATCTCATTTATGTCCCCCAAATGCCGCCCCCGAAGTACCAATTTGGTTTTTGGGAACAAGAAGAAGTCACACGGGGCCAAATCCGGCGAATAAGGGGGGTGTTCGGTCACCGTAATGGAATTTTTACTCAAAAACTCACGGACAACAAGAGAGGTGTGGGCAGGGGCATTGTCGTGGTGAAGAATCCAACGCCCCTCTCGCGCCAATTCTGGACGAACTCGTGCCACACGAGCTTTGAGGCGTCTGAGCACATCGACGTAGAATTTTCCATCAACTGTCTGGCCTGGAGGGACGAATTCTTGATGGACAATCCCCCGAACATCGAAAAAAACAATCAACATTGTCTTGACATTTGAGCGGGATTTTCTTGATTTTTTTGTTCGTGGTTCCCCGGATGTCTTCCACTCTTTGCTTTCACAGCCATTCTTGCCGAGTTTCGAGAGAAACTTGATTACGACGCGCTGCTCTTCAACGGAAGCGGGCTCCATGCCGACGGGGTTTCGTTAAGAGGTAACTTCACAGATGGCGTGACAAGCCAGTTCGCACCGCACGGCGGTCAGACCAGAACTGAAGCATTGTTAGGGACATAAGGAAGGGGTCCTGCGCTTACCTGGCCTCCCCACTCCTCTTTCTCGCATTCCAGAACACTTTTATACGAACTTTCCGGACAGACCTCGTATAAAATCCGCGGAGTCTTTGGGAAGGGATCGTTGCTAATGGAGTCTCATTTCTCCATTACTAGCAATACACCCTATCAGGTATACACCTTCACGCGGTTCCCCTGATAACTGGCATGTTTACGAGTAATTCTAGTTGAATTCGTCATGACGGGCTAACGGACCAGCTTTTATTGTTACCTATCCCTCACTGGTGCCCCGTCAGCTTGTATCGATAGTGGAAGTGAGGTTACCTTTTCATTATCACTTATAGAAAAAAAACCCGCAGGGTCTTTAAACACGGCGGCTTTGGGACGACGCCTGGTTAAGCGTCATCGTGCCATCATTATGAAAGCGCCAGATAATTTTCTCTTTCATGGTACTGTATAAGTTGCTTGATTATCTAAATAAATTATTTTCTTTCTTCTTTCTTTATGTACTTGCAATTTTATTATATGTATGAATAAATAATCTATTCTGTTGAAATACATAAATGATTGTAAATAAAACACCCGTGTAATCCCGGCATAGAATAGGCCACCCCTTCCTTTTGTTGGTATTGTAAGAGGCCACTAAGGGAAAGCGAGAGACGGGCCGCAGTGTCTCTCTTAAAACATCTCCAAAGTCAACTACAGTTAACTAGTAACTATGGTTGCCAATCCGCCTGCCAAACGTGGCAACTACTGGCAAAACCTTTCAAGGTGGAGACTTATGTTCAGCGATGGACAGTTAAAGGCTGATATGATGATTATGTAAATAAAAAATATACATACTGTTTTTAATTTTTATTTGAGTTTTTAGTTGTAAATTTTACAGTAAATAAATAGATCGTTTTTTATTTTTTATTCGCTTCCACCTCATCAAGAACTGCCACAACATCATCATACACCAGTTCTTTGGCGTCTATTCCCCAAATGAAGTCGAAATGTGTGAAGCTAGGCCTTTCCACTTCTTTCACGCCGATCACATTGTTCAATTGCTGAGCCAAATAAAGAATATCACTGGAATTTGTCACGTAATCTCCCAATCCGTGGTAAAGGTGTACCGGTACCGTAACTTGGGAGACATCGTAGGCGGGTGGTACTGGACTGCCGTATAATTCGATATTCTCGATAGGACGGTGACTATATCTTCTAAACAGTTTGGTGTTAACCGCCTGTCCGAAGTGAGCGAGTTGGCGTATGGAGGCACCGGCAGGTGTATGGCCGAGGATTATGGGAGTTATCGTCTGCGAGCAAAACAAAATATTAGGCAATGAATAAATATCACTAGACATATTTACTAAACACTGTCAAGTCTATTTAGTTTTAAATAAAAATTGAGAATAGGATTGAGAACTATTTATTTATTTACACCAGGTTGTCAGTAAGAGATTGCTTTTAGCGATAAGGCCACCTTTTGTATATGCAAATTCTATATAAATACTCCCTGTATACATCTCTTGTCCACAATAAACAGTTTATTATTATTCTGATATGATATAAATATTCAAATATACGTATTGTTTACAAATTAATTTACATACATGTATTTACTAAAACGGTGGCCATTTTTAATAATAAAAAAAAATATATATTAAAATATTTAGTAAACAGACGACTGTCAACCAAATAGGAGACTTGCTTAAGAAGGACTTGAAGAAAAAATTGATGAATGTGGAGGAGTGGAAGCGAGAGACTTGTTTGAATCGCATTCAATTCGCAGCATTTGGCGTTCCATTGTTTCTGCCTACCCAAATGGGAGACAGGCGTGACAGATATGTATTTATATGTATTCAGTAAAGTTACTTAAGCATTATTACCAATTATTGCAGAATATTTTTATTAAACAATATTTTTTAATACATATATTCCTAAGAATTTTGTATAGTTTTTAATTTTTCAATATTACCTTACAATAAAGTAAAAATTGGCCTGTTTCTAGCGAAATATTCGTATGGAGACACTATCTATGTATGTCTATAAACACAATCTATATCTTATAAAAACGCCAAATCTCTCATAAACCTTACAATATTAAACTGTTTTGTCTCTTTCTTTTCATTAAATTCTCAATTCGAAATAAAGTGACAAAACATAATCTTGCCCTTTTTTTTTAGAGAAACGCAATGTAATGCAACTGCTTCATTGCAAATAAATAAATCTTATTTTATTTATTTATTTCAAGTAAACAGTTACATAGTTTTTCAAATCCGTACACTAAAAATAAGATCGCAAAAAAATTTGATGTTTTTTATGATATTCATTAAGATTCTGCTATTCGTGTTACTTGAAAAAAAATTTATGCAAAATTCCAAAATTAGAAACTTCAAGCCTCAAATTGCTGTTTTATTTTCTCCAATTACGACCATTTGTATTAATGATACAATCATTTGAAAAATCGCCAAAAATTTAGACATTTTTTGAGCCATTATTTTTTCCACCAGTGTATATACATTATGCCTTTGTATTATATCAAAATGAACAAATAACTTACAGTATTAACATGGCCAACACTTTCCAAGGACATAATTTTCTGGCATATGCGGTAGATAGGGCCATCTTCATTGCACAAGTTGACAGCAACCCACGTTAAGGCCTCTCTGTTGCCTAAGAACTCACCAAGGCCCAAATAATTATAATTAATATACTGAAAAGAAAGATAATCCATTAAATACAGCGCTATTTAGTCCCAGACTAAATAAAACTTGTTTACAACCAACTTCAAAAAGAAAGTCGGTTGAAAATAGTATAAAATGCAGAAGCGTAGAATTGTTTTTCAAAGATTATTCATAAAAACTCATGATCCTATTTTATTTTTTAAACTATTTTGTCTTCTTTTATACAACTTAGAATGACAAACAAACTAACGGCCCACCTGATGGAAAGTGGTAACCGTCGCCTATAGATATGAGCAGTACCATAGACATAACAGAGTATACTGTTTCGCCCATGATATCTCCTATGCGTTGCCATTCCTGAAGACTCAGATGTTATTCCTCTGTACCCTGTAAATTCACGCCATATCCCATCCTTTAAACAGAAACACGGCCATGCAAATACTTTATTTTGTTTTTATTTTGCACAAAATTTTTAATTTGAAAGAACGTGACAAAAAATTCAGTATAAGTATCTCTCAATTTACTGTTTCGCCCATGATATCTCCTATGCGTTGCCATTCCTGAGGACTCAGATGTTATTCCTCTGTACCCTGGAAATTCACGTCATATCCCACCCTTCAAATCTAAACACAGCCATGCAAACCCAACTACTTCATGCAAACACAAAAATGATGTTAACATTACATGGTATATACAGTTTAGAAGTATTAAAAATGTGTATTATTATTATTAAGTAGTTAAAATATCCTTTCTTTTGACTTTTATGGTAGGATTTATGAACAACGAATTTCCGAATTCGGTATGAGCAAAAACACGATATTGAGTCCGAAAATTCGGAATTTCATGTCAAGATAGACCCCTATGTTAGCATCCGTAAGATCATCAATCTATGAATTTGTATAAACAAAACCATCATTCATCATCATCAAATCATCAATCGACGGCTGTCGGACCTTTGACCAGAGAGAGAAAGAGAGACTCTCTCTCTCTCTACCTATAAGTTTTGAAAAAATATGAGACATCATGTTTGTACCCATAAAATTTGAGGGTTGCCCTCGATTTCCTTTGGATATCATCATGATCAGATAAGATCAGATCCTGACTTGGTGGCAATGGGATCACCTCAGAAGTATACTCTTTCGAATAAAAGAGATTTATTGAGATCGCCCCATAATTGACTTACAAATCGGTCGGAAGACATAAATAAAAACTGCTCTCTTTTTAAACTCCATTATTTTTTTTATACAACTTAGAATGGCAAACAAGCTGACGGCCCACCTGATGGAAAGTGGTAACCGTCGCCTATAGACATGAGCAGTACCATGGACATAACAGAGTATACTGTTTCGCCCATGATACCCATGCATTGCCATTCCTGAGGACTCAGACGTTATTCCTCTTTACCCAGTAAATTCACGCCATATCCCACCCTTCAAACCGAAACACAGCCATACAAACATAACTGCTTCAAGGTAGAAACACAAATGGAATGGAGGTACCCAAGCAATCGACTTTTGTACAAAGTCTCCCTCTGGTATAAATAATAATAATAAGTATATATTCAAAATTTTTAAATTAGTTAAAAATCATACCGTAACAGGCGCCTCGTATGGTGCAGCAAACTTAAAGAAGTCAAAATCGTTATAAATGAAGTACGCGGCTGGTGCCAACGCTTGGAACGACAGGAACTTCTCGTTGTACTCAGGTCTTAAAGAGTTGAGGATTAAAAACGTGGTGCAGCCTTGAGAATGACCGATGTAATGCAACTGAGTTTTGCCAGTCACATCTAGGATATAGTCAATAAAGCTCGGGAGATCAATGTTGCCGATTTCGTCGTAGGTGAATTTCCAGAAGTCGGCGTTGCCTAACTGGTCAGGATTTAGGTAAAGATGTTGTCTGGAGTAGTAGCTGCCGCGGGCGTTACCCAGCCACACGTCGTAGCCTGCATCGGCGAGGATGTAGCCTGTAAATAAATAAATATTTAATTAATTTTCGACAATCATATTATCTTTTATGCAAATAAAAATGAAACGCTAAATGTGGTGCTAAGCGAGAAACACGGCAATGGCTGGAGTAATTTGGCTGACTTTTTTTTTAATTATATATTGAAGTCCGAAGAAGGTTTTTATGAAGAGAAAAACTGAATAAAAAATATGTATAATTATTATGTCAAGAAGTGTGGAGCAAACTGCGAAACCTACAAAACAGCGGCTACATTCACGTCATTAATTTTTTACTGAATGGATTATATCGCCATATTTTTTTTATACAAGCATATTTTTAATTCGTTTAGTTACTTATTAAAATTGTATAAATATATATGAAATAAATTTATCACTTCTTAATATAATATAAATAACCTTATATTAAATTATATTTTAAAACACTTTATTTTTTATTTTTCCATACAAACAATATTTCTAGCTGCCAGTTCAAACATGTCAATCCATTTTAATGGAATTTTGTAAGAATGCCTTTTTACTCGAACTTGAGAGATAGTATAGTATCATGGGCGAAACAGTATACTCTGTTATGTCCACGGTATTGCTCATGTCTATAGGCGACGGTTATCACTTTCCATCAGGTGGACCGTCAGCTTGTTTGCCATTCTAAGTTGTATATAAAAAAAAAGATAATATATAAGCTAAATATGATTACCTAAACCACTTCCAGGGCCCAGGACCAAGAAATCGGCTGATGAAGACAAAAGCCCGTGCATGACGAAGACAATTGGTCTATTAGGGTCATAAAGTTGACCTCTGCCGTGAGGGATCCTGTGAGCTTCCAGTACATAATTATCCTCCGTAATCACTTTGTGAATTTCAATTGGGTAACCATATTTCAGGAGTAGACCAGGCTGGAAAATAAGGAAAATTACAATACGTGAGATTTCTTCATCATGTCCTTTCCCCATATCTATTTGGGGTTGACTTATGTTTTCTTATTTGATTAATCTTTATTTGCAGTTATTTTACTAATCACTCCCTTTCTGGTCATCTTATCTTTCACACAGTCCATCTAACTCTTTTTGGATCTTCGTCTGCACTTTTAATCCATTCACATTGTCCAACCGTTGTACAGAGCGGAGCTCCCGAACGTATCAAGAGTGAACAAATATAGTGAACCACGTGGTCATTATATAAAATATATCACAATTATTGTTGATGAAAGTCCTGAAGAAACTATAGTTAAATAAGTGTCAATGGAATAACAGAAGTTGGGTATTTATGTTATATTATTTGTTATATATCAAATACAAAGTTAAATACGTAAATATATGATTTAATAGTATGATATCTAAATTAAGTGAACTTGTGCTTCATTTCTATTTATTACTAAGAGGCTTACAACCTTTATATTGCTAAATAATATATCATATACCATGTAAAGTTACAATTACGTAATTAAATTACTATATGAATATATTACCCTACAGTTATTTTTAATTATTTCATTTTTCTTTATTTATTTTATTATTTTAATTCATGAACGTTATACTTTTTTACCATATTGTATACGTAAGTGTTTATGACAAAAAGAGATTAACAAACGTCAATCAAACAAACAAACAAACAAACGTCGACTGCATAAGTACCTCTATTTTAATATAGGGGAAGTATTACTAGTAATTAGGTCTACCAGCCCATTGCTAGCAATATAAATAGGACCTTGGCAAGTTGATCTCTGCACGCGCCCCCTAAATGCCATCATAGTTAATTACTAGGGTATTTATCACGATAGATTAACTGGCCTGCTTTCATCCTCGCCTATCATAACAAATGGTGGCGGAGGGAAGGGATTGTTGGTAATGCAGATTACCAGTCCTACATAGCCACCATGGAGTTTAGAATGGGGGATGATAGGTGAGAACGAAAAAGCAAATCAGATAGCCCATCGTAACGAATACATCTGGAACTCAACATGATGATTTACAGGGGGAACCACATGGAGGTCGATCTGATAGGCTATATTGCTAGCAACGGGGACTAACCTCCACATTACTAACAATCTCCCCCCCCCCGAATCCAAGCGTTACCATTCGTAATAATATATAATATAAATATATTAAAATATTTAAACAGAGGGATAAGGGATTGTTAGTAATGGAGACTGAGAATCCCATTGCTAGCAATATACCCAACCAGATCGTCCTCCTCGCGGTTCCCCTTGGAAACTATCATGGTTAATTCCTGATGAATTCATCATGATGGGCTAACTGGCCTGTTTTAATTCTCATCTATCACCCTTCACTGATGCTCCGCCAGCGTATCCCGTTAACGCAGGCGGGGTTACCAAACCATTTTCACCCATCAAAAAAAAAATTTAAACAATTACCTAAGTAGAAGATCGTTTACGTTTATCACTACTTATAAATTTTATCTTTAATTTGTTTCTTTTATTAACACATTAATATTGATTAATTTTTATGCATTAAAGGCTCGGTAATTTATCAGTACTTTACACTTACGCAGAATGTCATGTTTAACTAGCTGACGCCCGCGACTTTGTCCGCGTGACATTTGTTATTCCTTATTAGTATGTAACAATGTATGTACCGGGGGGAAAGGGATTAGTAATGGGGTCTAACTGACTCATTACCAGCAATATACCCTATCAGGTCGACATCCGCGTGGTTGCCCCTGGAAACCATCGTGATTAATTCTAGTGGGATTTGTCGTGATGGGCTAACCAACCTGCTTTCACCGTCACCTATCATCTTTCACTGGTGCCCCACCGGCGTATGCCGATAGTGCGGGTGGGGTTACCATTCCAGTATCATCCATTAAAAAAAAAACAATGTATGTACCTACCTATTTATTACTCGTATGTCTGGGAATACTGGACCAAAATTAACAAGTGACGTGTCGTTCTCACACTGTGCCTTAGGTCAAAATGACTTAAGTAGGTTACGTACTAAGCTGTATAAGTTACTATATTTTTTTAACTATACCACGGGAACTTTAATCTTCCATAATTAAAAGTTTAGATACTGTCGTCAATCATAATTAGTTTAGAAAGGATCGTTTACGAACGTTCATACGTTTCGTAAACAATCTCTGTATTGCCATTTTTGACATTTGTTTATGATATCGATCGTCTCACGCTTTGCTTTTGTGTTGAGTCATTCTTTGAAAAATAAAGTATTCACATTAAGTACCCGTCTTTAAATATTAAATTGAAATCCAAGTGGGGGGACCCAAGAAAATACGTAACAGATTCTTTTGTTGATCGGGGATGTAAGGCACTACCATGCAAAATTATATTTATATCGAACCAACAGTTTCACAGATTAGCCTGTACAGATGGACAAACTGGTAGAAAAACTATTTCCTTTCTAACATCTCCCTGACTTGGTACTTAGCGTTTTTTTTTCTATGTACAGACATTTTACCTCTACAGTTTTATTATATATATATGTACCATATATGTATAAATATAGATAAAAAGTACATCCTAAATGATTAATTCGTGGTGGTCTGATCAAACACAATTATCATTAGCGCCTACTATCATTAATCACAGTGGCGGACTAAAGGGGGGCCGGAAGGGGCAGTCTGCTCCATTATGGAAAATAACAGCAAAATTATCGATCAGAAATGGCAGCTTCTGCTACATTTATTTAATATTTTTTTATGCAACTTATAATGGCAAATAAGTTGATGGCTCACCTGATGGAAAGTGGTGACCATCGCCAATAGACACGAAATATATAACAGACTATACTCTTTCGCCCATGATACACCCCATGCGTTGCCATTTCTGAGGATTCAGGTGTTATTCCTCTGTACCCTGTAAATTCACGCCATATCCCATCCTTATCCTTATACCCTGTTATGTCCATGGTACTGCTCATGTCTACAGGCGACGGTTACCACTTTCCATCAGGTGGGTCGTTAGCTTGTTTGCCATTCTAAGTAATATAAAAAAAATTAAAATTTTAATAATCTATCTTTAGAAACAAGAAAGTCTTTGATTTTTTAAACAACGACCTTTATATTCCACTGTGTGCCTCGAGTCTCTAGTGCCTGGGAGGCCTCCAAACGTCTCCATTTTCTTCATCCATATACTATATACGTTTATTTAAATGTAATTTTAATTTCAGCTTTTTATTCCATTCCCATACAAATGAGAATGGAATAAAAAGCTGATAAAATTACATCAGCTTCTTAAACCGGGGGCTTTATTCAGAGTAGCTGCCTCGGCCCCTTAACGGGCTTAGTCCGTCACTGGTTAATCGATTTATAAGTCACATGCTTTTAGTTTGTTCGGCATTGATTTGGCAAAGCGCAATTTCATCAAAATTTTGAATGTGTCCACTTTTTCTAACTAATATAATAGAAATGTAACTAGACGATGCCTGTACATAGGAGTTGATTAAGAAAAAATATATGAGATGGGGGAGGGAGACATTAATAAAAACCATAGCAAAATCATTATATTTTCCTGTAAAAAATAGTCTTCAATTGTAGCAAAACCTGTTATTTTGATTTATAAACTACTAAACCGATTCTGATAAAATTTCTATAGGGCCAATCTGTAAGTATATTTTTTCAGATAAAGACTGAATTTTCTAAATCGGTTTACAACTGACAGAGTTATAATATAGAATTGGAATCCCCTTTCTTTTTGAAGTCGGTTAAAAATAATAATTTTTAGAATTTTTATTTATCACACGAAAGCATCAAGTTAGATGTGATTTTCATAGTTTTGTTCTTAAAGGTATAAATTAAAATCTAGTATATGTTTAATCTTAATGTACCATCTATAAATGCTTACATTCTTGTAAAACCCACACGAGCACATTTTCGGGCAAAATCTAGTCTCAATAAAAATTGTAACACCGCCTGTGTTATTGATTTATTTATTTATTTATTTAACTCTTTATTGCACCATAAATAAAAATATACAATAACAAGTGAATAATTCAAGTGAAGTACAGTAACATAAATACAGATTGAAATATACACATAAAGGTACTAAAGGCGGTCTTATCGCTAAAGCAATCTCTTACAGACAACCTTTGGTTGAAGGAGTACGCTGATCCACTAAGATGTTAAGTGAGGATGAAATCGGATCAGTTAGATCACGGTAACGAATTTACTAGGAATTAACCATGGTTAGCAGGGAAGATCACATAAAGGCCGACTTGACAAAATAAATGTATTAGAAGCTAATAAGAGCTCTATTCCCCGTTCCCACAATAATATTATCTTTGTTGTTACTAAATGTCATCCATTCATACACGTATTAGCCATTAATTGATCTTTAATAAACATAGGTCTCTCTCTTGGGGTATTTTGCCAATTGCTACACTTGGCAGACGGGTTGGCAATCGCTGTTAGGCTTTCGTGATATTTTAACAGAGACGCTGCTACCTATCCCACAACTATTCTCCTCTTACGACACCCACGCGATAATTTTATTATTATAATTATTAAAAAGAAGTTTTAGTTTGTGATTTAAAAATAGTGTAAGTTTTGTTTTGTTTTCTTTTCTTTTTTGATCCCTTGGTTTGCTTTATATATTTTTATTATCTTTCTAAAAACACCGTATTTCCATACCAGCATACAGTCCTTTCGTCCACAATAGTTATAGAAGCTAAAGAAATGTGTACACAGGTAATGATATAAAAGCCTAACCAATAGGCACTTGCTAGTTCACAGGAACCTTTTCAATAGTTCTGAAGCGATTCAAATCACCTCCTAGAACAATCTATGTTTTAACCATATTCTCGCTGGTAAAATCATGAGACGATTTTCGTCTGAATATAATATTAGTCAATGGCAGCGCAGGACCAGTTGCGAGAAGATTTTTTTTATATTACTGAGGTGGTAAACAAGCGTACGACCCACCTGATGTTAAGCGGTTACCATAGCCTATGAACGCCTATAATACCAGAGGCCAGGAAACATCTTTATCCTTTTTAAAAAAATCTCATGTTGTCTTTTGGATAAACCTCGACAGGGATCTCACAAGATTACAAATTACTTCTTAATCTTTCGTTATTAAATAGATTAAAATGGCCCTTTATTCAAGTGAATTAATTCGAAACCCACGTATTCATTATAAATCCAGAAGACCAAATATTAAAGAAGCATCCATCCCATTCCAAAAATGTTTCTAATACTGATCCCTATTTAGAGTTAACAAATGAAAATAATACTAAATAAGTATCACTTACAACATCAAGAAGCGCATCTTCAATCACATTACTCGAATATCTGCCTTCATTTTGTTTGTACAATTCCTCAATATAGTCGGCATGTGGCGACCGCCTAGCCAGCGCTACTGTTGCCAGCACCGCAAACAATAAGAACTTAAACATTTTGGCCTCGACTATGAACCACCACTGCCAACAATATGTACATGTGGTTCGCTTTTGTTTCAGCCACTATCAAGATTACTTGATAGTTTTAGATATGGTCAATCAATCATATATTATTAAGGAAGATTAACGTTGTGGTGTAACAAATGTTCGTCGGAAATGTAACAGACTGATTACAATGTGGTATTTATCGTTTTAATACTAACATGAAGTTCTGTGGCATGTTTTCTGATTCTTTCAAACTCATTCGGAGAACACTTGATAGTGGTCAAAAGAATCCACGATTATTAATTCATAGCAGGTGTAGAGTACAGGTCACATATATTATTTATAGCTTCATATTATTATTTACCAAATTCGAAATTGACAGGCAGCTCTATTGTTTCTTTTTGGCTTGCCTTCACGGCCCTAGTCTTCTAAGTTACTTTGACCAATATACATATATTTCCAATTTACATTCCTGGTTTCCTTTATAGTTCACAGCAGGCATCCTTGAATTCTATGCTCGATGACCTCAATAGTGCTTCTCAACAAGTAGGTCTGAAGATTAACATGGACAAGATTAAAATTATGTCTAACGCCCATGTCACACTTATACCGGTCATGAAGGGAGAGGAGGGATTGTTATTAAAGCGGACTGCCAGTCCCATTGCTAGCAATATACCCTGTCACGTGGTCTCCCCTAGAAACTACCTAGCATCGCAACTACTGGCAAACTAGTGGCAAACAACCCTTATGGAGGAGGCCTATGTTCAACAGTGAATAGTTAATGACTGGTACGATGTTGATGATAGGTATTGATCTATCTTACATCTGAGTCCTCAGGAATGGCAACGCATAGGGGGTATCATGGGCGAAACAGTATAGTCTGTTATGTCCATGGTATTGCTCATGTTTATAGGCGACGGTTACCACTTTCCATCAGGTGGTCCGTCAGCTTGTTTGCCATTCTAAGTTGTATAAAAAAAATCTATAATATATATATTCGCCCAATATATTCTTCATGCTTTTGCCAACGTCGTGTTATCTACGTTATTAACAATTCAGACTTTGCTATCACACTTGTGTCTCTTAAAGTGCGTCTGCACCACGGCAAGTGTTCTGAAAAGCTTTTTATATTTTACGTCCTTCCCCTTTCTTTACAAACCAGCACGTGCTAGGCTCAAACGTCACCCACACATAGTACATGCGTTGACTGCGCGAACCAAAAGATTTGCGGGTTCATACCTCTGGCGAGTTATTAAACTTCGGAATTTTGGAATTCCTGGTCACCGGGAAGTTATAGTTTTAGTCCTCCTATCTATAAGCCTACGACATTTAATCAGGACGTGAAGCATCTCTACATTTTTTTTCAAATAAAGAAATAAGGAGTCGTTCTTATTTGTGATCCTCGGAACAGGTGTTATTGTATAATGCCAAGATTAAGGTCATTTTAATCAGTGTGTCAATGCGATAATTTGAAATATTATCAAGTAAGAGATAACAGAAAATTTAATAGATACAAAATAACATTAAAGGATAATATGTAGAAAAAATATAATATTATTTCAGTATTGATAAATAAACACCCTAGGGGATCCTCATATACTTATATATCATGTACTTTCTTTTTGATATTTTTTTTTGTATATGTTTTGTTTTTTCTTTTTTTTTTATGTATATATCTAATGTTATATGTGTGCTGTAAGTGATGCAAATAAATTATATATCTACTTCTATACATTGCAATAATAATTTAAAATTTTAACAACCTTCATAGTGTATGTGATGGTCTTCCCTGCAAAATATAAACATTTTCATGGGATTTTGGTTTTATGGTCTTTTTTTATGCAACTTAGAATGGCAAATAAGCTGACGGTCCACTTGATGGAAAGTTGTAACCGTCGCCTATGGACATTAGCAGTACCATGGACATAACAGAGTATACTGTTTCGCCCATGATACCCCGCATGCGTTGCCATTCCTGAGGACTCAGGTGTTATTCCTCTGTACCCATTAAATTCACGCAATGTCCCACCCTTCAAACCGAAACACAGCCATGCAAACACAACTACTTCACGATTGAAACACGAATAGGACAGAGGTATTCAAGCAATCGACTTTTGTACAAAGTCTTCCTCTGGTAAAATAATTTAACAAACAAAAAATAGGCATACAAAAAATAAACAAACACACTTTTACATTGATAATATTAGTAAGGAAATTAGAATTTGTTTTGTCACATTAAATTCAGCGTAATCGATAATTGATTAGATAGAATTTCATTAATAATACCATATCATTAATCACATCGCCATATCGTTCATGGATGAGATTGTTAGTTGCACGGTGTAAGTAGAACACCTAAATTTATCTATTTACATATATTATATACAGAAGGTATTTACAAAGAAAATATACTACATAATTAGATATAACAAAAAAAAAAAACAGAAATTACAGGCGAACGATCGAGACAGTGAGAATGACAGAAACGTCGCTGCTCATTATATGCGGCGAGTAAGAAAGATAAATAGATAGATACTGTTTATTGTTTCCTACATAAGATTACAATAGTAAACTTATTATGAATATATATATATATATATATATATATATATATATATATATATATATATATATATATATATATATATATATATATATATATATATATATATATATAATATATATTATAATATATATTATTCATTAACAAAAAAGTAAAACCCCATAAACTCTTTACCTATATCAGCTGTTTAGTCTACTCAAAGAATCGGAATGACAATGAATTATTATAAAATGTACATTTTAATAATTAATCATAATCAATCCGGAAGATTTCATCAGGAAGTCCAGAAGTGAAGATAATTATTCTATAATTAACGTTGTGGACTTAAGGAAGCCAACAACATGGAAGGACATGTCGGAATATTACCTTGCAGTGGAAAAAACATTGGTAAACTACTCAAGTGTCGGAGGAAAGCGATTGTTAGTAATGGGGAGGTTAGTCCCCATTGCTATCAATATATATTATTTGCCTCCAACTTGCTGGAGTTTCGTAGAGTGACCACAGAGTATTTGTGTTCAGACGTTTTTTGTTTGAGTTAAATCTTTTTATATTATTTTTGTTATTTTTATATAATATTCCTTTTGATATGTTATTTATTGTACTCATGCTTTTCTGGGTGAACGTATTGGAAGACTGTAAGGCTCACCCAGTGGATGTAATAAATAAATAAATAAATATCCTATCAGGCAGATCTCTACGCGGTTTCACTCATTAAAAAACCCTGGCAAGCCGCAGTTCAGGTATATTTTCCTAGAAAAATACCAAAAAGAACAGTTTTACTACTACTGCTTAAAACAAAACTTTTTTTTTTTCATTTTTTTTTTATTTCTGGTCAGATCTTAAGTTTTAATATGCTGTAGTTGTTAAGCCATCACATTGTGTAAGATCTATGTGTACACTTGAATCGTGCTATATGTATCGAATCAGAAATAAAAGGGGGGGGGGGGGGGGAAGGGTTATATCTATTGTTGATATGTTTGGCAGGCGGGTTGGCAACAGCAGTTAGATTTTGGTGATGTATTAAGAGGGACGCTGTTGCTTATTCCTCGACTATTAAGTTCCTTAGTCACCTCTTATGACACTTACGGGAAAAGGTATTATTGTTTATTTGCCATGTAGTCCTGACAGAAAGAACTACCCCCTCCTTTCCTGGGAATGTCGTAAGAGGCAACTTAAGGGGACTTTATGGTCTAGGGATGGGTAGCAACGTCCCTCTGGGGGAGAAGGGATTGGTAATAAAAGGGATTAGTATCCCTATTGCTAGCAATACACCCTGTCAGGTCGACCTCCTCGCGGTTCTCCCTGGAAACTATCCTGTTCAATTCCAAGTGAATTCATCACGATGGGCTAACTGACCTGCCTTTTCATTCTCACCTATCATCCCTCACTGGTGCCCCGCCAGCGTATACCGTTAGCGCAGGCGGGGTTACCATTCCATTATCATCCATTAAAAAAAAGGAAAGTCCCTCTTAAAACGTCACTAAAACTTAACTACTGTTGATAACTCGTCTGCTACGCGTGGCAACTTTTGGCAAAATTCCCCAATAGGGGCAGGCCTTTGTTGCACAGCGGCTGATATGATATTGTTTATTAGATTAACTGTATCTAATTGGATACAAAGATATCTATGTTGGATCACACATAAATAACGTGCATACGTTTTATTAATACTCATATAATTGAATGCATGTCGTCAAGGAGCAATTTGCCCATTGCTTCTTGAAGTAACAATAGAGTCCCTATCGTTCAAATCTCATCTTTTTTTATATAACAAGCAAACAAGCTGACGGTCCATCTGATGGAAAGTGGCAACCGTCGCCTATAGACATGAGCAGTACCATGGACATAACAGAGTATACTGTTTCGCCCATGATACCCCCCATGCGTTGTCATTCCTGAGGACTTAGGTGTTATTCCTCTGTACCCAGTAACTTCACGCCATATCCCACCCTTCAAACCGAAACACAGCAATGCAAACACAACTGCTTCACAGTTGAAACACGAATGGGACAGAGGTACCTAAGCCATCGACTTTTGTACAGTCTCGCTCTGGTAATGTTATTTTTAAAACTTGTTATTTTTTTTTATTTTGTTTATTAAATTCCCATTATACATTTTATATATAAGTATTACATGTAAGTAAAAAATGTTCGTTCTCAAAAAAAATTTTCCTAATTGAAGTTTTAAAATTCTATCTTGTTAAAAATTAAAGGTTTTGTAAAATAAATCAATTATTCATGAGTTTTATATTTATTTAAACATCGTTATCATCATATCAGCCGCTGCTCACTAAGAAACAAATTTCTTCTCCAAAGACTAGGAACGGCCCTGAGCCACCTGCAACCATTGACTGGGGGGAAAGGGATTGTTAGTAATGGAGACTAAAAATCTCATTGCTAGCAATATACCCAACCAGGTCGACCTCCACGCGGTTCCCCCTGGAAACTATTATGGTTATTTCCTGATGAATTCATCATGATGGGTTAACTGGCCTGTTTTCATTCTCATCGATCACCCTTCACTGGTGCTCCGCCAGCGTATCCCGTTAACGCACGCGGAGTTACCAATCTATTGTCATCTAACAAAAAAAAAACAGCCATTGACTCCCTGCAATGCATGGTAATGAAACGGTAACCCCGCCTGCGCTATTGTCGAAAACTGAAGCCATATTTTAAGTGGCTCTAAATTTAGCTACTTTCATTAGATTAATTTTTTTTCTTCTAAAGGAGAGAGGCGTTGGTCCAGGAAAAGGTTAAATCTATAATCCAAAAGGTTAGGGAAAAAGTACTGTCTTATGACGTATTTGCTAATACAATAAACTGTAAGTATGTAAGTAAGTATTGTTGGCAATGGAGTTTGACAGCCCCATAGCCAGCAATATGCCCTAATAGGTCGACCTACACGTGGTTTCCCCTGGAAACCATCGTGAACAATTCTTGTTGAATTCGTCACGATGGGCTAACTGACATGCTTTATCCTCACCTATCATCCTTCACTGGTGCCCCGCCGGTGTATACCGATAGCGCGGGTGGGGTTACCATTTCATTACCACCCATTAAAAAAAATCTATTTTCACTCATTAAGAAAAAAGTCCCCTGTGGAAAATAATCTTAAAAATGCCAAACATGATACCTTATCACTAAGTAGGTGTACAAAAAAATCTAATCTCAGTATCGATTTAAATCCAATCTATTATTAATGACGATTTCATACTGATCGTATTTACACTGTCAAACTACACTAATGCCCAATGTTTAAGTGCCAAGAATAACCAATTTTAATACTAATCCATTGGGGGGAAAGGGATTGTTAGTAATGGAGACTGAGAATCTCCTTGCTAGCAATATATCCAACCAGGTCGACCTCCTCGCGGTTCCTCCTGGAAACTATCATGGTTAATTCCTGATGAATTCATCATGATGGGCTAACTGGCCTGTTTTCATTCTCATCTATCATCCTTCACTGGTGCTCCGCCAGCGTATCCCGTTAGCGCAGGCGGGGTTACCATTCCATTATCACGCAATAAAAAAAAATATTATGTAGGTATTCATAGATGGCGCTCTCGTCGAAAAACGAAGCTTTATTTTAAGTGGGTCTAAAGTCAGCTAGTTTCATTACATTTTTTGTTCTTCTAAAGGAGAGGCGTTGGTCAGGAAAAGGTTAAATCTATAGTCCAGAAAGTTGGGGAAAAATACTGTATTGTGACGTATTTTTTTTGTATACAACTTAGAATGGCAAACAAGCTGACGGTCCACCTGATGGAAAGTGGTAACCGTCGCAGTATGAGCAGTACCATGGACATGACAGAGTACACTGTTTCGCGTATGATACCCCCCATGCGTTGCCATTCCTGAGGACTAGGGTGTCCAGTTGAGGAATTCCAATAGAATTAACCACGATGATTTCCATGGGGAACCACGTGGAGGTCGACCTGATAAGGTGTAAATGCTAGCAGTGAGCTCATTAGACCCCATTACTAACAATCCCTTTCCCATAACAATACAAAGAAGTGCAGGTATTATACGTAATCTATGTAATTCAATTAAAAACAATACACATTATGAATAAATAAGCTTTATTTTGGCCAAACTATTACATTGCATCAAACTTTTAAGACACTGAAATAATTAAAGTAACAATATAAAATTCACATAAAAAAAAATAGCACGAACTAAACAAAAGGCCCAGTATTGAAGCTTGAGAAGAGTGGACATAAATCTTTTCTATATAGTAAGTAGTATGGCAGAAAGAATGTAAAAAAACACAACAAAATATATTACGCGACAAGAAATCTGCAGTGATTTGCTAAATAAGCTTCCGTATTTTATTATTAAAAGTCATGTGTAATTAGGTCGAAAAACTAGTTTCGGGAGCATTCCGGACCATTAATAGTGAGCGGCTGTCACGCGAGCGCGAGTGTGACTGCACCTCGGCCCGTTGAGCGCGAACTGGAGGCGTTAGTGGTGTTTCAGTAGATTTTAGCTCTGTAGATACTACTTGACGCTTTATTATATTTTTTTTTTTTGGATAATACAGTGACCAGAATGTGAGGTAGAATATCAGAAATAGATTTTGTACAATTTTAAGAATAAAAAAAAAAAAAACTTCTGGAGATAGTTCTGTACTGAAAGAAAGAGAAATACTTAATAAAAATAGATTTATAGATCACGACCAACTTGCAATATTGTTCACAAATACTGTGAAACAGTTTAAAGATAAATATGAAATTAATATTATAGTTTATAAGTCCCGTAACAGGACAGACATGGGTAACACTGCGCTAAAACAAATACATACAAATTCCAATGATCTTTATTTAAATACAAGCATTTTAAAATTTTCGCCTTTTACGATTCTACTACTGGGTCTGAAATGTGCTAAGAAAAATCCAGACGATTAATTAAGTCAAAAAGTATGGAAGAAAACAATTGGTCCTAGTCCACCTGAAGATCCCTAGAGTTAGAGAATGTTCTAGCTTCATCAAGACTCAATACGGGGCTTTAATGTTATACCAATAATGTAATAAATTGTATACAATGGGTAGTTCTAGGGTTTTATAAAAGGGAAGCTATCCTTATGTTAATAGAAGAGCACCAGCGGTACACACTGAAGCACCCTCTGATCTCTCATACCACGCTAAAGCAATACTTTCTTGGCTGTTTTGTCAACGATCAATAAAACCAACTAGATGTCGCAAATTACAATCGCAAATGTGACATCGCAGATAACGCCTCACAAACTATATATATATATATATATATATATATATATATATATATATAACTCATGTGTGATAACGTCTCACTGAAAATTTATTAATATTGTCTTAAAAGATTTAAATACATTTATCCAAACTTGAAGCGAACCAGGGATACGTAAATAGTATGTACATACCCGACTTATTATTGCCCAAGTTTCGCTGTCGATATGTGTTCAAATATTCCTAAATATTAAATGCAAATGTTAACGTATTAAGGCAGTTTTAAATTATTAAATTAGGAATTGGAATCTAAGGTACTGGTATCAACTCAACCAAAGTGCTATACTGTATCTCTAAAAGGGAAATTTCAGTTTAACATCACTATGAAATTAATTACTCTAAGGACCAATACAAACAAAGTTTATATTAGAACTAAGTCAGAACTACTTTACATTTAGCTCTCTGTGGCCCATAAAATAATAATTTCGTTAAACTACCAATTTTAGAGAATAGCACCTCAGAGACAAACCATTAATAGAACAGTAATTTCTTCTATTCGAACCGGACATCTAGTTGGTATTCTTGATCGATGGTTACATCACACGATGATTTTAACTCTGCGGTCCAACACTCAATGAAAACAAACGAAAAATCATCAATGATAAACACTTCATTGATATTTGTAGAATGATCATCTTATTTGATAGCAACTAGCAAGATTCTATTGAATTATTTGTAATTACAGTCAAGAAATGTAAATCCAAATTGATTGTAACATGAGCTTATTGGGCACATTGAAGGATAATGCGCCAATCGTACTTTTAACGGTTGTAGTGCTATCTCGCTCTAACGCATATCATTCTCCGCCTGGTAATATGTTACATTTCTTCAAAGAACATTATCTTAGTTAAGTAATTATAGAAATAATCATATGGTTACTGTTTGAGCACGAGTTCAACGACCCGCTAGTATAACTATAATATCATTATGTTTTCATAGAAAGAATAGTATTGGACCTCATCTGAGTATTACACCAAGAGTTCAATGTATTTTATTGCCGCTTACACTTAAACACTATTCAAGGGATCAGCAAATTTACATATATTAATACTTTTATTATTGCCATTGGTAGTGTCACCAACACTGGTTTATTTGAAGCAATATGTGAAATATTAAAAATAGATTTCTCATATCTGGTGCACCAATACCCTTATATTTTAATACTAACTTTTGGTACTTACAATGATTTGTAGAATTATCGAAATATATTTGTCTCGCTTACATTTACAGCGCACCAACATAGTTGGAGAAGGATAGAACGTATAAAGGTATATAAATATGTACCTATATGTGTTCTTATATCCTAGTTTGACTCAAAATGCTATAGGTAGGAATGCTAATGATAGCACTAGTGTCGCCTTTAAGAAATAGTGGGCTGACTTGTCTAATATTATAATAATATCTTAGTATGCGCGGGTGCGGTTGAAAATTTCTAGTCTAATCAATTGTTTTTTTTTTTTTTTTTAAATCTCTATGATCATATAACTTAACGCTAAGCGCCAACGAGTATCAGTTCATATTATTTTTTATGAATTTTATATAACTTTTTCTAAAATTTATTCAATATTCATAATTGTGCGCCATTTTCTTTGTAGTTTTCATTTGGTCCATTATACGGTAGCGACAGACAAAGGTATCATAGTCATACAGCCCAAAGCCCAATATGCCTTATATTTCATTTGTTTTTTTTTCTTATATAGCTAGCAAATCATATTTACTATGTATTGATTGATATTACATATTACGACATCAAGTATGTAATGATTTTGTCGCTTTATTCTATAAATAACTTATGCTGATACTAACATTACGATTTCCCGCCAAAGTCTGACGTGTTTTTTTTTTATTGTGACATTTAAAATTTTCAGTACGCGCCGACGCACACGAAGTATTTGGTACAGCTTAAAGCGTACGATAAGGAAAACCTAAGAACAGTTTTCACGCTTATATAAGAATAGCGTATATTCGCTAACACATAATGCCTAACATAATATTGCTACGTCATATATAGATATACATATATATATATAAAACATACAGAAAATACACATTACATAATCATTTCATTAATTTATACATAATCATAAATGTTGATCTCATTTGAATCTTTTAAAAATACTTTACACAAATACACTCAATTTTTAAAGAATGAAATATCTAAACGAAATGTATGGCTACTACTAATGACTCTTATGTCTAAACTGTCAATATAAGTAGATTTTTTTTTTTCAGTCAGCCACCATTTCCGACACACAACTGGACTGGACATTTAATTATGTTCAAATTTATTATCGCCATGTCTGACGACTAAATATAATCTAGTACATTGTACTTTTTCATAATTTCCAAATTAAATTATATAGATAGAAGCGTCAACACAAAATAGTATCAATACGCGGTCCGAATTAATTTGAATCCATCGAAAATAACTAGATGACATTAAGAAACTTTGGCGCCAAAATTTGACGTGTAACCTTTTTATGGCACAAATAAGCTAAGGAAGCAAAGTAAACGTCCAATCCAGTTTTTTTTTTTTTTATAAGAGCCAAGCCCTCTAATCCTTCCAGTCTTTCTTGATCTCAAAACACCATTCCCACTGAAGGTGAACATTTTTGTCGTCATCAGTGAAAAGACTGTTGACAGTGTAAGAGCCCCGTGCGACCATGCCTGATGGGGCGTCCTCTGGTGGTGTCGTGTAAGACTGGATCTCCGTTTTGGGAGGGTACGACCCCACCATATGGGTCATCTTGTCAACTGGAATGACAAAAGCGAACGTAGGAATTACTTGATTATATTTTTAAATCTAATTACGATATAATTATTACATAATAAAAAGGTAACCACCGAGTTTTGTTAGAATTATGACAAAAACTCGATTATCCGAATCAAATAAAACTAGGGATATTCCGTATAATCGAAAATCCGGATAATCAATTCCAAAACTATATCAAACGGTAATTAAATTTTAATATTAGTATAACATACGTCATTTAGGCGATACGATATAAAAAAAATTACGAACAATAAAGATAATGGATTACATAATACTTATTTATCCAATTAATACATAATACTATTTCTGAATCGGTAATTAGAGTTGTGAAGAATAAGTCCGGATAATCGAATAATCGGATAATCGTTGTTCGGATAATCGAGATTTTACTGTATTCAATCAATTTACATTTCAATTAAGTTATATTTAAACAAAACAGTGGTTTCACTATCTCATAATAATATTAATATTAGCGTTTACAATTAAGTATAAATAAATAATGCTCTGATAGCATACTAAAATGTTAATCATGCAATCAAATTATTAAGCTATCATTGAAACAGATTTTATTTTTTATAACATGTTAAATAGAGGCAAACCCGATTGTTTTTTTCTATCATCTTCTAAAGGGTATGTCACCAAATATATACACGTGTCATGCATACAATACATTGACTAATTATATGCGAACACAAATAAAGGACTTAGAATACGTATTGAATACAAATACGTACCGGGCACTGTCCAGTTGCAGGCAGAAAAAAAAACAAACAATTATATTTAATTTCTTTATATCATTTCAATGATTGATGTGTAAGTTAGTTATAATCCTAATCATGTTTTGACGTGATAAGTTTTATTAATATATATATATATATATATATATATATATATATATATATATATATATAGTTTTTATTTACATTATTCTAGTTGACAAACATTATTTTGCACTCTACCTATATTTTTTCTCATCAGGATAAAAGTTATAGTAAACAGTGCACATTTGTAAACATTACTTTTATTGAAATCGGTTAAGCGGTTTTGGGAGATTAGCTTCAACGAATATCCTGACAAGGAATCCTATTGGCTCAACAGTACTTTGTGATGTAAAGATGTGCATGGTGCTGTTCATGTCCATAGGCGACAGCTATCACTTTCCATCAAGTGGGCTGTCGGCTTGTTTGTCATTCTAACTTATTACAACTGATTCTCAAGTTAGGATACCCTTGTAAAGAGGAACAATCAACAGTCAACGAATCTGGTATTACAGTCTCGAACACCCAGAACCGAGCCAATTTAGAAAACTCTGTTTCCTACATTGAACTGCTCGGGAATTTAACCCAGGGTCAATGGGCGTCAAAATAATTCTACATAATTATCATTATCTCGGCCATTATCTGACCACTTCTGAACATACTGTCATAAGGAACGGTCCTAAGCCACCTGCATCCGCTGACTCCTTGCAATCCATTTGAGGACATCACTCCATCTAGTGCGTTTGCGCATACGGAGTCGCCACTCGAGAACCTTTCTTCCCTATCTAAATATTGATAAATATCAATGCTTACCTGGAACTCCCAATCGGTACGTCTTCTGCACATATTTGAGCCCGTGCACTATCTCCCGCTGCACGATAAAGTCAATCCTTATCCTGTATTGCACGCCCTCTTTTATCACGAACACCTAGAAAATGTTTATATTACGTCGTTACAAATTTTATTATCGATTTATTACCAAACGGGAACGGCTAACTCTCTGAAATATGTTTTTAGGTCATGGCTCCATTATAGCCGGAGTTCTTTTATTTTTTGTTAAAGTATTCTAGTCAATTGTATACTGACAGCTTTTAACTGTCCATTGCTGAACATAAGCCACGCCTAGGGGGGTTTTGCCAGTAATTGCCACGCATGGCAGGCGGATTGGCAACCGCAGTAAGGCTTTGGAGATGTTTTAAAAGGGACGCAGATGCACATCCCTCGTCCTCCCTTAGTTGCCTCTTACGATACTCACTGAAAAGGAAGGTGTAGCCTATTCTATGCCGAGGCCACACGGAAATAAACGATCATTTCAGTAAATTAACAAAAAAACATCACCAAGACCTAACTGCGGTTGCCAATCCACCTGTCAAACGTGGCAACTACTGGCAAAACTCCCCAATAGTGGAAGCTCTATGACTAGCAGTGGACAGTAAACAGTTTATGGTACATGATATGGTATGTCAAGCCCAACAGCAACAAGTTTTATATTTACAGAAAATAATGTATTGTGATAACAATTTGGGACAACGAAGTATAACCTATATAGAAATATGAAATATATAAAAAAATATTACCAGAGGGAGACTTTGTACAAAAGTCGATTGCTTGAGTACCTCTGTCCCATTCGTGTTTCAACCGTGAAGCAGTTGTGTTTGCATGGCTGTGTTTCGGTTTGAAGGGTGGGATATGGCGTGAATTTACTGGATACAGAGGAATAACACCTGAGTCCTCAGGAATGGCAACGCATGGGGGGTATCATGGGCGAAACAGTATACTCTGTTACGTCCATGGTACTGCTCATGTCTATAGGCGACGGTTACCACTTTACATCAGGTGGGCCGTCAGCTTGTTTGCCATTTTAAGTTGTATAAAAAAAAAATATGAATCAATATCTATGTAGACAATTGTCCCGTCAAGAGAAAACTCTTAAATAAATAATAAATGTATGTAGATACTGACATATGAATGATAACAATTTGGGACACTTTAGAGTGTAAATACACCTGGGTATAGGAATGAGAATTTAAATTTATATAGCTATATATTCACTTCAAATCCATCTAGCGATAGTAAATTAGCGGCGTGGCGTACACAGCGACCGATTTATCCGAACACCATTCACCCGTTAATAGATCGGGCGGAATATTCGTCGTGGGCGTAAATCATAGCACGTCATGCGATATACTCGAGCGAAGAGAGCAGAGGGCCTACCACGAAATACTTTCCGAAATTTCGGGTCCGAACGAAACACAAATATAATAGCAAAATTACATGATACGTACCGTTTAAAATATTAAAAATGCTAAAATATCGTTCCTTTGGACTTTTATAGTAGGATTTATGGCGAACGAAATATTAAGCTCAATTTACTGGGTTAATTTCGTTAGGAACAAAAATACTAAATTGAGTCCGAAAATTCGGAATCTCATTTCATGGTAGACCCTCAAGTCAGTTTCATAGTGCAAACTGATTCGAAAGTAACGCCAAAGAAAGTGAAGATATATACATAGTAGACATGGGCGACATCTAAATATTAGATTCCTCTGAACATGTCTAAATAAAAGGTCATCACCCATTTCGAAATCGCCCGTACCAGTGCGATTTTTATTATTATTATTTCAGTCATTAACTGTCCACTGCTGGACATACTCATATATCAACATGAATCCCATAAGGGGAATAGTTGCTAGACTTGGCAGGCGGGTTGACAACCGCAATTGGACTTTTACAGATGTTTTAAAAGGGACGCTGCTTGCCCATCCCTCCACCATAAGCTCCATCAGTCGCCTATTACGACACCCACGGGATAGGAAGAGGTTGCCCATTCTACGCCTGAACCATATGGAGCTGGTGGTCTCAAACTGGTAAAATTAGGAAACTATTGCACTTGTCCCTGTTCAGGTATAAAAACAATTAGACTGGCTTGTTCCAAAAAAACAACGTTATATCGAAACACTAAAGATTCAGAAGACTTTTAGAGTAGAGAACAGCTGCTATCTCTTTCTAAGATACTTAAGACCATATATGCTAGATAAAAGAAATAAAGACGTTCCGTGTTACGCAACAAAAAGAGAGCAGCTGCTATCTCTTTCTAACACAGGTTAACTTCATATGCTGCTAGACACGAGAAAAGTACGTTCCATGTTTAGATAGGTCGATGCTGTCGGTTGTGAAACTGGAACAGTTGTTACGGTTTCCGTGGAACAGTTCTGAGTTGTTTGAAACCGATTCCTCACCTTTACCAAACATATATCTCTGCTTCATCTACAGTCAGAACTCGTGTCGGAGATGCACGTGACGGGACATTTTTATATATTGAGATTGAGATTAGCAAACACGCGCTTTTGGGGAAAAGGAAACTATCATGGTTAATTCCTGATGTATTCATCATGATGGGCTAACTGGCCTCTTTTCATTCTCATCTATCACCCTTCACTGGTGCTCCGCCAGCGTATACCGTTAGCGCCGGCGGGGTTACCATACCATTTTCAACCATAAAAAAAAAACACGCGCTTTTTAACCCTTCTTTGCATAATGGTGGAAATTTCCATCATAACATTGAATGCCCAAAAATTATATGAAAGAACAAGTTCACTTTAAGTTGATCGTGTCTGGATACCTAAAAAAGGTAAAATGTCCATTGCAGAAAAAAGTTACCACTTTCCATCAGGTGGGCCGTCAGCTTGTTTGCCATTCTAAGTTGTATAAAAAAAAAGATATTTAAGGAAATTTAATATGAGGGATTGGATGCAGTTTTAACCTGAAGGTCTAACTTAAAATATGGTGAATGTTAATGTAGCAAACTTATTATAGATACAAACAATTATACAAAAAAAAGAAACAAGATACAAAAACATGTTCACATTGAGAAAATAATGGGCGGGCTTATCACTAAAAACAATTTCTTTCAGGCAACCTTTTATATATATATATATATATATATATATATATATATATATATATATACATATATCAAATATATATATATATCAAATATATATATATATATATATATATATAGTGATAGTGATCTTTACAAATTTATCGAGGACGTGCAGGAGTGAATTCAGAGGACGGTCCAAATCCGCTGAGTCCTTACGGAGCGACAGAAGGTCAACTCCTTCCATGGGTTATAACGTTCACATAAAAGCGTCAGCGGTAGCACCACGACTACTGAATAATTATATATACCATTGAATAACAAACATTATGAGTCATTCTGTATAATAATTATTTATATCTGTTTACTCACGTATTAACTTCACTCTGCTAGATCGCAAGCAATTCCTGAATGGTGAACTGAATGACTGACTGTATGGTGTGGTATTCTTATACCTATCTCAGGCACCTATCTCTCTCAAACAATTATATTATAATTTAATTACTTTAATATAAGCATGTCTCATTGAATTTTACTGTGATTAATTGTAAAGAGAAAACAAATCGATTATTATTATTACTATTATATTAATTAGCAGCGCAGCCGTGAGCCGCGCTCATGAATAGGGCTCCTGTCTAGTCCAAAACCAGTCGGGCCTTCCGTAAGTTGGAGGGAAAGGGAATGTTAATAATGAAGTCTAACAGCTCCATTGTTAGCAATATACCCTCCTATCAGGTCAGAGGAACCGCGTTGACTTCCATGTGGTTCTCACTGGAAAACACCGTGTTCAAATCTTGTAGAATTTGTCACGGTGGGCTAACTGTAGGGATGGTTATCCGATATATATTTATTAAGTTATTCTGGACATTGATGACTAGTGGGATATCTATATTCATTACGAGCGGGTTCTTCTTTGCAATATTATATATTAGATAACCATTATCTAATATATATGTTATTAACTACAAAATATACATATTGTTATATATATATATTACCCATCCTTAGCTAACTGACCTACTTTTATCTTTACCTATAACCTATCACTGGTTCGTGTTTCAACCGTAAAATTGTTGTGTTTGCATGGCTATGTTTCGGTTTGAAGGGTGGGATATGGCGTGAATTTACAGGGTACAGAGGAATAACATCTGAGTCCTCAGGAATAGCAACGCATGGGGAGTATCATGGGCGAAACAGTATACTCTTTTATGTCCATAGTACTACTCATGTTTATACGGGACGGTTACCACTTTCCATCAGGTGGGCCGTCAGCTTGTTTGCCATTCTAAGTTGTTAAAAAAAAAATGATGATCATCAAATTCTAACAGAAGCAAGATTCTATATATTTTCAATGAATAGGATTAATGAGTTAATTCCCTATTTTCACCTGCTTTATTGGCTGCCTAGTTATATTTTTATATATTTCAAAATTATATGTAATCTCTGCTTACTTTTATTAATATACTTAAATAACATTATTGGCCGTGTGGTCCCGGCATAGAACAGGCCACCCCTTCCTTTCCCGTGGGTGTCCTAAAAGTCGACTAAGGGAGAGAGAGAAATAGGCTGCAGCGTCCTTCTTAAAACATCACCAAGACCTAACTGCGGTTGCCAACCCACCTGCCAAGCGTTGCAACTACTGGCAAACCCCCTCAAGGGAGAGGCTTATGCGCAGTAGTGAGCAATTAAAGACTGATATGATGATGATGATGATTGACAAAAAGAAAACACCAGTCAACCTTTGGGATGAACAGTGAATCTTTTAATTACATTTTCAATTCAAGATGGCAGACAAATATATAAAAGAAATGAAACTATATAACAAGCTTCTTTTGAAGATACTGTTATGAAAATTATGTCTATTTTTATAACAATAGCCCTTTTCGCAATATAGATGATAATACTTTCAGCACTTTTAATATATTTTTACTCCTTTGTACATTTTATTATTAAATCGCCATGTGGTCCCGGCATAGAATGGACCACCTCTTCCTTTCCCGTGGGTGTCGTAAGAGATGACTTAAAGAACTAAATGGTCAAGGGATGGGCAGCAACGTACCTCTTAAAACGTCACCAAAGCCTAACCGCGGTTTCCAAATCGCCTGCCAAGTGTGGCAACTACTGGCAAGAACCCCCATTATGGGAAAGGCCTATGTTCAGAGGTGCACAAAAATATGATGATGACATTTTATTAAAGTCAGAAATATAAGAGAAATGGGCTATTTTGCACAATTATCGTTGACCTTACGTTGAGGCATTCTAAGAGAGCCTTTTAAGGCATTTGTTATGAGTTTAAAAGGAATGTAAGTGGATTGTTATATTATAAACATAAAATATAAGGGGGGAAAGGGATTGTTAGTAATCGTGACAGAGAATCCCATTGCTAGCAATATACCCAACCAGGTCGACCTCCTCGCGGTTCTCCCTGGAAACTATCATGGTTAATTCTTGATGAATTCATCATGATGGGCTAACTGGCCTGTTTTCATTCTCATCTATCACCCTTCACTGGTGCTCCGCCAGCGTATCCCATTAGCGCAGGCGGGGTTACCATACCATTTTCACCCATAAAAAAAAACATAAAATATAATGCGTAATTAGAAATAAATTTGTCAGTTTACCTATCTACATGCCAGGTAAGTCGCCCTCACGTTTCAAGTAATTATATCACATTTTTTGTTGAATTAGAATCTTTTCCATTACAGTTTATCAACATATTGCGCTATCACGTATAGATGGCGCTGTCTATATATAAATAATTGTCAATTAATTGCCTAACAAGATACCCGGGTGCAATATACAGCAATCAGTGGCAAGTACCTTTCACATCAGCTACGCACAATTAGAATTGATTGCGATCGATTGTTAATATAGATAATAGCTTAGGTAGCCGTTTCTATTCCCTCGTAGGGTGCCTACTCTATCCCTACTGAGGGGAAAAGGATTGTTAGTAATGGAGACTGAGAATCCCATTGCTAGCAATATACCCAACCAGGTCGATTTCCTCACGGTTCTCCCTGGAAACTATCACGGTTAATTCCTGATGAATTCATCATGATGGGCTAACTGGCCTGTTTTCATTCTCATCTATCACCCTTCACTGGTGCTCCGCCAGCGTATCCCGTTAGCGCAGGCGGGGTTACCATGACATTTTCACTCATAAAAAAAAAAAACCTATCCCTACTGCCTAGTAGGCATGGGTAATATGAATCCCGGGGGGAGAAGAGATTGTAAGTAATGTAGACAACTAGTTCCATGGCTAGTAATATACCCTATCAGGTCGACCTCCACGTGGTCCCCCCTGGAAACCATCGTGGTGTATCCATCACGATTGGCTAACTGCCTTTTCATTCTCACCTATCATTCCTCACCGGTGTCCCGCCAGCGTATACCGTTAGCGCAGGCGGGGTTACCATTCGATTATCATCCTTTAAAAAAATACCGATTCGATATCTACATATTCGATTTCATAACTCACGTTAGACGACAAGTAGTAATTGAAAGGATAGTCAATGACGTGTTAAGTTAAAAAAAAACGGACAAGATGTTTCATAGATACCCTCACATTGTAAATATTTAAAATTAACCCTTCTTTGCATAATGGTGGAAATTTTCATCATACCATTGAATGCCCACAAAGTATATAAAAGAACAAGTTCACTTTAATTAGATCGTGTCTGGATACCTTTTTGATGTTCATTGCAGAAAAAAAAACATAGCAGTAAATTTTTTTTTATTTTGTCACCTTAATTTAAATCACTAATAAAAAAAAAACATGCAAAGAAGAGTTAGTAATGTCAAAATCATAGTGGGAGAACAGGACAAACCATATCGATTGAAAACAATTGTAACAATCGATACAGAATCGGCAACGTCATCGCGTAACCTAGTGGCAAAAAAATCCATACGAATTGCAAATATTCATTTTTTCTAAATCACTCAAATGTTATACTCATCGGTTTAATTTTCATACATTGCACTTATAATATTTATTTGTATGACCTGTATAAATGTATGATGTTATAAATTATCTCCCGCGACATTGTGACAAACAAACAGCAATATTAGTGACAGGTGTAGGTACAGCGCGTCGCTTGGTACGCAGCCCCATAAAGTCGGCCGTAATTAGCGTACGGTAGCGGAATCGAATTGGCAACTCGCCAATAACAAAGTACCTACAGGATGCATAGTGCTCGGAAAGTGCAAAGAAATTTTCTGTTCGATTCTTCTTTAAAAAAAAAACTTAATTAAAGTAAAACAAACAAAAAAAGAAAAAAGAGCGAGAATAATAAATCGTGACAAAAAAAAAAATAGACTTTTTTTTTATACAACTTAGAATGGCAAACAAGCTGACGGCCCACCTGATGGAAAGTGGTAACCGTCGCCTATAGACATGAGCAGTACCATCGACATAACAGAGTATACTGTTTCGCCCATGATACCCCCCATGCGTTGCCAATTCCTGAGGACTCCGGTGTTATTCCTCTGTACCCAGTTAATTCACGCTATATCCCACCCTTCAAACTGAAACACAGCCATGCAAACACAACTGTTTCACGGTTGTAACACGAATGGGACAGAGGTACCCAAGCAATCGACTTTTGTACAAAGTCTCCTTCTGACGAGATATTTCCTAAATAAGTTAAATTGAAATCATTTGAATTTAGATAGCGAAGTCGCGTGTCTATTCCAGGAAAAGACTACTTCATATAATTTTTTTTTTGCTACGTAAATAAAATAGGTTCATCAAACAGACTACATAAAACATGTATACATATTTGTACCCTACATAGTATAAAATGGCCCTTGATCAATTGTAAAAAAAAAAAAAAAAAAACTTAGTTCTGAATTGGCAACATAAACAAGAAGTCCCAAAAACATACAAACATTTCTTTTAGAGAGAAAAAATATTTTTTATTCATTCATTCAATTATTGATAGGAATTAAGTATCCCATAAGTTTGAAAGTATGTAGACTATAGTATAGCTTAATCAACATACCTGCTTTTTAAGATTTGTGAGGTCACCAGATAGGTCCAACTCGACGTCATCTCGGCCGGTCACACATAGAGCTAGTTTCTTGACAATGACCTTCCGCGGGTCGTTCGCATCTGCCGAAAATAACGTTAATTAGAAACAATACAATGATTGTTTGTTTTTTTCTATATTCAGCACAATTAATCATGGCGTATAAATAAATAATTACTAATACAATAAAATTGTAAACAAAGTCTGTACATGGGAGATATTTAAGTAAAAATAATATAAGTACGACTAATAGACATGAAAACGATATTTTTTTTAAATCTTGTTTGTCTATGTTTATTCCAGCATGAATCAAAAACTACTGCACCAAAATAGGATGCGTTTTTGACAATTGTATATCTTAAGGTATAAATTAAATTCTATGTTTTATCTTAATACGGAATTTATGGGAGATATTTAAGAAAAAATAAGTAAGACAAATAGAGATGAAAACAATATTTTTTTTAGAAATTTTGTCTACCTGTCTATATGTTTGTTCCTGCATCACGTGCAAGCTACTGCACCAAATAGAATGCGTTTTTGACAGCTGTGTTCTTTAAGGTATAATTTAAATTCTATATTTTTTCTTGATATGGAATTTATGGGAGATATTTAAGAAAAAATAAGTAAGACAAAAGAAAACAATATTTTTTAGAAATATTGTCTGTCTATATGTTTATTCTGATATTAAGCAAAAGGTATTGCGTCAAATAGAATACGGTTCTCACAGTTGTGTTCCTTAAGTCATAGCATATTTCATTAGTTTTACTACTCAATTTCGCGCGTACGGAGAAGCGGATAAAAAGCTATTTAAAATTATTTCTGTATTATTACTTTGTGTTTGCCACCTCAGTGGTATAAAAGAAAGACATGCAACGGTTGTGCACTACTGTGTCGAGCGTAGAAAAACGGATTATAAAGTAGGCAAAATAGGTTACACTACAATACATATTGTTTTATAATGTATTTATAATCTTTGTATTTGTAATCTTTCTAATTAAATATATTGTACTCATACATTATTATATTTTTATCCCGTCACAAAAAGTTGCGGGTAAAACCTACTATAAAATAATTATATATATAATTATTTTATAATATGTATGTATTTATACATTTCATAGAGAAAATGCTAAGTATTTTACTAAATACTCCGCAAATAACATACAGTTGTAGAATCATACAAACTGTGATGATTTAAGGCCACGTAAATAATGTTAGTTATTTATATTATAAAAACAGTTTTTAATTATGACAAATTTAAAATGGGAACAATACGTATGAATCTTGTTTGCAAAGAGAATCATCAAAAATAGCTTAGAATAGAGGATATCGCATAACATCAAATATTCAAGCTAAAATAAAAATAATATTCACCCATAAATAGAATTTTGAAAAAATATAAGAACAAATTTTATAATATTGATATATTTGCTCCTAAACCATTAACTTTAAAAAAAATGGTAGCTAAACAATTAGTAACCTCCTCCCTCCCTCACGAATTTAGTAATGCGTGCATATAATTAGTAAATTATAAAACAGCCGTATATTTAAATATGTTTTTGTTTGTATTATATAATTGGTATCGGTGACGTGGTTGTGACAATGTTATTTATAAATTTAACTTAATGAATAAATATAATGGTCGGCTCCACTTCTCGGCAATATTTGCATGTTTATATACTTTCTTTCTTTATATAGCAATCTGTAGTTAACGTTGTTGGTAGTACTATTAATCATATTTAAATGTAAACTTATTATAATTATATACATATTGTATTACTGTTTGTTAAAAAAAAAAGAAAAAAAAATATTCAAGTAAACTTCATCATCATTTCAGATGTTAACTGTCCACTGCTGAACATAAGCCTTCCCCACACAGGGAGTTTTGCCAGTAGTTGCCACGCTTGGCAGGCGGGTTGGCAACTGCAGTTATGCTTTACAGATGTCTTAAGAGGGATGCTGCTGTACATCTACCATTACGTTCCTTTAGTCGCCTCTTACGACACCCACAGGAAATGAAGGGGTGGCCTATTCTATGCCGATACCACACGGAAAACTTACTTATAAGAACTTTACAATATATTTTTTTTAATGTATATATGTATTTAAGCTAACAACCGCTCAAACACACTGCAGAGCACACCTCTCCTTATATGACTAGGATATTACCCTACTGTTACTACCGAGGAAGTGCCTAAGTATATTTCCAAGATATGACATCCTGTAAAGCAGTGGTAACACATTACATTCTTTCCCTGTCACACACACAGAAACATAAATGTTTTGTTATTCTGTTTACCAATTTTACTTATAGGTGCTAAACACATTGACACATCTTATCACATAGATACGAAATGATAAAAATGGTAGAACATTCCAGATAATAATCTTGTTTTTAACATATGTTCAATATTGTAACATCTTGCAGTGAAAAAAAAACTATTAAGTCTATAAACCGGTGTGTGAATAAAAAAAAAATCTACAATGAAACTTTAATTATAAGGGTATTTTCAGTATGAAATATTGGTTAAAACTAAAACCTGATTATTTCAAAATAGATTATTTTCTGCTTACTATTATGTCAAGCAAAGCCTTGTGATACCAAAACATTTTTAAAATGGGTATAAAATCATAAAGATACAACATTTCTTTTTTTGTTTCGGTTATTTAAAAAAACAGTACTAAAACACAAAAACCTAAGTTTAAAATTTTATATAAACATTCCTTGGTTTATCGCTGAAAAAGGAATAATTAGATATCTTTTTTTAAAAGTACAAATAAACATAATATTATGCTTTATAAACACACAGTCTTTAATTCCTTGCTGATAATCAGAAGTTGCTAATATAAACAATTGATTATGGACTAACCATTAATGAAAATTTACAACTAGACTTATCAACATTAATGGCTTACTACTTCCTTTATGTTACCAATGTTACCATTGAATGTATAAAAAAAGTTGGTATAGATATAGTACAGGGGTGTTCAAACATGAATTGTTTGCAATCTACATCAATATTGTTAAACTACAATCTATATACTTTGAAAGACTGTAAACATATGTAATGCCGAGTTGTCCCGCCATACAATAGGTCACCCCTTTTCTTTCCAGTGAGTGTCATAAGAGGCGACTAAGGGAGGATGAGGATTGGACAGCAGCGTCTCTCTTAAAACATCTCTAAAGCCTGACTGCAGTTGCTAAACTGGCTGTCAAGTGTGGCAACTGGCAAAACCCCCCTTATGGGAGAGTCTATGTTCAGTAGTGGACAGTAAAAGGCTGATATGATGATGATGATGTGTGATGTAGAGTTGTTGTCTAGGTAGAGTGTATAGTGGCATAGATATTAGTTTTGCATACAATATGCATTTTTTAGTCAAAGTCAAATGGCCTATTGTGATCAACTTGTCATTCTAGTAGAACCTTATGAAAAAAGTAAGCATGTTTTATTGGAATTATCACAGAAATACTCACTAAATGAAATTTAGTAACAAATCGAAACATAAATTAATGCATTCTTTATTTGTATTGAACATCAGTAGACTGTTTTATGTTCAAATCGATTACACATTTGTTTACATTTTTTTACTAAATTCTATTGAATCAGATTACATAAGTAATATTGATCTAGTTGCAAGTTTTTTTTTATTATTGTGAATGTAGCATGATTAAGGGTCCTAAAGGTAAGTTGCACATTCTCAATGCAACTGTATATGTTACTTGCCAATGTTGATTTAGTTTTTAAATCATATTGTGCCCTCAATTATTCTTGAATTCACAGGTGTGTTAGTTCTATTTAGATATTTATTATTATAGTAAATACTTATAATATGGCAACATCATTATGAAAATAATTTACCCACCTACTATAACTGTTCCTGCTTGCGCCTGCCCTAATAGAGCCTCTTTGTACTTCCTTAACGATTCATCTTCCTGATCAGCGGCTAGGATCTCTTCAATAGTCTTCTCTGGTGGAGGTTTGTATGTAGACTTGATTTCTTCTTCTGCTTCTTCTTCTGGGGTGTGAGTGACCTCTGGATCTCCAGACATGTTGGTTCCTAAAATGTTACTTTGTTAAAATATCACAAAAACTTAATATAAAATGTATTCATCATTATATATTAATGCTGTTAAGGTTTTTTGTGTCATAATTAGTTTTCTCTGTGAACATTATAAAACAACTTTTAAAATTAGAACTGGTTCTTTTTTTAAAATGTCCATAGGGTATGGACATTCAATAAATTGTTATATTAGAATTTTTCAAGTTTTTTCTACACTTACACTTGTTAAGATTCTACAAACATAACCCCTTGAATTATTTGTATTTTTCCATTCAAAATTGTGAGTATATATTTTTTCTTACCTACATAGATAGGTAGGTATTAATTATTAAGCTGACATTATGCTCAGAAAAGATAAACATCTAAGTATTTATCGACATTTTACTTTAAAATTCTATAACGTTTTTTATGCACCTATAAGTAATCTACTACCCACTGCCACAACAAAAAAAAAAACATTAGAACATATTCTTATTTAAGGATTTTTATTATTTCTGTAGCAATATCTCAAAATCATAATCAATACATAACCTATATTTTTAAATATCTATGTAGAAAAATGAAATGTTTAGATGTATTGCATGTGCAATGCATTCAACTATTATAAAAGCTGATGCCTGATAAGCATGAACATGCGGCGTTTTGCTGGAACCGCCCTTTTTTCATTCTGGATGACAATTAGAATAAGTATGAATCATACGTAAGCCTATATGATGAACTAATTGAATACATATATTTATGATGCAAGAAAGATTATCAACAGTACAGGATTCTTTTGGTTACTAACATTCTAAATAATTATGCGGCTTCATCACACCAAGCCCGTAACTTCAAGACTAGCGTCTTATAAAATACACATACTTACTCACCTTATAATAAAATTTAGGAAACGAAAGAAACAATATTAAGTTCCCGCTACAATTGTTTTATAATATTCAGCATCAATAAATTATAAGCGTATAAAAAAGAAAATTAGCAATTTCTTGTAAAAACTAGAAGACTATAGATCAAAAATGACGGAGGAAATGCATCCATCCGGTTATAGCTTATGGTTGTTGTTGTTTTCCAATTCACCATGAAGGTAAGCAAAGGTAGTTAGACTATACAGCCAATTCTTTGATGTATTGATGTATTAACTATTTGGTAAAATTAGAAATTTTGCGATAATAAGAAATTGAATTTATAATTTTAAAGATATAAGAATGTAGAATTTATTATTCTGCATCTATGCTGGCTACCATTCTTTATCTACGCAAGTACCACAAAAATTGACAATTGACATATACTTGTCAAATGTGACAGACAAGAAAAAATACAATTTTTAATTATTATGTGATTACTTATTTTATTTATTTTTTATAACAAATGCTTATAATACCTATATTATATAACTTATTTCATTTAATTTGTACCTGAATCATAAATCCAAATGAAATAACTTTGTCTTTATTTCTCTGACGATTTTTATATTTACATAAAATATAAACATTGTAATGCTCGTAAGTATTTCTTAATTTTAAATTTAAAATAAAGTCTAATTGTTATTTAATCAGTGTTTTAGTTAATGTCATTTCTACGCATTTTCAGAGATCTAAATTAGTTTTTCCTAGACTATCAATTTTTGGCCAATACACACAGCGAAAATCATATACTTCTGCATCGTCTGTAACGGAGGAGGAAAAAGAGAAGGAATTGGAGAGAATTGCTAGAGATGTAAGGAATTACATATTTGTATTTATTTTTATAAATATATAATTTTGTATCATCTCAATAAATGTTTGAAATGTTGATAAAAATGAAACAAAACCAAATGTTACAGCAAATTAAAAATAAAACTTTTAACTATGTTTTAATCTTCCTAGTCGTATTAATTTGACAAAGCCTATGTCTGTAGCCCCATTATTAAATTTATTGGACAAAAACCTGTATTTTACTTTTTTTGGTTATTGGTCTACTTTTGCTTAATGGTCTTTCTGTACTTGTTTTTAGGCCTCCATAGACGAACCGCCGACAGCATGCTGTCAATCCGGGTGTGCCAACTGTGTGTTCATAGTGTGGGCGGAAGCACTAACCAGCAAGATGGATAATGCTGGCCCAGAAATTGCTGAGAAAATATTGAAACTTGTAGAAGATCCATCGATGAAGGCATACTTGGAAATGGAATTAAGATTGCGTGGACTCAAAAAGTAGAAAATCCCTATTAGACCATTGTCAGTAATTTTATTGAAGTTCCATTAAAACTTCTCATAATGATTATACTGAAATATATTGTTTAAAGGATTCAAAAAACATTTTTTTTGTAATTAAGTAGTTTTTATGTGTGTAATTATTGTAAATATTACTTTTAGTAAAATAATTGGTAGTTACTTAAATATTTTATATATTTAAATGTGAATATTAGTTGATACAGTGAAATTGTATATAGGTTTCTATTATGCTATTTAGTAAAATTATTCCTACCTGCCACTGGACTATTTATTAAGCTTAGTTCTCCCATTATTGACCAAGGAGTATCCATATTACAAGCCCCAGTGTGTGTTTCATACATATTTATGTTACTATAGTCAATTTCAATGGAACTTAATAGAAAGGTAACTTAGTTCTGTTGAAATTATCACAAAAATGAATTAAAATTAGTAACAAATTGAAATATTCAATCAATTAACTGACTTTAATTCAATATCAATAGACTGTCTTTGTTAGTTATTAAGTAAAATCACATCAGCAGTCTCTTAATTTATACATAATATTAGAAAGAGGAAAGGTTTGATATTTTTTATTTTATTGTTTGTAATGGATAAACTCGAAAATTATTTAACCATTTTTAAAAATTCTTTCACCTTTTGAAGTTTTAATAAATTATCAGAGAGTAACAAGCTATATATTATTTTTCCAAAATATTAGAGATTAAATGCCTATTAAAGTTAATATAACATACTAATTTATCTATGAGAGCAAAGCCGGGACGAGTCACTATTTAGTTAACAAGTATATTTTCATTCAATTGTGTTGATATAGTCTATATTAAAAAAAAAATATAAAATAAATTGTATTAAAAAAAGCTGCATCTTCAATGATTTCGAAAAATAAAAAAAGCAAAATTTTTGAAGTACACAACAGAGTTGTAAGTTATATCTTTCTATAAATTATACAAGGGGCTTTATGTGTTTAGCGACTATACACAGTTAGTTATGGTTAAGGATGGGCAGCAGCATGCCTTTTGAAACCTCACTAAAGCCTAACTGCGGTTACCGGGGTGGAGGGGGACGTAGAGATTGTTAGTAATGTGGACAAACAGTGCTAGCTGGCCCTATCAAGTCAACTTCCACGCGGCCCCCCCTGGAAACTATCATGCTGAATGTTAAGCGTATTCATCATAGGCTAACTAACCTGCCTTTTCATTCTCACCTATCATCCCTCACTAGTGCCCCGCCAGTATATACCGTTATCGCAGGCGGGGATACCATTCCATTATCGTCCATTAAAAGAAACTGCGGTTGCCACTCCGCCTTCCAAGCGTGGCAAGTATTGGCATACCTCCCCGTTATGGAGGAGGCCTATGTTCAGCAGTAGACAGATAACGAATGATGTGATGGCAATGATAGTAATAAAATGATATAAAAATATGAACAACTACATTAAATTGCATTAAATTAAAATAAAAAATATGGAAACAAAAAAAATCGTTAAAGTAATTAAATTAATTTGGATTTTAATTAGAATTTAATTACATTGATGAAATTGAATTATTTAATTATTGAAATCTTTATTAAAATTTAAGGATCGACGCCCTCCTCGCTTCTAATTGCTGTGCCCAACAGGGTCTACAATGTACTGTATCAATTATTAATATCTTTTATTATAATATTGTAGAATGGGGGGGGGGGAAGGGATTGTTAGTAATGGAAACAAAGAATCCCATTACTAGCAATATATCCAACCAGGTCGACCTCCTCGCGGTTCCCCCTGGAAACTATCATGGTTAATTCCTGATGAATTCATCATGATGGGCTAACTGGCCTGTTTTTATCCTCATGGTGATTGATGAGAATAAAAATCACCCTTCACTGGTGCCTCGCCAGCGTATCCCATTAGCGCAGGCGGGGTTACCACTCCATTTTCATCCATTAAAAAAAAAAAAAATTGTAGAATGCAATAAATAAATTGAAGTTGAATGTAAATCAGGAATTACAAACGTCTATCATGTTCCTTTAAATAATTGAAATATAAGTACATGACGACAATTATAAAAACTTTTTACGGATCAAGAGTTTCTTATTACTTGTCCGTCACTAATTTTACTAGAAATTTGTCTAAGATAAAACTGAAACTTAATTGGAAAACTTATCCATCGAAAAGTTTATGTAAAAAGCTCAAATATTAAACGAAGATCAAAGTATAAATATAAAATTTATGTAACAATTCATTCTTGATTTCCAATTAACAGTGCAATAAAGAGCAGATAAAAAACAAAGCAGAGAGCAGAGAAAAAAAAGTAGGACGTCCTCATTTTGATTTTATTTTTGTTTTACTCTGTATTTTCGCTAATTGGAAATGCCAATTAACATTCCAAACTTAGCAGTAGACTCATAAAAAATGGCTATTTAAAAAAGCTTGTATATAAACAAGTTTATTTGAATAAAGATTCTCATTGTTCATCAAGGAGCCGCCCTAGACGGACGTATGTTGACCAAATAGGCGACGTGCTGAAGAAGGGCCAAATTAAAAGTACCCGTAACCGGCGAGCGTGTATGAAAAGATTGATGAATGTGGAAGAAGCGAAAGAGGTATGTTTGAATCGAAGCATTTGGCGTTCCATTGTTTCTGCCTACCCTAATGGGAGACAGGCATGATAGATATGTACCTATGTATGTATGTATTCTCATTATCATCATTATATCAGCAATTAACTGTCCAATGCTGAACATAAGCCTTTCCCATAAGAGGGGTTTTGCCGGTAGTTACCACGCTTGGCAGGCGGCTTGACAACCGCATTTGGGCTTTTGGTAATGTTTTAAGAGGGTCGCTTCTGCCCATCTTTCCACCTTTAACTTCCCTTAGTCGCCTCTTACGACACTAACGAGGCAGGAAGGAATGGCCTATTCTATGCCGGGACCACATGGCAAGAATAAAGAATATATCTATTTTATTCTATTCTAATAAATTGGAAATTAACGAATAATGCGGTAATTTTTTGATACATCTATTACTAAGGATATGATAGTGAATCTACGGGGCACAGAGGAATAACAGTTGAGTCCTCAGGAATGACGATGCATGGGATTGGTCCTATTATGCCCATGGAACTGCTCATGTTTACAGGCGACGGTTACCACTTTCCATCAGGTGTGCTGTCAGCTAGTTTGCCAAAAAGTAGCTTTTTGCTCATTACTTCGAACGCGCGCATTACATATATAGGAAAATCAGTGAAATACACTACTTCTATACGGTATATCAAGATGAAGCATAGACCAGATATTTAGTTAGACCTGTAATATAATGTAAATTGGACTCTTTTCCGTGCTTAGCCTCTCATTTGGGCCATTGTACGTATGAGTCGTAGCTAGTACAACCTACCCAGCTCCACCCAGAAGCATAGAAGCTTCCTAGGATCTTCACAGGCCTTACGGAGTGACCTCACCGTTCCAAGGATTTCTAAACATTGATGGACCACAGCTTCACATTACAGGATTACGTGAGTAATCGTTTCTTCGGCGTCGAAACAGCCTCGACATAGAGGTCTGTCTGTGGCAATGGCCCGTTATTGTCCCTATCATTATTTTGAGGTTTTTCCTATCTAGATGTAATAAATGTTTAGTTATACCTTCAGGAATACAACTAATGTAAACCGCATCCCATTTGGCGCAGTAGTTCTTGTGTAATGCCGGAACAAACAAACAGCAAATAAAATTTCTATATACTATTGTTTTGGTATCTATTATTCTTATGAAGTTTTCTCATATTTTTTTTTAAATATCTCGCATATGCAGACATCGCCTAGTTACAATTTCATTAAATTATTAAGATAAGTCAATATGGATTATCATTTCAGTCATTATCTGTCCACTGCTGGACAAAAGCCTCTCCCATAAACTGGATATACAATATGGACATGTATCTGCAACAATTTTCAATTTTTTCACCATACAATTACATATTTTTCACCATACAATTAGATACGTTTCTGTTTTGCCAAATATTGACTGGAAGAGAATGTAAGTCCGCCTTTTGTACCATTTTTTTTTTTGCAATGTGGTCAATAAAGAGTAAATAAATTAAGTATAGCAATTGTATTAGCATGGCTGTGTTTCGGTTTGAAGGGTGGGATATGTCATGAATTTACAGGGTACAGAGGAAACACCTGAATCCTCAGAAATAGCAACGAAGGGGGGTATCATGGGCGAAACAGTATACTCTGTTATGTCCATGGTACTGCTCATGTCTATAGGCGACAGTTACCACTTTTAATGAGGTGGGCCGTCAACTTGTTTGCCATTCTAAATTGTATAAAAAAAAATAGTGTCAATATCAATATTATGTAAGAAACTTAATACCAATAGCTCAATAACTTGTCTGTTAGAACAGTAGTTTTACTTATGGCACTCAGTTGTTTCCACGTATCTCATACCGAAGCTGATGCGAAGATAGGGTTACAGTATAATGTAAATGTTCTTAATAAAGGTATTTTAGGGGGCGTCCATTAATTACGTGAGCGGAGGTCGGATATCTGATTCAGCGGAAGGTGGATCAATAAAAAGTCATATAAAAACTTTTTTAGGTGTGATATCTAATTTAGTAGAAGGAGAATTATTATTTCTCAATTATTTATTTTTATACCACTAAGGTGGCAATCAAGCATACGGCCTACCTGATGGTAAGTGGTTACCGTAGCCTATGAACGCCTGCAATACCACGGGCTTTACATGCACGTTGTCGACCTTAAAGAAACCTCTTTATCCCTTTTTTTAAGAGACTCCATGCTGTAGTCTCTTGGAAAAACCTCGACATTCTCATTCCATAACCTGACTGTTAGAATAAATTTGAAGAGTATAGAATATTAAAAATAAATATAAAAAGTATGTGACGTACTGATATGTCAGCAATATGGCGCCCCGTGGTGCGTGCACTTGTCTATGAGCTGCTAACTCTCTGACATGTGAGGAGTTCCGGCGATCGAGAGTCCACTGGGTACCTCATGTCTCAACATCATGAGTGGGTATGAGCAATGATGCTACAGGCCGTGCGGGAACTGAAAGACCTGGCGGCATCATGCATCGCATGGTTTTTAGTGGATGACAATAACTAGAATGGTAACCCCGCCTGCGCTACCGGTATATGCTAGCGGGGCACCAGTAAGTGGTGATAGGTGAGGATGAAACCAGGTGAGTTAATCTATTGTAACGGATTCAACAAAAAATCATTTCCAGGGGAAGCCACGTGAAGGTCGACCTGACAGGTTATATA